GCTCCACGGGCCTCCCCCCAGTGCCACGTCTGCCCCCTGATATTTATGAAGATGGAAAAATTATAAAAATTTGTTTAAAGCCGTTTAAATGGTCGTCACATCACTCGAAAAGTTAAGAATTGAAGTTGGAAAGAAGTGGCGTAATCTAATCAGTGACGGGGCAGCGATTTAATTTATATAATCAACTTGTTTTCATAATTAAAAAATATTAAAATTGTTTATTATAGCACACGCACACCGTCCACCCAGCCCCAGTCCCAGTCCAGATAGGAGACGGCTATTTGCTCCATTTGATTGGATTGGTTCGAGTCCGCTTATCTTGGCCTAATTGAAATTGCATTGAAATTGATTGATTTGGCCATAAACGGTTGACAGAATATCAAATTTTGTACTCAAATTTCTTTCTTTCTTTCGATTTGTTACCCTTTTCTTAATCGTTTTATTTTAGCCAGGTTGATTTGTGTGGCAATTAAAGAACTGAAACCCGAAATTCCCGGCTACCGGTTACCGGCCAGATGACAACTCAGGAGTGCAAAGGTCTGGGCCGTCGAGGGCTGTAAATCACTTGAATTCGTATTCGAATTCGGCTGCCAATTGTAAATTTTATTTAAATGCTTCAAAAGGGTTTGGGGGCTATAATCTGGAGAGGTGTGATTGGAGCCATAGACTGCCAAAGAAACTTGAGACCGTCTGGTGGAAATTATGATTTCATATTTAACACTTGAGAACTGAGGACCCTTTCTAATTGAATTCCAGACTTAACAAATTAATATTTATAATGGCAATATGTAGAAAAACCCCCGATCAAGTTCCCAAAACAATTTACTCATCCCAAGTGTCACGTAGCCCCACTGAAAACAAAAGATTGCCCTTAGACATTCCCACGTTCTTAATTAGCCGCTCTCCATGGCCAAATGGCAAATAACAACGAAATGAAAACTAAGCAAATATCAAAAGTTTTTCAAAAACATTTAGCAAAGTCAATAAATTGTCATCTATTGGAGGAGGCGCCTCGGGGACGACTACGAAGCTTATATTAATCTCCATTAAAAAGGAATTTCAATGAATTTATGATGGCCGACAAAGTGCCGCAGTGGCGCCATCTAGCTTTCAATTGTCTGCTCCACCCTTATCTCCTCTCGAAGCCCCCTTTTCCCCCTTAATCTTTGCTACCTTACTTACGCACATTCGCCAAAAAAAAACCAAAATAATTCAAAAGTAAATAAAAATTTGGAAAAAAAATGAAGAAAAATATACGATTGTATACCTTGGATACCTCTCCCCAATAGTACCAATCCCCATACCCAAGTCCACTTGGCCACAAAATCATCAGCGTCTTCGTCGGCGAGCCGGGTAAACATTTTAAGCTGCCAGCCCGAAAAACGCTAATGGGTAAACACAGATGCGGTTAAAGTGATTCCAACGGATGCCGGAGATTTGAACTTTGCGGAGGATTCTTGAAAAAGGTGGCTTGAAGACATTTGAAAATGCTTGAAACTGAGATAATTGTTTTAAAAAGTAACGAACTAATTATGATTTAAATATATATTTGATATAGATCCTTTCAAGTGTTTTTTTTAACAAGAATTCCTTCCACTCAGAGAAGAACCGGTTATCAAAAAACCACTATAGTTTTTTCTATAAAACTATATATCAACATCTTTCGAAAGAAAACCATATAACCCCACCATAATCAAAAATCAAGATTGAATTAAAAAACACCAAAAAAAATTAGCCAATCTATCATTTGCCCTTTAATCAAATCAAAACGCGGAAAACTGACCCGCAAGGACTCAAGGAAATTGCCACTTGAACGGATCAAATCTCTCGATTAGCGGGTTAATCAACTTAATTGAGGGATTACGAGAACCCGAAGAGTTGCCAAGAGAGTGCGAATTGCGATCGATTCCAGTGGAATTTTTGATTTATCAAATATATGGAACCTAAACTCATACCCCTGTTTTTATTGCCAAAGTCTTATCAAGATGTATTAAGCTCTAATCATAGACGTTGATTTACCAGTCCGAAAACAGACCCTATTCGCACCCAACCTTATAAATAAGCCATTACCAAGCCCATCGTATATTAGTAATAACAATTGCCATTTATCAATAATTTTGAAATCGCCTCATCAACTTGGCCTCAGCCCTCTCGCTTCTTTGTTTGATTTTAGTTCTCTGATAAGTGGAACTTGTGGAGGAGTTAGTACTACTATGTGGGTTCAAGCAGGGTACTGATATGGAGGAGCCTATGACAAATCTCTGGGCCACAATGTTGAGTGGCCAATTGCTTCCGTATCTCAATTTAGACCATATATATTGTCATCATTGCCTGCATGGCGAAATTTCTGCCTAACTCTTACTGATTCAATTATATTGAGACTGATATAGGTTTAGAAGGTAAGGTTCGTAATAGACATGCTGTCACCCCCAAAACATTGATTACGTATTGGGATCATGAGTGTTGTGATGCATTCAAAATTACCAACTCGATTGACGTAGGTTAAGTTCTTCCGGTAACAATAAGTCATATTTTATGGCAGGAAGGAAAATAAGTTCTCTATTTGATAATGAAATCATGTGTAATTAGTAATATTTATATATTTTTCGCATGAATTTTGAGAGGTAGGCAACCGACTTAGTCACTTTTTTTTTGGGAAGGAAGGTTGACAGTTTAGAGGAAGCGGCTTCTTTTGGAGTTTTTTTTTTCAAACCTTAGTTTACCTTACACCTCAACAGCGGCACTCACCTCAGAGCTCAGAGCTCCGAAGTCGGTGTCCAGGTGAACATAACTCACCACTTGATTTATGCAAATAAGCCACGTTTAATTATGACCATTAGCCACTGTTGAGCGGCTACCGTTTTGAGTCAATAGAGCGGGCCCAAGGGGTGAAGGGGTGAGGGCTGAGTGTGCCCCCTTGGGGCTTTTAGTCGGTTTGCATTTCGATTTCGCTTTGTTGTTTCCAGATGCCCAGGTATTCGGGGGACAAAAAGAGATGGTCTGAGACAATGATGCCTGCCTTTAATGAGTTTTATATTGACCCAAGGTATTGACCGAGTTATAAAGTAAAGCAAGTTGTGACTTTAGTGACTAATATTAAAGGGAATGCGCCAAGTTAGTCAGCTTAAACTAAGAACTTTTATTCAAAATCAAGTATTCTGTTTCCTGTACTAAAGTCTTTCAAAATCAACTAATTGATGTCTCATATAAGATATCAATACCTTCCTTACAATCACCAAAGCAAAGCTTCCACATGTGCCTTGATTAGGTTGTGCAAGGAATCCATGGACTTAATTTACAACTAATTGTCATATGACCGGCTAGTTATGGCAATCAATAGGACTTAGTTATATGGCCCGTCAGACCGATACCCTCTATATATTTTAAATCTGTGGGGATTTCCAATGGCGGTCCGACCATGACGATACGAGAAACTCGGACCGTCTAATTGCATGCTAACTGTACTTAAATATCTTTATAATTGACGCCACAGTGGGTGTCGTAAAAAGCACGTACGGCACTGGTCCGCGTAATACTAGTAGGTCTATTTGAGAAGGTCTTAGGAGTGGAGACACCGACCGAACCCCCAATCAGACCCACATACACATCACCCACCCCACAAGCCACCATCCACCAACCACCCGCAATAAAAAGTATTTATGTTATTTGTCAAGTTTATCGCACCAGTTCCAGTGGCGGTGGCCAGGGTATGGTGGCTTGGGGGAATGGCAGGAGCCTAATTAAACCACCAGCTTTATCGTCTTGTAAAGATCGAAATTATTGCCACCGTTCCCGCCTTGCAATGCCTTTTTTTTACGACCCCCATTTTCCAATACCAGTAGCCCTCCCGTACACTCACCCACTTATATATCATTTTTCGAAATGTTTAAAACATATATATAGAAAAGTATGTCCGTGGGGAGTATATAGAAGTTATACAGATTGCATTTTGTGGCTCTGTCTTTTGATTTGTTGACTCTGATAACCATTACTATGGTTCGTAGGGGTTTCTTTGAAATTTATGACTCTTTGATTGGACTATAAATAAATGAATATTGCAATGTTGTAATGGAGGTATTTAACAGATTCCTCAGTTTAAATTTTAAAAATTAAAATAGTTGTACTAACCCCTAAAACAAAATTTAAATCCCCTTTCTGGAAAAGATCATCTATGAAAGCTATGATGCCAAGCCTTAAGCCGCCTAAAGTGATTGTGATTGCAATGTGCAATGTCAATAAAACCCAACAAAAATCGAGTAAAGCAAAATATAGGCATTGAAAAAGCCCAAGCCGGGCAAACACAAACATCCGATGTGGAGATGAGCATGAAGATTCATCAGATCCATCGATATCCAACTGCCACCTGCCACCAAACAGAAGCCAAATGAGCTTGTCGGGCCGGAAACTGACGGTGTCTTCAATTGAAGTCGGGAACGGAGTCCGCTTGAGCTGCAACTGTAGGACCCACAGGCGGTATCGGGCCTGGGGATCAAAAGGTCCGCTCCAGCGGATCTTCTTTGGGTCAAGCAAACGCTTTGCTTCTTGGCATCTTAATCCGAAGTGGCTACTGAGTTGCCTCCTAAGAAGAAGCCATAGCTGGAGTCCATTCTGCATTCTTCTGCAAACACTTCTGTCCGGCTACCAATCCAATCCGGTGGCCATCCGTTCCATCCATCAATCTCCTGCGGCAAATAAACTCGAGTGCCTCATATGCAAATATCCAATATTTGCTCTTGGATTATTAAGTGAGCCAGCCAGCATCACATCCCATTCCTATGCCCATTTCCAGTTCCCATCGCTGTTGCATCTCCTTCCTTGAGGTGGCTTGTTAACTGTTTGCTTGGGCTGTTTAATCGCTTTAATGGTTAGACAATTAAGAGTTCTTTGGGACACCTCTTTAAGTGATTATTGGAGAAGAAATTCGAAAGGTTTTAAATCAATAATGGTTTAGGATTTTAACTAGAATATGACTAGATTTGCAGAAACAAAAGATAGATAGATTCTGCATAATTTCCTTTGTTTATTTCAATTGCATTTCATGGAAATGTTTTCGGCCCTATTGACATTACAATAAATACAAAATTGTATCGTTAACTTTTACAAAGAACTGTTCCACGCCGCCGCCCTACTGGTGCATACTGTATATAGTTTAACCACCGGCAAGTGTTCGGAATGTGCACAGAGCCGACATTGGCGAAATGTCGTTTAAACAGTCAACTACTCTGGTCGCCACATTCGAACTGGGACAGCGGCGCCCTTAAAAACTAACTCAATTGCGGGTGAAGATGGCACACAGGCTGCTCCCACCTGTTCCAACAAAGAAACAACAACTCTTGTGTCTCATTTACATATGCGCATTGCTGTTGTGTTGTTGTTGGCTGTGGACAGAAGTGCCGCCGTGGCCAAATTTGTTCGGTGCTTTTTGGGGATTACTCCTTGGAAGCCATGTGTCCCACCAGGTTACTGGTGATCTTCTCGATCTTCTTCAGGTCCGGCATGTTCTCGGCTTTGTACTGAACGCACTGTGGGTGGATAAAGGTGGATTAAGGCATGTTTCTCCAGGAAATCAGCAACCTTACCTTAACGTTGTCCGTCATTTTGAGCAGTATGTGTCCTTTGGAGTGCACGTATTTCATGGTGTAGCGGCAGTTCTGAGGATTCGCCATGTACATGTTCTCGGCGGCGATCTCAAAGTCCTCCCAGTTCTTCACAAAAACCATTTTGGATATTTGGGAAATAGAAATCCAAGTGCAAACGGAATGGATGAAAACAACAACAACGGGACGGCGTGACGTTGATAAAGAGTGACTGAAGCTTAAAAAAATACTAAATCGATTATAAATATCGATACATTTGAGGTCTATGTCAGCTATCGATACAAGTAGATTTGGTATTATACCAGTAACTTGACACAGCCACACTGCGCCCATTCTTCGTTCGCTCACTGCAATATTTATTGCAAAAAAAATGTGAAAATCTATAGACTCGTTAAAAATAGTGCTCAATCATACGCATCGGATGGCCGCGGAGGCGTGGGCAACAAAATCCGGGGAAATGCAGCGTGAGAAAGTCGCGAAAAACGATGATATCTAGTCAAGGAAATGTAAACGTTATTGGAAGGGGAAGAGCAGAGACGAGGCTAAACCAACAACAACAACAACATTAGAGGGGGGGAAATAAAATGAAAAACGCAAATTAAAAGTGACACGCAGAAACAAAAAGTTTCATTTATAATATAAACAATATACTAGAGTGCAGCGAAATTATAAATACAAGTGACCACAAACAAATCAAGTGTGAGCAAAGAGTGCGTATGTGTGGGTGACGTTTCCCTATACCCCTCTCAGTCGCTCCCTCGCAACATTATTGTTGTGGGGTTGAAAAGGAATTGCCTGCATAACGGTTAACGCGTGACGTCCGATCCAAACAGCAGTCAAGTGCACCCACCCACACCACCCCCAGCACCAAAAACACCCAAACAATAAATTCCATTTAAAGAGACAGAGAAAGATCTCTCTGTTTTCCCAGTACCAGGTCCATCATGATGGACAACGACGATACCCTGCTCAACAATGGTGGGCCTCAGTCTGGGGCGGAGACCGTTTACGGGACGGAGGAAAACAACATGGTCATGTCGGAGAAGGTAATTGCCAGCCAGCCAGGCAACGATCCACAAGTGACTCTACTTGTTGTATATTTTTAGATTTAAAAATAAAAACTAATATTTAATTAAGAAATGCATCATAATTCCAAAGAATAAAGATTCATAATCCATCCCTGAATCATTCTGGGTGGACTCATTTCTCCCAGGTCTGATAAGGAGCATATCTTTTTCTTGGCTGGTCCTCCTTAACACCCCCAGGACCAGATATGCGGGCAGAAAGTAACTCACAAACATGAGATAATGAGGCTATAAAAGTGTCCCAAGCGGAAATGCTATACAATCGCAGAACCGGCTTTCTTTTCGCTCTACATACATTTGTATATCTCTTGTATACCTATCATTAAAGCTCTGATTTTTTATGTAAAAAGCGCATCCAACAATTGTTTATTGGTCATCAGCTGATGCCCTCTGGTCATTGACATTCGAGTGGCAGCCAAAAATAGGAAAAAAGCAGGAAGAGAGCCGAGAAAGAGTGCCAAGAGAAGTACAAAACTGGGGTCCAATAATCAATAAAGTTAGTCAGTGGGTTTCTATATTTTATGACCACTCACGCAATCCTTTTCAGAGAATAGCTAGCTCTGGAATATCAAGAGTATCACATTTTCCTCAAGTGTATAAATGTTATTCTTTTGCTCTTTGCAATCTCAGGTTTATTTTTATTTTTTCACCCCAATTCTCTGATTGATTTTGCACTTTATCAGCTTCGCGCCAGCTTTAATCGGGCTATGCAAATTATAGCACTGTCAGTCATGGTACTAAGTGGCCTACTAGTACAAGTGTGATTTACTTCCTGCCCTTCCCAATGAGCTCATCAGGTTGGCCCGCTCGCTCGCCAGCTCACATGTTTTCCCTGATAAGCTACCTGTTAATTGAGTAATGAGTTCGAAAACGTGTTTCTTGGCCCACAGTGGCCACAGAAGAAACTATTTGTGAAACAAGTCTGGGCCAAAAAAAAATAAAAAAAAAAATGTTTGAATACTTAAGCATGACTTTGGCTGTATGGCCTTTTAAGTATCTAAGCCTAGCCTTGGTTTGGTTTTTTTTTTTAGAGAGGAAGGGAGTGGGGAATGCTATAAATATATCCAACAGATGTTACTTATTTTTATTATTTTATTTTAATTATTTAAATAAAAATACAAGTGCACTTATGGGTTTTCACATGGACATTATAATTTCTTCATTAGTTGCCACATTTATGTTAATTTTCTTGTTAATTAATCACTACTCATCTCACCTATTTTTATGTTTTCTAATTTTTATTTAAATTTAAATTATAAAAACTTTTGTTTTATGTGTCCTTTACACTTTGTTTTTGTTCTTTTCTTTCCATTTCAGAATGAAGAGGTTGTCAGCATCGTGAGTTATCCAAAATTTTTCGTTTCTGGTTCATTTAAATCCTATTTGTTCTATTAGTTTGTCTATCTTTCTGTTCTGATACTTAAATGCACGATATATTATTAACTATAATATTCTCTTAAGTACCACATTTCACGCCCTGCTTTTGTTTTTTGTTCTGAAATTCCTTTACTAACAACCTAAGGCCGAGAAGGTGTCAACCTTAACCTTTTTCTCGGTTTTGTATACTGCGGGGTTTTGTATATATTCTAGTCCAGCCTCCCAGCTGAATGCATGACTTACGATTGCGGAGGGGTGGGCTTTATATCTCTATATCATGTCGGTTCCACATTAGGTCATATTTCAAGAGCTTTCCATTCATAAGAACGTGGCCGCAAACCACAATTACGTTAATTAGGCAATTAAATGGAAGCCTTCTCTCTTTCTGCTTCCATAATTATATTTATTTGTAAATAAATTCATCAAAAATATGACTATTTATTCTACTAATCAAATGCACCTTGTGTTCCTTTGCTATAAAAATTTAAAATCAGTTAACTCATGCACTTGCCTTTCTTCTTCTATCGTGCCACGCCTTCTTGCAGGTCCAACAACTGGCTGGGAGCATTTATCAGGAGTTCGAACGGATGATCAATCGGTATGACGAGGATGTGGTGAAGAACCTGATGCCCCTGTTGGTGAACGTGCTGGAGTGCCTGGACGCCTCCTATCGCATCAATCAGGAGCAGGACGTGGAGGTGGAGCTGCTTCGGGAGGACAACGAGCAGCTGGTGACACAATATGAGCGGGAGAAGAGTGCCCGAAAACAGTCCGAACAGAAGGTAATACTTATTTTTTATTTAAAAAACACATTTTAATTAAATATATAATCACTAGCTACTGGAGGCCGAGGATCTGGCTGAGCAGGAGAACAAGGAGCTAGCCACCAGACTGGAGTCGGTGGAGAGCATTGTGCGAATGCTAGAGTTGAAGCACAAAAACAGTCTGGAGCATGCCAGCCGCCTGGAGGAGCGAGAAGCGGACCTCAAAAAGGTGAAAATTATTACAATCCAACCATAATACCTCTATAATCAATCACATCCACCCAACAGGAGTACAACAAGCTGCATGAACGGTATACGGAACTGTTCAAGAACCATGTGGACTATATGGAGCGCACCAAGATGCTGATGGGCTCCACCCACTCCCAAATGAGCACCGCCTCCGATCGCATGGAAGTGAGCCGAGCGCGACTGAATCCAGTTGCCAGAAGCTCGGGTCCCGTCTCCTATGGATTCGCCTCGCTGGAGAACTCTGTGATGCTGGACACCGAGACCATCTGCAGTGTGGGCAGCCAGTCGGACGACTCGGGACCACCATCGCTGCAGAACGAGCTGGACAGCCTGGCTGGGACGGTGGAGCGCGGAGCTGCCACCGATGCGCTGCAGCAACAAAATCAGGCCACCTCGCCCCAGAGCCCCGACAGTCCTGTTGTGCCAAATGTGCCCGCTAATGGTAGGTGCCAGGGTCCTTTGGATATTAATTCTTTGCCTCTTACTGATCCACTCACCGTACTAATGTTTCCTTCTCTCTATTTTTTTGATTTTTGTGTTAACTCGACTAAATCCAACACCGACACTCCGCCACATCCCAATCCAAAAACCCCATTCCCAGTTGGTCGATCGACCACCAAGAAGGAGCAGAGGTCGGACAACAATCTCTATCAGGAGCTGTCCTTCCAGGACAATGAGGAGAGTGAGGAGAATGAGATTGTGACAGGTGAGACTGGGAATATAAGAGGGAGAGAGGCTCTTCCAAACTGCACCCTAAATGTTGCTTAATAGGGACTAGGACTTACTGTAACTTTAGCTTTTTTTGAGGAGTTACAGGATGTCCTGTTTACAGAGAAACTAACTCATAAAACCTATACTGAATGCCAATATCCTTTTTTCTTCCTTTTATTTTGCTTCTACCGTGCACCTTCAACCTTGCTACACACTTTAGGCAGCTGGGTACATCCCGGAGAGTACGCGTCCTCAGGTAGGTACCACTCAACCCCCACTCAAGACCATCAATCGCAGCAGCAACCACAGCCAAGACAATTACAAGAAACTCAGCCACAAACACCATATAATTCCTACATATATGGATTCATCTATATAACCTGTAAATACATCAAATATCATGCCAGAATCGACTGAAAAAATCAAAGATATTACTATTGTCTATAAGGATCTTAACTAGTTGCGTATTTTGTGTGTGTTTCTCCTTTTTTTGTGATAATTGTTGGAAATTATTTAAGCTCGAAAGTATGTGTCAGACAGCTGAAAAGCAAAATAGATATCAAATATCAAAATTTAGATACAAAATATATAATAAAATCTTATACCATTGACCGCTAATCAAATTTCTCTTTCTTTTATGCCGAATTCTACTTGTCCAAAATCCCAACCATTTCGTTTAAATCCCACAACTATTTCCCTATTTTAAAAAATCACAAAACCAAATCGACAATACAATATTGTATTTGAAGCTAACGACAACTATTTCGGTAAGTTTAAAGTGCGCTACAAACATCCTCCATAAGTAGAGATATAGTAGCTCCTAACCGTAGGATGTAATCGTAGTTATTTTCTCTCTGATCCTTTCGCCATCGTAAGTTATCCTTCCAATCGCCTGGCATTTCCAATTCTTTAAATTTTGGTGTCAGGGCATTTTCTGAATGAGTTTTCCATTTTCATTTGGTTTTAGTTTAGTCATTTTCCATCTTTGATTTTTGTTTTCCATTTTCTCTATGATTTTTGAAAGGTTTTGGTAGTTTTGCTTGCTAGTAAGCTTTTCATACTATATTTAGTTATTATTTTAATTAAATTGCACACATCTCTCATCGAACTAACACCTATATGAGTTTCGATTGCATGTCCTTAACACTTTTCACACTTGTTTTGTAATTAAAATTTCCAAAATCCCTTCCTAACTGAGCCTTCAATCATTTTCCAGGCATGGGCAAGGAGGTTGAGAATCTCATCATGGAGAACAATGAGCTGCTGGCCACCAAGTAAGTATCCAATATCCCAAATGGGAAATCAATTAGCAGAAATCTTGTAATCTTATTCCTCCCATCCACTAGAAACGCCCTCAATATTGTCAAGGACGATTTAATTGTCAAAGTGGATGAGCTGACGGGTGAGATAGAGATTGTGCGGGAGGAGCTGAATGCCATGCAGCAATCCAGGACTAAGCTGCGGCAGCGCATCAGCGAGCTGGAGGATGAGCTGAAGAAGGCCAAGGAGCAGGTCAAGCAGCAGAGTGAGTATAATCCTACTATTTCTACAAGACTCCTCTCCTAACCCTTCTTCTCCTAGGCACCGAGCAAGAGGAGAACGATGTGCCACTGGCGCAGCGCAAGCGTTTCACTCGCGTGGAAATGGCCATGGTGCTGATGGAGCGTAACCAGTATAAGGAGCGTCTGATGGAGCTCCAGGAGGCAGTCCGTCTCACAGAAATTCTACGAGCCACCCGGACTGTTGACAATTTGGACAAGAAGTCGAAGCAAAGCATTTGGAAGTACTTTAGTAATCTTTTTACGTAAGTTTCAAAGGATATAATAATGATAGGAGTATTTATTAATGAGTAACCTTTTCCCCAAACAGCCCCTCCAACCGCCCGACGGAACGCGTCGCGGACGGTCTCGGAGGGGGGCCAATGTTTCGTCACACCGGCGGAGGAAGCCCTGCCCATAGCCATGGATCTCCCAGTCGAGGTGGAGGAGGCGACAATCGCCTTACCCTAACCAGCGGCCAGCCACCCGTTCACCCGGCCAGTGCCGGTCTGGCCAATGCCCTCATTCTGCCCAAGGACTATGCCGAAGAGGGCGGCTCGGAACGGATAAGTGCACGTCGTCGAGAGCAGTATCGACAACTGCGCGCCCATGTCCAGAAAGAGGACGGCCGGCTGCACGCCTACGGCTGGAGTTTGCCGATCAACAAGGCCAATCAGGAGGCGAATCCCAGCCGGCATTCCGGCGGCGTACCGGTCCCAGTTTACTGTAATCCCCTGGCGGAAGCGTCGCCCCACATGAAGGTGTTCTGCGCCGCGGGCGTGAATCTTCACGGGGGCTTCACCAAGGACGGGCAATCCCTGATACCTGCCAATTCACCGTATGCACCGAAATCCACGCTGAAGATAGCCGAGATCACAAGCCCCACGGCGGAGCACAGTGTGGAGGCGCTGGACAGGCAGATGGCACGCGCCAGCTTGGAGACCCTGGAGCCGGAGACACAGCTCAGCTCGTTTGTGTGGATTTGTACGAGCACCCATGCCGCCAGCACCGTCAGTGTGGTGGACGCCAACCAGTCGGCCACCGTGCTGGACGCCTTTCCCATATGCTCCTCGCATCTGCTATGCATAGCCTCGGTCCAGGGGGCAATGGAGAGCGACTACGCCCTGCTGGAGCAGTCGGAGGTGGTCAAGGCGGGCGAGATGCTGCAGAGGCCGGGCGAAGGACCAGAGCTCCTGGGCAAGGTGGAGTTTGTGCGAGTGAAACCAAAGACAGAGGACGAACAGAAGCAGCAGCAAGAGGAGGAAGAGGCCAAGGAAGCCACCGAGAAGTCCAACGAGCAGATGCCAGTCGTCGATGCCGAGGAGCCTCTTGGCAATGTGGAAGCCATCAAGATACGCCAGGCCCTCCCTGGAGCTCCCCAACGCCTGCCCGCCGATGGCGTCAATCAGGCCAATAACAACAACAATAGCAACAGTGTAGTGTTTGCCACAAAATCGCTGAACCCCATTCTGGGTACCAAGGAGCGCGAGGAGCCTGCCATGAGCTCGGTGGGACCCACCATGTGGATGGGAGCCCAGGACGGTTGGTTGTACGTGCACAGCAGCGTGGGAAGGTGGCACGAGTGCCTGCACAAGGTTCAGCTGCCGGACGCTGTCCTGGCGATTGTGCATGTGGAAGCGAGGGTTGTTGTGGCGCTGGCCAATGCCCAGCTGGCCGTGTTCCGCCGCCAGACAGACGGCCAATGGGATCTGAATAGCTATCACCTGGTGACGCTCGGTGATCGCAACCATTCGATACGTTGCCTCTGTGTGGCCGGCGAGCGCATTTGGGCGGCCCATCGCAACAAGATCTTTATCGTTGACCCTGTATCGCTCAACATTGTGCATTCGCTGGACGCTCATCCGCGCAAGGAGAGCCAAGTGCGTCAAATGGCGGCCACCGGGGCTGGAGTCTGGGTGTCCATAAGGTAATTACTAAACCCTTACGATTAAAGTCTTTTAACTGATTTTGTTCTATGATTTTCTAGACTGGACTCTACGCTGCGGCTGTACAATACCCACACCTTCGAGCACAAGCAGGACGTTGACATTGAGCCGTATGTGTCCAAGATGCTCGGCACCGGCAAGCTCGGCTTCAGCTTTGTCCGCATCACTGCTCTGATGGTGTCCTGCAACAGGCTGTGGATCGGCACCAGCAACGGGGTGATCATCTCAGTGCCACTGGCTGAGGTGCAGCAGAAGTCATCATGTAAGGCGGTTGTTAATCTTATCGAGCTTGTTCTAATGAGTGTATTGTCTTCCATAGCCGATCCCCATGGACAGATGCCGCTGTGTTGTATGGCCAACGCTCAACTCTCCTTCCATGGTCATCGGGATGCCGTCAAGTTCTTTGTTTCGGTGCCGATGCTGCAGCAGCCGAACCTTAATGGGGGACTGACCTTCACCAACAAGCGACCCGATATGCTGGTCATGTGCGGTGGCGAGGGTTACATCGATTTTCGCATAAGTAAGTGGAACAGTTGACACACCGAGCTACTGCCAGAGCCGGTGGCAAAGCTCTGAGTCAGTACCTGAGTGCCTGAGTGTATAACCATTCCATATTCCATCCCATCTGCAGGAAATGATAAGTACGATGCTAGCGATAATGCAGCGCACTTGATAGTTTGGAAAGTCGATACGTAAGCTTTGGTTTGATTTTTATTTCGTTTTATTTTCGTTTACCTTTTTTCCGCTTTTGCATTTTAAGTTTTTATATATTTTTTTAATTTGAATGCTTAGTTTTGTTATTGTCCTAAAAATTGATTTTGTATGTTCTGATGTTTGCGAGTTAATTGTGCGATTTCTGCCCCGCCTGTAGAACCTTCAATCTGTAGCAGGAAGTGTACCACTCCTACCACTCCTACATCGGATGGCGTCAAAGACGTGACCTGAACTGAAACTGAATTAAGCTCCTAAAAAGGTTTAAGCAAGTCCCATTTATAATTTATTTCTTGTTTCTATCGGCACCAATATATTACCGCCTTTATCCAAAAGACTGCAAACCAGTACCAATTACTATTCGGTTTTGCGGATGCGGATCTTAACTCATTCCGTGTAGTGTCTAAGCACAAATCACAATTTCAAGCCGCACAAAGTCTTCATGGTGTACCGTGTCCTTTGTCCCTAAACACTAAGTATCAGGGTTTGGAAATCTGTATATACAAAAAATTATATATTTTTTTAGTTATTTGCCCTTAACATTATTTATTTATTTGATTTTGTTTAATACTACACTTGCTTACTAAATCATAAAAATAATAAAAGAAAATCCCAGGACTTCCCAACTACCCTGTGCCCTGTAATATATCTCAATATGATCGAAAAATACCCTGTAGTTTTTTTCTTGTCATCGCAGCACTAACTCATCGACTATTTTTAATTCGTGTTCTTCCCCTTTGTTTGATAACATACTTGTAATCTTTATTATCCTTTCTTACAGATGATAACGATATGGAGAACAGTATCCAACTGGAACCAAATCAAACGATCGAAAATCGGGGCGACAAGAGTTACTTGATTGTGTGGCATGTTAGTCAACGTTAGAACCGATTATTCGGCTTAAGTGCAAATGAATATTTATAGCAGATATATATATGAAAGCAAATACATATACATACATGTACACCTGCAGGCTAGCGAAAGGATTACCTTAAACTTAGTATTTATCTAACATACCTTAAAACAACAAGAACTACCACAATGACTAAATCCATTGGTTCTATTTTATAATTTAGTTAAACAAATTTTCATATTTAAGCCGCCTGGTATCCCCAATTGTTTTACATTGCTTCAATTAAACCAAAAAAAAAATTAAAAAAAAAAAATAAATTAAACTACAAAGTTATTTATCCGTGATAGCCGGCAAAAATATTTCAAGAAATATATATACATTAAAAATAACATGAAGTAAGATTTAAATTTGTAAATTTTATGCGCTTAGCTGGCAGCAAGTTATATATATTTTACACAAAAACACCACATATAAATTTAAAAAATATATATATATATATATCTGAACATGATACGGAAAAGTGCGCTTTTTCGAGGGAATTTCTGCGTGATTCTTTGTCCAAATATATAGTAGAATCATCATTTTTATCAATAATTATGTTTAATTTTTTTTTTGTGTTAAATTAAAACGCAATTTATGTTTAGATACTTTGTTAAATAATTTTAATTTTTAGTTCAAAGAGTTCATGCCTTAACCTTGATTGTTATTCATTTGTTAGTAAGCCTATGTTTTAGTAATAAATCTGATTAGTAAACTGACCAAAACTCTGATATTTTTGTATGATTTGAAAGCTCTATATATGAACTTCACTCTCATATATTTATTTCGAATTTATTTATTCACTATTTTGGTTAACATTATACCTTAAATTTATCTCATTAATTTTCCTCTCTACTTCCGCATCGAGTTCCCTTTTCTTGATTTCCACCTCCTTTTGTTTTAGCTCCTTTAGTTTTTTAATTTCCTGTTCCTTTTCAGAAATTCTCCGATTTTCATCCCTTTTTTTTGCTTCTATTTCCTGTTGCTGCTCTCTTTTCTGTTCTTCTAAACGCCTCGAAGATTCACGATCAGAAGCGGCTATAGTCTCTTTTAGATTTCTTCCTGATGTAAGCAACATGACTTTAGGTTCCTTTCGAAAGGCAGGTCGTTGCAATATTGATGAAAAAGGTTGCATTGCACGCCAATATATAGCATTTTTGAAAGTTGATAAAAAAAGTGTTCCCACCTTAGATAAGCTATATGTATAACTGAAAAAATGCTATAGGTTTGGGATGAATCATTTAAAAAAAACAATTCTTTTTAGTGGATTCACATGTTTTTATTTGTATTTATTTTTTGACTAAGCTCTTCTTAGACACTTTTTAATGTTTTCAAACTTAACTCGTAGTCTCGCAACTCCTTTTGGGCCTTCAGTTCCATTAATTGCATGTCCAAGTCCATGTTCCTCATCTGGTAACCGGCTTTTTCTTCCATTCCCTGGAGCCGTTCCTGCAGCTTATGGTCCATTTCTTCCATTTCTCTGTTGATTCTCTCTATGCTTTCTTGTAATTCTATTTTACTATTATTTATAATCATTATGACACCTCTAACCATCTCTTGTTTTTGAGTTTTTTCAAGCTTCATGATCTCTACGAATTCCATGTCTTTCGATAAGTAGGTACCTGCAATACTGTTGAAAGAAGTTTCTTTGAACCCCAATATATACCCGTTTTAAAAATGATTCACTCGATAAGGCAACTGTTTTCTTTATTATCTTTGATCTTATCTTATCATTTTATATATTGAATTAAATGGAGATTCATACTTTAGAGTTATACTTTTAGGAATTTAATTAGTTTTATATTTTAAGCCTAACTCATGTTTTTGCCACTTTTCTTCAGCTTGCAGCTCCATTTTCTTCATATCCACCTCCATTTGTTTCATTTCCAACGAAGCGGAGATATCCATTTCCCTTAGGCGTATCAGGAGCTGTTGTTCCCTTCTCTTCAATCCTTTGAGGTGTCTTGCATTATCTTGTTGTAGCTTTAGCCTCAACCTAGCATTTAAGGAAGTTTTAAGAATTGCAATCTCCATGGTAGAACAAGCTTTAGAAGTGCAGGTCGCTATTGTGTTATTGATTGAGGTTCGGGCCCATATATACCTCCAGGGTTACTGTACTACTTTTTCCAAGAACTGCTGATAAAAACTGTTCCCAGTCAGTGACACAGAATGACGACGAAACTTTGTGTTCTTCCCCCGAATTCAGTTCATAAAATAAAAGCCCAACCAAAATCCCCTAAAAAATAATATGTTAGCCCAACAAAATACTAAAAAAGAAAATAAAATATGAGCATGTTATATCTATATTATAACTATATCATATTATTTAATGCTATTTACACGCTTTGTAGCTTAAATTGTAATTTTTTCGTAGCTCCCCTTGAAACAAATACTTTCATAAGAAAGTATAATAGTACATCAGAACAGTACAAGTTTATTTAAAAATTTTATTAATTTTAAAATTAATTTTTTTCAACACAAAACAGCCATTAGTGGCTGTTTACCACTCACGGCGTCTCTGATCTTTATAATCTGACTCGAAGCCTTGATAGGTCTTTTCTGAAGGTTGTTCCGGATAGTATTCAATATCTTCCTCCACTTTTTCGAAGTCCACAAAGCTTGGCACCAGCTTCGTCGCAACTGTGCCCTTTTTGGTATCACTTTTGTAGATCTTTACGGATACTTGGCGGCAACCGTACTGAAGTAATCCATTGACTTTCTTCAGAGCACCCAGCGACTTTTCGTTGAGAGTGACTGAAATATTCCTGGAGTTTCCATCAGGGTCGGATACGCGGGTCACTTTCCAATCCGCCATTGGTATCTTTGGATTACACACCTGTAGCATCTTGAGTATATTTTCTGGTTCTGCTGGTTTGGCTGAAACCCAAATGTTGGCCCTTGGCACAAATGGAATCTGATCTATGTCCACCGCCTCTAGCTGGGCGCCTTCATAGACTTCCCCAAGAGCTTCAACGGCCTCCTTCAACATATAAGAGGATCTTGCATCCTGACAAGCGATCAATTTTACACGACCTTGATGCCAGCCTCCGTCCCAGCATACCGGAGGGGGTCCGCCAAATCTTTCCAAGTGACCCAGGAAACTGTCCTGAAGCTCCCCTTCGACAATATTCCACTTTTCGCGTGAGATAAACCCGCCACTGACTGCCCTATCGAGGACGCCAATTATAACCTTATTACCCCCATTCGGAATTGACTTGGGGCTTGGGCTTGGGTCGGTATTGGAGGTGTTATAGTCATTCTGGGAGTGTTGCTGATCATTTGATTGGTGCTCGTCTTCCGAGTAGTGTTCCTTCTGAGAGCGGAGCTCGCCCTGAGAGTAATGCTCATCCACAGAGAAGTGTTCCTCCTGAGGGTGGAGCTTGTCCTGCCATCGGTGCTCGTCCTGAGAGTGGTACTCGTAGTGAGAGAAGCGTTCATCGTGGCCTTCGCCACCAGTACCATTGTACTCGTCCTGAGAAATGTAATCATCTTGATGATAGTTCTGGTCCTGCCATTCCTGCTGGTCCTGAGAGGTAGGCTCGTCTTGATAGTGGTAATCCTCATGCTGGTGCTCGTCTATATAACGATGCTCGTCCAGAGGCATGTGATGCTTAGTATAGGGCTTAGACCTATTGTTTTCAACCTGATTTTTAGCTTTCCTCGATTTGGCTCTTGGGGGCTGATAGTTAGGAAGTACCATTTGTGCCCATCGGATTTCATCGTTTTGTTTTGGGGTAATGTATTCTGCTGTTAAAGCCATGTCGAGAATATGACAAGCCTTTCTTTTGTCTCGATAGCCAAACTTCCTAGTTGTTGGGGAACGGCTAGAATCGTATCGTGTGCCATTATCGGGAAGATCTCTTCCTGACGCTGACCACGAGGGCGAATTGGACGATTGAAAGTCCTGGTCATGATCATGTCGTTCTCGCCTTTCATAGAGATTGGTTCTGTAAGGGTCTCTGGACCTTCCTCCGTATTCAGATCTATGTTGGTTCATGGTTTTTGTTTTTTAAAGCAACTATATGTAGGTTTTGAAAGTAAAAGGCTCACACGTTCATCGTATTGCTGGCGGCCTAAGAAAATAGTAAGGATAAAATCAACGTGTAAGAAGTAGAATTAGCTTATTCTTACGGAATGGTGACCAAAATGTCCAATTATCTAGTTATTCTCTTATCTTTAGTCTTATTTTGTTAGCCAAAACAATGTTTACGTTTTTTTGGGTGTTTAAGGTCATATTGCCTTTGTGTTATCGATTATTTTGGGGAAGTCCTCTTCCTAACGCCTGGTTTCTTCGGCGCCTAATGGTCACACTGCACCATCAGCTGCTTAAATTCCTGTCATTACGCTTCAAATCAAATGGATATTGCTTTGTCCGCCAAACCGCATCCAAACCCATGGCCACTTTGAGTGAAACCTTACGCGCCCACTGGCTCATATCCTTGTTCGGGCTGATCCTCTTCGTCGCTGGGAGCGCGGTTCTCTACATCAATGAAGGTCAAGCGGTGCACAACATGATGGCTCTGGATGAGGCGCACTCCGACATCTTCTCGGTTCGATTCACAGAGGAGGAGCTGGAAGTTGGTCTAGATGGCAGGATCGTTCACCTGTCCGGTCCCATCTTGGTGGGTGAACCGCTGACCGAGCCGGACTACAATATTCAGTTGCTGGCAGTTAAGCTTCGCCGAAAAGTTCAAATGTACCAGTGGGTGGAGGAGACAGTGTAAGTAGTAAACTATTATAGCGATGACAATGCTTTGATATTCTTATCCCTTTAACTACGCAGAGAACACAACTTCGGCGAGAGCGTGGGATCCACACAGTCGGACTCACGCACCTACTACTACACACGGGAGTGGCGGGATAAGATCGTGGATTCGCGCAGCTTCTACAACCCACACGGGCACAAGAACCCCACACACTTTCCCATAGAGAGCCATGTGCAAGTGGCCGATGCCGTTTACATCGGGCGCTATGAACTTGGAGCCGAAGTCAAGGATAAGTTTGGAGTGTATCAGGAGCTTACCTCGGATATTCGGCCGGAGGACAGTAGCGTTAAGCTACACCTCGGCATATACTACCATACCAACGATGTGTTCAATCCTGAGGTGGGGGATTTGCGCCTGCTCTTCAGCTTCGCGGGCATGGAGGGCGAGACGTACAGCGTGGTGGGCAAGTTGGTGGGTAACAAAATCGAGCCCTATGTAACCTCTCGCGGTGTCCCCGTGCTACTGGTCTATCCAGGTGGATTAAGTGTTCATGAGGTATTCCGACTGGAGGCACGCGCGCAGGTGTTGCAAACCTGGTGGTGCCGTTTCATTGGATGGCTGCTCATCTTCTTCGGCGTCACTTGCAATACCAAAATTCTCCGTGTTCTGTGTAAGTCTTAAGATGGCATACTTTTGGAGAACTCCCATATAATTGTGTTTTTTTGTTTTAGTCCTTCGTGTTCCGCTGCTGATAGCTTTGGCCCCGGATCCACAGTTCCCGGTGACGGGCAATCTCCTTATCGCCTTTTCGTTGGCCCTGACCCTCGCGGCAGTGGCCTGGATTTTACATCGTCCTGTGATAGGCGCCTGTCTCCTTTTGGCCGGCGCCTCCCCCTATGTTTGGTTCACCCGCAATCTATTCGCCTACCATCGCCTGGACTGACCCCTCAACATCTTCATCCTATTTACAGGTTTATTTATTTCGTCTTTATGTTTAGTGTGGCGCACACACAAAACGCCCAACGCCCCGGCCAATAAAACTTAGTAACACTTAGTCGATAACTTACGTCTAGAAGGTGGAAGTGCTGGGAGGTGCCACATTCGGTTTCGACTCACTGGATGAGGAAGTATGCACGCTGGGGCTCTGGGATTTGTCCTGCTCTTCGTGCCCACTGGGAGGCTCTTCGTAGCGGACATAGGGCTCGAAGCTGTTATTGATTTGGACGGAGCCGCGATGCAGGTTGTTGGACTCGGCCTCAAACAGAATTTCGTTTATGAACCGCTCGGCAAGAAGCCGTTGTTCGCGTGGCAGCCGCTTCAGCTTATGCGTCCACGTCCTGGCGATGGACTCCTCTTCGGGATAGGTTCCGTTTAGATATTCGCAGGCTATGTTAAGTAGATCATCGGTGTTGTGATTAGTGGCTGCCGGTCCCGTACCTGTTCCTGGAACGGCTCCAGGCGGGGTTTGTCTAGAGCGCTTGTTGACAACATAATCTCCTGGAGCGCCAGTCGATGGCGGTGGCTGAGGGGGCGGCGGTCCAAACGATTTATGAAACATCTCCGAAATGTTGGGTGTTTGGCCACCCGCTCCCCTTGCAGAGTAATGTAGGGAACTGGCGCCAACACCGTTACAACCCTCCAGAAAGGCGGTGGTGCAACTGCTGGCCTCGTTGAATGCAAAGGAGGGCTCGTTTTTGAAGGCGGGATTGACGGCCAGAAACTTTTCCGAATTGCGCAGAAAGTCGAGCTCCTGGAAGGTCCAGCACCTGGGACTGTGGAGGCTGCCCGCCCGCATGGCACTCTCCACTACTTTCAGCTCCTTTCTGTAGTTTGTTCGCAAAGTGTTGATCTTCTTTTTCACATCCTCCACGGTGGCATCGCGCTTGAGATAATGGTAAATGGGTACCAGTCGGAGGTACGCCTCTGCCCGCTTCTCCCGATTGGTGTAATCCCGTAACGATGTGTCCCACAGCACGGGAAGATCCCGATACGTCTGTATAAAGGCGCGCAAATAGTGACGGTTCTCCTCAGCCCCAGACATCACCTTCAGGCCGTGAGGAGGCGGCTGGGGTAGCATCTTCTGGTGGTCCTGGCTCAAAATTCCAAGCTGGCCAACGAGCACCTCAACGCAGGCTTCTAAAACAAAGTCCTTAGGTAACCAGCAAGCTCTTCCACTGCGATTTTATTGACCAACTGTCAATTTGGACCTCTTGTTGTTGTAATTGCCCGTTTGACAGATTGTTTGCCATATTGACGTAATGTCATTATGCATATATATATATATATACAGCAACAAGTTGAAGTGTCATCTCTGACAAGTTCCATCCCTAATAAAGTGTTATCTCTAAAAGCAGTATTAAATTTTCAATGGTATTTTTTGTGATAATCTTTATTTTAAAATAAAACCACCAAAACTAAATTATTAATATTCTTTATTATAAAATATAATAAATTTTTATAATAAAACTGTTTACAAGAACCGTGACATGAGTTTCTTTTAAAATTTTGTTCCTAAAACCCGTTGTGTGGAGTTTTTAAATTTGATTGGCCCGCCAAATGTGGAACGTGGATGGTGGATTGTGATTGGAGCAAAGCAGCACATCAAAAGATAGCACCTGTATCTGTATCTCGAAGAACGCGAACGGACGAGGACGTGGACGCGGATACGGATACGAATGAGAAAAAATGTAGCGCCAAATCAAACCGAGTTTAAATGTGAAAGTGATATATGTTGTGCAAAATATATAACTCAAATCAAAAACAGAAATCAAAATATTTAATAAATATTATATTACTTAAATAAAACTTAACCAAAAAACCGAAACCAAACTGGAATATTAGGTATATATATCCGTAAATTCGGTAAACAAATCAAACGAAAAATGAATTCATGAGATGCATTTGAAATCAATGAAGCCTTTTTTTTTTTTTTTTTGTTGTTGTTTTTTTTTGTAGGCTGGTGCGTGTTTGTGGCTCCATTTCCGTTTGCTTTGACGGCTCCTTTGCATCCTTTTTGCAAAGTGGCGCCATTTCCTGTGTCCCTGTGTTTTCTCATTGCAATCAAAGCTCAGTTGGAGCCACAATCACAGATTACAGTGGGGCCTCCTTGGACAATATTTAAATAGGATATAGAATTTTAAAAATCTCATCAGGAAAAGAAACGTTGCGCAGGGCTTTTGGTTTCAAAGTTTAGAATTCAAAATAAAAATTCTACAAAAATAAAGTATTTTTAAATAGTTGCCTAATCAAATTGTTTGTTTTGCTTAGCCCTCTCTTAAGTTTTAAATCACTGATTAGATTGGAAAATCGAAGTAGCTTTTTGCAACTCATTCTAATTAGTCTTATTACATCGTTTTACGTAGTTGTTTGATTTACGCAATCCAGACTGTAGTTGCGAGAAGACAAAGGCATCTCCGCCCAACCTCAAGCTGCATATGAGTTAATATTTGTCTAGTTTTTGAACATGCCGCTTTTGTCGTAGTCCTTTGTGTTCGGGTTCGTCTGACGTTGACGTTGATGCTGGAGTTGACAAACCAACCAGGTCCTGGTCCACTTTGGATATGCCAGCGTCTTTGGGAGGGAGGGCGTTGGAGGGGGCATCCACATCACAGCAAATAGCTCTACTTTCCACTCACGCTAAAAGTGCTATCCTTTTGCAGGATAGCTGCAGCACAGGATGCGAATGGTTGTATGTATGTGTGTGGGTGGATGGGTGTGTGTTTGAGCGACTCCCTAGCGCTGTAAAATATGCAATTAGAAAGACATCAAAGCACAGTCACCGCTCAACTCAACGCTGATAGCCCGGCACCACCCACACGCCCACGCCCGCCACTTACTTTCCCGCCTCCTCTTCAACCCCTTTTATCCCTTTTCTCGGTCGCCAGCCCGCTTTTCTATTCGCTTTGACACTGGCACCGTAATACACTCAACAAAAAATGGGGGCTTTACCTTATATTTACTTTGAATTTGTAGATTTTATTTTTTTCGGTCAAATAATACCCTTTTTTTGGAGTGTAGACTGCAAGGACACTTGGCGAAAAGTAGAGAGTGAAGGTAAAAGAAAGGCTCTTGAAGTACCCAGCCCCCCAAAACAAGCCAAACCGAAGCGAGTCTCATCATTAGTGGGCCTCCCTCCGTTTGTGTCACCACTGGCGTTTTTTTGATATTATTTATTTATATTTTTCACTTTTAATAAAATGTTGTCGCCGACTGCCGTCAGCCGCCTGCCTACTGCCGACTGCCTCCTGCTACTTTGCTTTGAGCTGAAAGGAAAACATGATGATGAGGGGGCCAGGCCCACCAGATATCCCTGGGGGGAGGGGGGTGGGGTGAGGAAACACTTTGCCAAAACGAACGGCCAAGCGAGGTCAATTGGCTTAATTACTGTGTGACAGCGTGTGGACAAGTGGCGGAGGCGTGTTCCGAATACTTCCACACTCAGTAGTCCATCCCCACCCCAAATATAAACAGTCTTACATTTATATTCCATCTATATTTCAACAGATAGCCGCCGAACCGATCCAAACTGAAACTCCTCTATCAATAGAGTCCCTTGTGCAGGCAAGAGCATTAAATTTAATCGGTTTTCATTTTTTGTCTGTGTTTCTTTTCAATCACTATCTATGTTTGTAACGAGCATGGCAGTCAGATTTCATCCAAGTGAGGGCACTGAAAAAAATATACATATAAATAATAAAGAATACTTTATGAAACTAAAGCTAAAGAATCTATAGACTTAAATCTGAGAATATACCTTTGGAAATAGTGTTAACAAAATTCCTCATTAATTTATTTCAGTGTATAAAAAATTTCAACTTGCATATAGTTTTAAAGTGGTGCGTAAGCCGACGCTTATCAAACGGATGCCATTGGCCATGTTGATGAACTTTGACTTCCACTTTGTGACACACTCATTTCCGCGGCCCGGATAGACTTATCAATGTGCACAAAATGCACTCGACTATTTAATCACCATAAAAAATATACATAAATAAACAAATACACAAACTTGTGCAAAAAAAAACCCAAAGAACCAACGATAACAATGCGTCTGAGTGGCTGGCAGTTTCTGCTGCTCCTTCTGCCCTGGGGCGTGGTGCATGCCGTCCGCCAGTTGGAGGAGAACCAGAGCTCCAAGAATGATAATCTGCCCCACGTGCGACAACGTAGCAACAAAAATAATGCCTCGGCGGATCAGCATCGTCATGTACCCGGAGTATCTAAGAAAAACAGTCGCAGGCCGGCAAAAACCACATCCGCGGACCAGGATTCGGACGACTATGTCTGGCTGGATGCGGATACCAGTGAGGCCATCGATAGCTCGGAAACAACAGCGGTGGGGTCTGTCAAATCGTCCGGAGATCCACAGGGTAAGTAATCTTATCAAGTTGCGTTGATCCACGGATCATAACCCAGTGACCATTGACGGAAAGATGAAAGTTGTGGCTTATCGCATAAATTTTTAATAGAAGCCTTGAGAATATTTCGAAAAAAATAGAAAAAATATATAAATTTCCGATAGTTAGAAAACAATCCAGAAATTGGCTCTTGGCCAATAGCCACCGCTGGGGGGCCACCATGTCCTTCCATGCATTTTCCAAATTTTTGAAGGGATCTCCCCAGAAAATTGACAAAAAATCTGAAAAATATTTTGTTGCTGGATTTTGATGCAGATTGATGGAGAATCGATCCAGAAATCGTTTAAGGTATTCCGCTTAAGAATCGGATGGAAATTGGCCAAGATATGGCTATCGCTGGGGGCCACCTTGTCCTTCCATGCATTTGTTCACATTTTGAAGGGATCTCCCCAGAAATTTTGACAAAAAATCTGACAAATATTTTGTTGCTGGATTTTGATGCATATTGATGGAGAATCGATCCAGAAATCGTTTAAGGTATTCCGCTTAAGAATCGGATGGAAATTGGCCGAGATATGGCTACCGCTGGGGGGCCAACTTGTCCTTCCATGCATTTTTCCACATTTTGAAGGGATCTCCCCAGAAATTTTGACAAAAAATCTGAAAAATATTTTGTTGCTGGATTTTGATGCAGATTGATGGAAAATCGATCCAGAAATCGTTTAAGGTATTCCGCTTAAGAATCTGATCGGAGATCTAATCTAATTAGATCTCTGATCTAATGGCGGAGATATAGCCAGCGCTGGGGGTTTCTCCAATAGTTTTCCGAAAATAATTAGACTCTTTATGTTCCATAAAACAAAAGAGCATTAACAAATTGTTGATTTACGAGTTGTAATCCCAATAAATGAAATTTATTCGAATTCGAATACTTTAATTGCTATTTGTAATGAATGAAGGTTTGCTTTTTGGCGTTGTCACTTTTATTTGCTGGCCTCCGGCTGGGGAGCCTGGCCCGCATTTCTAGGGCTGGTCACTTCGGATATAGCCACTCTGCAAATTTAAACACCATCTCCGCCCATTCCCATTCGATGTGCATGCAAATGGAACCGCACTCCGACTCGCTACCCCATTCACATCCACGTCCAGATCCACATCAGTGGTGTCACTTTTTTCTGAGCAAAAAAAGCTGGATCAACGAAAAAAAAAAGCTAAAAAAAGCGGAATACCAGAGGAAAAAAGTTAAGAAAAAAACTGATTTTTATAAGGCAACGTACTGCATGTTATTCACTAATAAGACCTCAGTTCCACTTAACATAAAATATATGGGTAATTCTCTAACGGATATCATTACAAGAAACCACAAAAAAACAATAATGTAAAAAAATTAAGATCTATATTATATTTAAGATGTCGTCAATATTATCATCATCATCAGTTGGATAAAATTTCTTGTCTTCAATTGTAGATAGGCAGCTGGGTGGTATATTATAGTTAAAACAGCACATATTGTGTCGACGCAGCCCGTACCTCAAATTTTAAGTAAATTAATTTATAATTTTAAGATACAAATTAAAATATGGACCTTATAATCAGTATAGCGTTTAATGTTTCAACGCTCATGTGATTTCGAATTTTCGTTTTTATTAAATGTACTTGGCTGAATAACCGCTCGACGTCGGCATTCGACCAAGGCAGGACTGCATTTGCAGAGCAACTGAAGCCAATTCCTGAAAACGGCAGTTTCCGCCAGAATCCCGATATTTAAGAACTTCAGCCCAGAACTTAACAGTATCATCGACATTTTCCCACTCTACCATGGTTATGTCGTACAGTCGTTAAATTGTATCTATATTAGGAGTACCAAAATACTCAAGGATTGGAGAGATTTGTTTCTTTTTGATTTTTAAAATATTTTCAACAGAGAATGCATCAAACTGTAAACAAAAAAAAAAAAGCTGCGTAAATTTGCTCAAAGAGCCAGAATTCCCGCTGCCCGCTGTTTTCATATTTTTCCCGCAATCACGCTTCAAAAAAACCCAGATCTGACGGGAAAAAAGCGGAAATGACACCACTGATCCACATCCGTCCCCATCCCCGCATGCAGTCACTTAATCAAAAGCAATAATTTTCTTTTTGAGCGCGAATCAAATGTTTTAATTGAAAGTGCTGATGCTGATGACGATGATGATGATGAGGATGATGATGCCACTGTTTTGTATCTGTATCTGGGCGTATGCGTGTTTGTATCTAAATTGAAACTGTGTTAAAAATTAGTTTAAATTGCCACAAAGCTGGTGAAGTCTGATGGCGCCTGCATAGGCTTGCTACATATCCACAGTCCAAAGTATCTCCGCTCCGATTCGGGATCATGGCAATATATTTTCACTATCCCGACGCCGCGTGTTTTATTAACTCCAAGCCGGGATAGTGAGTGAGTTATGGCAAGTGCCGGGGGGATGGGTGTCAGTTGGGTATGATAAATGTGTTAGATTTCCAATGAAACTTTATGACCCGCTCGTATATGTCGCCGCCTTGAGCTTAACTGATTGTCGCTCTTTTTGCAAAAGGAAATTCTTCAGTGGGGCCAGTGGAGCCGGTGGGGCGATGTTGTGCATCTGAAATGAATTGGATTGTGTGGCGTTTGAAATGCTTTGCATACAAATGGCCATCGCAACTGGTTTTGATTGTTGGCTTCAGATGGGCCTGGGCTTACGGCCCATAAAAGCTATTCATAAAACAATAATGTTTGTTGCACTCACGTAAATCAAATGGGTGGTCGGATGAGCGGCATAAGATGGCTTATCTTCTTCGATTATCTCTTTCAAAGAATGAAGAAAGCCGAAGAATTCGAAATGCCGACAAATCAGTTGTGACACTTGACACAAGTCAAGAGAATTGCTTTTCAAAGCGATTATTTATAGAAGCCGCCCTATATCTATCTAAAATCTTGTTTTAATATTTTGAAAAATATTTTTTCTCGGTGTGGTGCGTTGACAGGCAGTTTAGATCATTGGCCAGAGAGTGAAGACTGCGCAACTTTGCAACTAAAACCGAAACTAAAATAATAAAAATAGCACTCAACGACACACTAGGCGGAGAGTAGCAAGCACAAATGAAAACATTAACAGTTTTAAAAATAAAACTCGCTATATAAAAGCGAATCTGATTCTGAATCAGAATCAAAATAAGAATAAAAGACAGCCAGGGGACGGGCAGATGGCCTGGGAAATCAAAAAGGCATTTTCCAAGCGATTTGTCACACATTTCACATTTGCAGTTCCCAGTTGCCATTTTGGCCATTTGATTCCCCAAATCAATGTTCATAGGCCGCGGCCAAAAAATTTATTTCGGTGGACTTCAAAGTAAATTTACGCTAAAATTAGGCACTCAACCCGACAGAAAAAAAAAAAGACAAAAACTGTCCGTACTGGGCTGGCCGACTAGGCCAAAAATACCGGGGGCGATAGTCTTCCAACTGGGGGAGAAAATCTTTGGCAGTATCCCGCCCCTCCCCGTCGTTTTTGGTTTGTTTTTGGCCCCGCTTTGGCAATTGCACACTTAATTAATGGGCACTGCTTTTGATCTTCTGTGAAGTTCAGTAGCCCCCCAATTCCTGTTCCAAGTGACAAAAACTGAACTGAAATTTTTCACGCACTCAACAAAACTCTTTGAACCCGCCCTTTACGCCCGGCCAACTGTCACACGTCTCGGATCCCATCCCATACCGGGAGTCCCCAAGACCGGAGATCGGAGATGCGAACTAGGACGGGGACATGTGTCGCACATGTCAGACATGGGAAGCTGTTTCCAGCTAGAGATGAGTTGGCTTCTCTGTGACATGATCTGAGGGGATTCCAAAGATGTGAGGAAGTTCCTCCTCAGAGATACCCCTAAAAGTCAGGAAATATAATTTAATTATTCGTGTCACGATTATCGTAAGTATCCCTTCGAACAGACTTATTTATATTCATTTAGTGTCTCCAAGACTAGGATTAGCTGGGCTATCTATTTGTAAATCTTCAATTCAATTAAAATGATGTCAATGATAAAGAGAAGAGGGAATTACTATATACCTCTATGACCTTCTCTATGTACATATATATCTGCTCAAATACTGGAAATCATTTAAATGCCTGTCATAAAAGAACCAAATCACCAATCGTATTATTCGATTTCTGTTTACATTTAGGATTTTAATTTCCTGCAATTTATAGTCTGATTCTTTTGCCAAATTTTCGCTGTATTTTAACAGATTCAATTGTTTAAACCATTGGAGATCTTAAAAAAATTTGGTTCAATACATTAATCGTAAATTATCACGCTGTCATCTCTGCTCTTAAATTTCCTGCCCCTCATATAAGTATATATTTTTTTTGCCACAAAAGTTCAACACCCAATGAGCAATCTTCCAAATGAACCGCAAAAATAAACCAAAAAGAGGAAATTTTTAAAAATAAGGGGAAAAACATGGGGTAAGTGCTTAATAAGTGATCAGTCATAAGGCGAAACCGTAGATAAGCTGGATACCCAGCCACCTAATTAGTGTGAAAAGTGAAAGAGCTTCTTTCCTGTGGTGGTGCTCCTTGAAATATCACTTTGTGATTTGGAGTAAAGTAAAACCAGGGAGAGGCAGAAGAAAGACAGATATCCAAATCCCAGACAGACTCACATGTGGCCATCGTGATCATGATCGGGAATCGGGCATCAAGCTACCCGCTCCTTTAACGATCCTCGGGCCGATCTCTTGCTGTTTTCCGTGGCATTTATTTAAATTTTAATTTACTGAGTGGTGTCAAAATGCGTGAGCCAAGCCATTAAACCCTGATATGCTGCACTTTGCTTACTTAACTTCTTGTTTTTCCACTCGTAACATGCTCATTTTTTTTCCCCTCTTCCAGATATCTTCACATGTTGCAATCAGGTCTTCGGCTCATGTCGCACAGCATGCGAAAATGTAAGTATGTCGATCTGTGAGTACCAGGACGGGGATTGGGGTGGATTGGGGCCTGGGGATTGATCATATATCAAAAATGCATATGAATGGTATGGTGAGGATGCCATTGGATTGCGATACAGGCGGCATTCATAACGCCCAAGACAATGGAGTAAGTTATGGAAAAGGGTTTAAGAATGGAATTATTATCAGAGTACTCCTCTGAATATACATATATAAAATAATAGTCATAAATAATATCTAGAAAAAAACTTTAAGCCACTCGGTACTTCCTCAGGATACCCTACCTTGAAAAAATAACTTCCTTTTTTCCTCAATGGAATTTTTAACAAAAACCGAAAAAAGTTATTAAGAACACAACTATGTTAGACATTCAAAAGTGTTTATAAGGCACCTATGCCCACAATATCCTAGGGAAATGATGTGTCTGTCATAAATATTAAACCCCAAGCCACTTTGGAGTAGAAACCACCTTCAGATACAGATTGAACAAGCAGATAAAATGGAAAAACTACCGATCAAGGTACACACACTGCATTTCCTGGTATTTTTTTTGTATGCCCATGCATCTTCAGGCCTACCTCTCCTTTATGAATGGTGCGAGAGGTGCATACTAAGTAATATAAATTTAGAATTCAATAAACGTTGATCCGTCGCACTGTGACAGGGTGAAAAGCCATTGAAAATTATTATGACAGGTTTTAATGGTCGTTCGATTTCGATAGAACTTCGATTCGAGAAATATCCACATCCGCTGGCACAGAGCCTTGTACCGAAAAGGAGAGAATTCGGGTTGAGCTGCTCGAGCAGTGCAAAATCCACACAAATTGCATTGTTAATTAGCATAAACTGGCAAACAGGTAATTGCTGCTCAATGAGCCCAAGACCAAAGGCCCAGACCAACCAGTTTCCCACTCAAAAGTCATTCATAAAACCCGGAGCTGGAGCTAGAGCTGGGGCCTCAACTGAAAATCAATTTGTTGTCTTTGCCAGCGAGTGGCACTACTACTATGTGTGCCGGTTTGGCGGTGGTTTTGCGCTCCTAGGATCGATTTAGTTAGAGGCTATGCCAGCAATCAAATCACTGACATCATTTAACTTTGTAATCATAACAATTTTTAGCCCCCCAATAGCCGCCACGATACCACGAGCCCCCCTTGAAAGCAATTAGTTGCACTGGTCTGGGGGCTTTGCCAATTTTTTCATTTAGAAATGCAAATGAAGGCATTAAATCTTTTGGCCAAATTGAAACTGACTAACAGGATAATTCCAACCGGTTCGCTTCGGTTCCCATTACCATTTACCCATTCTCAATTCCGAATGGGCGTATCCCCCGAATCCACTTGGGAATTGCTTTTCTCTCGTGCGAAAGATTGTAGATCTGGAGATTTTCTTCAGTGGGTGTCTGATATCGGATACCCTGCGGCTCACAAATTGTGTGAAAAGTCGAAACCAGAGACGGGGAGAATGATCTTCCCGAGATAAGTAAAAATTTACGCGCATTTTATTATTGACAAAATACTCTTTAGTGGTTTCGAGGGCTGATAGTTGCATCTTGATGGGATTTTATGCCAAGGTGGGCAGGTTCTTCCGCCAGAAAATACAATTTAAGGAAAAAGTAAATCAAATAAAAAAAACATGTTCGTGTAAGAGTCACCGTCACATGTCTTCAGGAAGCTTTGAAATCCATTGGGAGTGTAAAATCAGAGAATTAGGGAATACAAGGATTCATAAACTGAAGAATATAAAATTTATTAAAAAAAATAAAAAATGATAATACATAAAAAAGAAAACAAAATAAAAAAAATAAGAACACAAGATGCAGCCGATTTTAATTCAACAAAGACAAAGAGTTTTCAGGTTAGATAGAAGAGTAAAAATAAAATTTTAAATACATATCAACAAATAAGAATGAAGATGGAGATTTGCTAATCCTGTAGAGATATGGGTCTTCAGTTTAATTAATAAATAAAAAATAATTAAAAACCAAAAAAAAAATATATATAGAAACATCTCTTTCAGAGTGTGCTACGCAGTTGCAAAACGATGGTTAAATAAAAATAATATTAAAAATTTTAAAAATATAACAGAAAACAAGATTGACGATAAAAAGCTCTACATATCGGGAGGGTATATGGGTCGTCAGTTTAGTTAAATAAAAAATAAAATAAAATAAAAAAATAAGAACAAGAGGCAGCAGTTGCATTCACGTATCAGAGGCAAAAAGTTTTCAGGTTAGATAAAAGAATAAAAATAAAATTTTAAAAATATATCAACAAATAAGAATGACGCCGACTTGGTGCTGCTCTAGGGATATGGGCCTTCAGTTTAATTAATAAATAAAAAATAATTAAAAACCAAAAAAAATATATAGAAACATCTCTTTCAGAGTGTGCTACGCAGTTGCAAAACGATGGTTAAATAAAAAAAATAATAAAAATTTTAAAAATATATCAGAAAATAAGATTGACGATAAAAAGCTCTACATTTCCGGAGGGTATATGGGTCGTCAGTTTAGTTAAATAAAAAATAAAATAAAATAAAAAAAATAAGAAAAAGAGGCAGCAGTTGCATTCACGTATCAGAGGCAACGAGCTTTCGTTAGAAAGAAGAATAAAAAATAAAATTTTAAAAATATATCAACAAATAAGAATGACGCCGACTTGGTGCTACTCTAGGGATATGGGCCTTCAGTTTAATTAATAAATACAAAAATAATTGAAAACCAAAAAAAATATATAGAAACCTCTCTTTCAGAGTGTGCTACGCAGTTGCAGAACGATGGTTAAATAAAAATAATAATAATGAAAATTAAAAATAAAATATTGTATATTTAATTTTTTTGTAGATGTGGCATAATCAGCTTCAGACGGAGAACAACCCGTTGTCAACAACATATATTGGTCGACATTTTCGTTAAATAAAAAGAAAAAATTTAAGAACCCAAAAGGCAGCACAGTTGCATTCACGTATTAGATGCCAATAGTTTTAAATAAATTCAGATTAGAAGAATAAAAAATAAAATGTTGTAAAATATATCAGAAAATAAGAATACTTCATGTCAAGCTAAGGCACCAGCTTTGGAGGGTATATGGAAAGTCAGTCTAGTTAAATAAAAAAAAAAATATATATATAAAAACTCAAGAGGCAGCCCAGTTGCATTCACGTATTAGAGGCCAGGAGTTTTAAATAATTTCAGGTTGTATCGAAAAAATTTCAAATTTTAAAATATATCAGAAAATAAGAATACTTCATATCAAGGGATATGGGTCGTCAGATTAGTTAAATAAATAAAATAAAAGAAGAAGAAGAAGATAATTAGAAAATCAGCCCTCGGAGTGTGCTACGCAGTTGCATAGCGATGGTTCAATAAAAATAATAAAACAAAATATGATAAACTTTTTTTTTTTTTTTGAAAAAAACTTAAAAGAAAAAAAGAAAAATAAAATAAAAAGGTCGAAGGCTGGCTAGTTGTCGGAACGCCAGCCGACGAATGAGGAACTTTGAACGGGTGACAGGCCTTTATATAGGGCTCCTAACCTCACTTTTAATGTCATGGCCTACTGCGGTGATTTTTCAAAATTGACAAAAATCCCTCCGAGCGCCAAGCCCACTACGCTCCTGCGTATGTTAATTTGTATTTATGAGAAGGCCACCACGCTCAAGATCCAGACAAGTTCCATGGACAAGCTAAATATCTTGAATAGACATCGCCTTACTCAGATTACTGTGGCAGATACCCGCCGCGACTCTCAGACCCGGAATGAGCCTGGAAATTTGTTATTGAAGTTTCCTGGGCCCTGTTCTTTATCGATAGAGGCTTGAATGGTGGGGAGATGGTGCGACAAATGTTATTTATGGCGGTGTCAGGAACACAACAGCAACCTGAAATGTAACATAATACGCCAAAAAAAAAAGAACAAAAAAATGCAGGATTAAAGTGCAACCTGCATGTTATGAATACTCTTTTTTTTTTGTTCTCAACAGAACCAGTAAAGTGCTATACCATTTTTTGTATTGTTTTCTGCAGTTGGGGTCTCCAACAGGTTGCGGGTCAGCCGCTGTTTTAATCGCTTAGTTGTTGATTAACTTTGATTGCGTTTAATAACTCGTTGTCTAAAGCAATTCATGCATATTGTTTTCCAGTTATCTCTGGTGGAGTATGAGACTGCCGCTGGCGGCGATGGACGCGAGGAGCTGCGAAAGTATTGCCAACTGCACCAAGTCGAGTTCTGGACCTGTGTCAACCACACATTCGATGGTAAGTGGCCAGGGATTGGGCGGACATCGGATTCAATGTAATGCTTTACCATTCACAGCGGTCACCCGTGGAGCGGACTGGTCGGGGAGACGATGCTGCCAGTATGGTGTTTTGGCCCATTGCCGGAATGCCTGCGCCTCCTCCAATCGCTCACCAGTGCACAGCTGCCGGCGCAGCGACGAGCAGATGCTGTACGATTGTCTGGAGCGTCAGGAGGCGGCAGATCAGTGTTGCGGACAAGCCCGCACATCGGAGTGTCTAGAGGTAGTACTCCCAATACATCCAATATAATACTTTAATCTAATATTTCCAATTTATTTATTAGGCCTGCCGTTCGGTATTTGAACCCTCCCATGATAACCAGGACCATGTGGATATCAGGGGAACATGTGGAGATCGCAATCTGGATGTAATACAATGCATACACAACCACACAGACATGACACCTCTGGCCAATGCGGAGCAATGTAAGATTGTGTCCTTAATACAACATTTAAACCTTAATTCCAATTTCTTATTATAGACCTACCTTGTTGCCAGTTTAGTAACAAGGAGCACTGTCGCGATACCTGCCAAAAATTGCTCCAGCAGGACTCCACACGCCTGGAACGAAGCGAGGTCATCTTCTCCAAGCTCGAGGCGGCGGGATGTGGCAACCCTCTGCCGCATTTCCGGTTCTGGCAGTGTTTTCTGACGGTAACGGGGAAACTATATGTGCCGGGAGGAATGTCATCCGTAGAATTGTCATCACAGCGACGTTTAACTGGCCGAGCGGGATCCCTGGGTGATTCTGCCCACCTCGGAATGGATGCTGCTAAGCGCCAGTGCTGCGACCAGGCCGGCAGCCACAAGTGCCGGAGGCTGTGTAATCAGTTCTACACCAGCAACTGGTGGGAGGCCCAGACGAACTTCGAAAACGACTGCCTGGAACAGCCGGGCGAGAGGGAGCTGCGAAGGTGCATCGAAAGCGTGGACGCACCCTGTGAACTGGGCTGCCAGGGACTCAGTTTCTGCACCAGCTTCAATAACCGGCCCACGGAGCTCTTCCGGAGCTGCACCCCGGAACACGATGCCGCTGCTAGGGAAGATCTGCGACTGTTGCAGCAGCGCGGAACCGTCAGGGTATTGGGGCAGGAGCTCTTTATCAAGAACACTAGCCGGTGTGCTCCCGAAAAATGGCAGGCTCTAGTCTGTGCCCTTCAACTGAAGCCCTGCACGCGGGAGGGACTCTTCAATGGAATCTGCAGCGAAGACTGTCATGAGCTGCTGGAGGAGTGCTTGGATTGGACCCGCCAGTTTCAGCGCCCCAAGGATATATGCTCACGGTTGAAGGAAAAGGACGAGGATGCGCCACTGCCATGCATTTCTCTTGAGACCTATCTGAAGCCTGGTAGTGTCCCACCTGAGGAGTCCAAAGAAATCACATCACCCTGCACCAAGAAGCCCTGCAACGGCAGTGAAGTCTGCATCCTCCAGCGCGGCGGAGCAAAGGGCTACTCCTGCATTCCCGGCTGCAATCTGGGGCAGGACTCCAAGCTTTATGTCCCATTCGGTTCGTATGTGCGCCTGGGAAAGAGTAATCTGCACAAAAAAATGGAAATTGGACAGCTACCAATGGTGGAGCACATTGTCTGCTCCTGTGGACTTCAAAACCAGCTGGAGCAGTGCCAACCCTTGCCGAGCTATAGTCACGCCCACTGTACGCTTCCTGGCGGAAGAAGCTTCCGACACGGCTCCTCGTTCCACCTGGAGTGCAATCTGTGTAGCTGCTTCGCCGGTGAGATCACATGCACCAAACAACAGTGCCGACTTCCTGGATTCACAGACTCCGGCTATACAAGCCTGCCCTGCAACTGCCCGGCGCATTATGTGCCGGTCTGCGGATCCAATGGAAACACCTATCCCTCGGCCTGTGTAGCCAAGTGCCACCTACCGGAAGGGGACTTTGTTTATGGCGCCTGCAATGCCCGGAATGCATGCTCGGCGGGGAGTGCGCATAGCTGTCCGCAGGGAACCCATTGCCTGGATAGGAGGAAGGTGTGCCTGGCCAGCATGCAACGACCTTGCAAGCAGTATGAGTGCGGTAAGCTTGAGGAGATTTAAAGTTTATAAATGAAGTTTATAAAAACATTTATTTTTTCTCAACAGTCAACGCCACAGCAGCGAATTGCTCATCTTTCCATCAGGGCGAGGTGTGTGACACCCAAGGACGTACTTATCCGGATGCCTGTGCCCTGTTGCGAGCCAATCCCGAAGACCAGGTCGCCTACTGGTCAGCCTGCCAGTCGAGTCACGCTCCTGGATCGCCTTCGCCCGTCTGTGGCATCAACGGAGTCACCTACAAGAGCAGCTATGCTGCCAGGGCCGAATACGTGCTGGTGGACTATGTGGGCAGGTGTCGGGAGGTCGGATTACTGGCCAGCGATATGGGCAGGCGATGTCGCACTGTTCAGTGCCCGGATCCCGTGTCCAAGCACTGTCGCTTAATCGTTCCACCAGGTGCCTGTTGCCCACTATGCGCTGGTGGGGCGTTTCGAATAATGTACTCCAGGAAGCAGTTCGATCGTGCCATGTACGCATTACGGGCCCAAAGCAGCAACCTTCTGACCCTCCATGGCGTTCTCCAGGAGCTGGACGGACTGGTCCAAGTGAGCGAATGCCAGCTGACCGGATTCCTTACCATGGAAGTGGGTATCTTTGCCGCCCTTGTGCCATCCAGCAGCATCAGAAGACCAACGCGCATTCAACTGGACGCCTGCGCCCGTGAAGCCGAGAAGATATCGGCCCTGATAAACGCCCAATCACCCAGGATAACCACTAATCTGGCTCTGTCCAGCCTGACAGTGTCCCATCTGCTAGAACCTACACCAAATGGAGCAGCTTCCTATGGTCCTCCGGCCATATGGGTGCTCCCATTACTTTTGTTAGCTTTTAGATTAATCGTAGACCAGTAGGTTAGTTTAAGGAGGAGCGTGTATAATCAGACTCAATCAAGTGAATTCTTGGTGCCAATCAATCAGTTAGTGTAAGGAGATGGAAAGTGCCTTCAGCTGTTAGGAATTGACCCCTCTATACCATGTGATATTAGCTAAATTAATTGTTTAGCCTTAAGTGTCCTATTTTTAGTTTCTAGCTTACTTTCGCCGGGGACTGTTAAGTTTATTCTCCTTATAGTCACTTGGAAAAGAACACTTATTACGTACAGTCTCCCTCTTCAAACATTTTAGTTTGTTGAAAAAGTTCATATTATATATTAATTGTTGTTAAGTATAAAGTCCCTGGTTTATGCTCGTTGAAAACCAAAGCAGCGTCCATCTAGGATTACCGCTAGTCTAATAAAAATATCAAACTTAAATAAAAACACTTACACATTTTGAAGCAATGCTTCGTTTATTTTACCACTCCACATATGTATGTCCTTAGAGCACAACTCTTTTATTATAAATTTACGAAAATAGGAAAGGTTTTCCCCTAAGATGTCTCCATGGGCACGGCTGTAACGCTCTCCTTGACGATCAAATCCCTAACAGATGTGTGGAGAACGGCTGTGGCGCCCTTCTTGAAGCGGTAATCCAACTGGCGTTCGCCCTTCTTGTTGGCCAGCTCGTAGTTGCGCAGATATTGCACGCTGCCCTTGCGGATCACGCACAGATCGATGTTGGAGCCAGAGCCCAAGTCGTTGAACACTCCAGAGGCAATGGCATCGCGCACCAGCAGCTTGCCCTCCTCCTCAGACATATCGGGACGCCAGCGGCTCTCAAAAACAGACATGGCGGCCAGGGAGCCGGAACCCATGGTGGCATACGGTAGCTTGTCCGCGCTGCCGTGCGGGTGAATGGAGTAGATGTGGGGTCCGGTCTTGTCCACGCCTCCCAGCACCAAGGCGGCGCTAATGTGGCCTTGGTAGCGGAATAGCATTTGCTTCAGCATCACATTGGCAGCCCCCACGCGCACCTCACGCTCTGTTCCCAGGCGATGGAGCTCCAGCTGCGACGAGATGAGATCAGTGGTCATCTCAGTATCGGCAGCGGTTCCAGCACCACAGCAACTAAAACAAAAATGTATAAAATTGCAAAACTCCAGAATATACCCTGTTTACATACTATATGTTCTTGGCCAGGTAGTGGATCTTGGCGCAGTTTTTGTCTGAGACAATGGGGCCTTCGGTGGCCCTTGTATCGGCACCCAGAATGACACCATCCTTGAAAATAATGCCCACAATAGTGGTTCCGGTCTTGGTTGTGGTTGGCGGCTTGAAGCCCCCCTTCAAAAGAGTCGCATTTCTGAAAGCAAAGAAAAACTTGAGTCAGAAAACGCCGCTTGCAGATTTCCGTGTCCGCAGAACTTTTCTCACCGTTTGCAGTTATCAAAGTTGAAGCCAGGGCGTGGCAGGTCACGGGCAATATCCAAATCCATGATTTTTTATTATTTCTCAACTGTTTTTACTGAATGAACACAGTTTCTTACTTTTTGCTGAGCGGAATGACAAACAGAAATCGTAGCCACAGTAATTGTCATTAGCGGGTGTTATATCGATATATCGGTGTCAATATCGGCTGCAACACTGGCACTAAGAAATGGTCCACCACTAGGGTAAAGTTCCATCGCAATTACGCATCCCTGCAAAGTATTTTGTTCATTTACCATGTCGGCTGCTACAAAATTACATAAAACCAGCTGGTGTGCACTGCGACAACTTCAGCAGTACAGGACTAAGGGTAGGTTAAGCCAAAATGATAACCGTTTCATTGACAAAACTCCGGGAATATTTTTTACATAACGCCGGTGTATCTCACGTTTAGCGGAGCCTCAGAGATGGCACGTTCGGCGGTAGCAAAGGCTAGCAAGAATGGATCGTTATAATATATATATTCAATTACAGCCAACTTCAGCTCCAGTTCGTCCTCCATTGCCAAAAGAAATGAACTCTTCAATCAGGAGCAAAAGCGGCAACGAGATGCTGTAGGCCGTATCGACAAGATCGAAGTGCGCTACTTGGGCTTGCCGGAGGATGTGACTCTGGTGATGAACGCCAACCTCTCCACGCCGTTCAATTGTGCCCAGCATCTGTCCGAGGGTCACAAGCGGCGGTCAGCTCTGGCTCTGATTGATGGCAGTGTACCGTGGGACATTCACAGACCCCTGCAGGAATCCTGCACCTTGCAGCTGCTCCACTTCCAAGTGTCTGAACCCCACGTGGTCAACAAGTAAGTATAGAGACTATTATTTTGATTTTCTTACGCTAAACTTTATTTTCCTTTTGCTTAGAGCCTTTTGGCGCACTTGTAGCTTTATGCTGGGAGCTGCCCTAAATAGGGCTTTTAAGCCGCAGGCCAACCTTCAGTTGCACAGCTTCCCAGGGCCGAACAGTAAGTTTTTGAGTTTCTAGTGTTCCTCATAAACTTCTTACCAATAAAACACTAATTTCTTAGTTAAATCCGGAAGCTTTGTTCACGATATTGTGCTACAAACGCGCAATTGGCAGCCTTCTAAAGAAGAGATGCGAACGATTTCTGCCGAGATGGTCAAATTGGCTCTTGAGGATCACGATATAGAACGCCTCGACGTCAACCAAGACTTGGCCCAGGAGATTTTCAAGGATTCCAAATACAAGAGCGAACAGCTGCCCAGCATTGCTCAGCAGACCCACGGAAGGGTTACGTTGTATCGACTAGGGGATCACATCGACATTTCCCGTGGTCCAATGGTGGGTTCAACACGCTTCCTGGGCAAATGCACCATCTCTGCAGCTCACAAAGTAGCTGATGAGGGAGAAAACGAAGCCTTTTATCGCATTCAGGGAGTAGCCCTGCCCGCTGGCATCCAGCTGAACCATGTAGCCTTTGGCATACTGGAGGAGCGATCAAGGAAATTGGTAAGCAGCCTGAAAGATTACGATTTAATTTAATTGAAAAATTAACTATGTTGTATCTCTTCTAGAATCCCGCTCGTCTGCCCAATGAACCCTTTGGGGAACATCAACAACTGCAATTATCGTAAATCGTTCTTTAATAATTAAAACTAAACAATAGGCGTTAACAAGTAAATCATTAAAGAGCGTTCTTATTTGTTACAAAATTCAAACAATCTTTATATTGAAAATTCCAGGGGCATTAGATTATTAAAATATTGCTTAAAATATCTTATGGAATGGAAGTCCTGAAGTCTACAAATCTGTTAAAAACTGGTTTTTTATATTACTTCATTATTGGATTTTAACGAATGCATTTGAAAGACATCTTATTCTTGAAAACTACAAACACTTATGTACAATTAAGAATGAGGGCAGATATTTGGAGATTCCAAAGAAGCTTAGACTTAGACTACTATCTACAACAGGAAGGGAAATCGACACATCTGCTTGAGATTCTTAAATATACCTTAGAAGCTCTTAAATAGACCTTCTAAATCGTGCTCGTTTAAGGCAATAGCTAACATTATTAGTCCTCCGAGGAGAATGCCAAGTATTTGTATAAAAATACCCTTTGGATCCTTGGCTATTTCCGGGTTGTGGGCCACGCTCATCGTTGGCACTAAATCGGCAAAGGCAATGTACAAGAAGGACCCGGCAGTGGCTGCATATATCCATTGGGTCATGCCATCTCCTATTCCGGCTATGAATAGGCCCACAGACATGCCCACAAAGCTCAGAACTGAGCTGACAATATTCATGTAGATGGCTCTTCGCATGGACACCCCAGTTTGAAGGAGCAGCGCAAAATCTCCGAGCTCGTGCGGCAGCTCATGGCAGAGGACGGCAAAAGCAGTGGCGAATCCAGTGACCGGATCACTGGCAAAAGCTGCTCCAATGGCCAGACCATCGGTGAGATTGTGCAGCCCATCGCCGATGATCACCATGAAGGCCACAGGAGTAAGCGGTCGTTCTGGCGCTTTTTCATCTAGCTTGGCCTCCTGGAGCATCACATTTAGCTCCCGGGGAGCTGATAGATCGGGCAGTTCTTGCGCAACCGGCTTTTCCATGTTGTTATGGCTATGGCCGTGACCGTGGCTATGTCCATGACCATGACTATGTCCATGGCCTGGCTTGTCCCCTTTCAGTAAAGGTAGCAGGTTCTCCAGCATGTACATAAAAAGGGCAGCCAAAAAGGCACAACCACACAAGAGGGCTGCCTCGTTGCTGTGCTTGTGATCCGAGTCCAGAGGACTAACCCCAGTCACCTCCTCCTCATGTTTTTCCTCTTTGAAAAGCGCATGTGGGAGCAAGTGCATCAAGGCATCGCCGGCCAACGTGCCCACTGCTATAGAAACCAGGAACTTGAGCACCTCCTGGTAGGCAGCTGTCTTCATCAGTGGAACCAAAAGAATCCCCAATAAACCGCAGGCCGAGAGGATCAGCATTGTAACACTGGCATAGATCCAAGCTAAAATTAAGGGATATTAGAGCCATACATTTCTAAGCTTCATAAACCTACCATTCCATATCTTCTGATTCTTCTCCAGAAGATGTTCCGATCGCGGGGCTGGCTGCTTGCAGACACCATTATCGATCTGTGCCAGTAGCGCTGGGCATAGTTTCATGAAAGCCCGGGGTGTAATCCGTACGGAGTTGATGAATTGGTTGTACTCCTCCTCCGAGTTGTGGATGTTGTCCACTGAGACGACACCATCTTTGCTGATGAGCTTCCGGAAGGCGGTGTTTCTGTGCAAGTCGTTGTGGTCCACGAGCAAGGACAAAATCGATTTCGGTGACAAGCAGGCGGCTACGGGATCTAAAACAAGTTGTTATTATTTTTAAAAATTTTAAATATACTACGCTTTAATATTTCTTATATTATATAGTTCTATAATCAAGATATTTGAACAAGTGGACCTTGCGATGGGTATATCTTGGCCAATATCCATCCGATTCTAGAGCGGAATACCTTTAACGATTTGTAGGACGATTCTCTTCAAATCTGCATAAAAATCCTGAAACAAAATTTCGGATCCAATTTTTCCAAATTTTTCTGATGGACCCCCTTCAAAAATGGGGAAAATCAAGATATCTGAAAAAGTGGACCTTGCGATGGCTATATCTTGTCCAATATCCATCGGATTCTGAAGCGGAATACCTTTAACGATTTGTAGGACGATTCTCTTTAAATCTGCATCAAAACATTGAAACAAAATTTCGGATCCCATTTTTCCAAATTTTTCTGATGGACCCCCTTCAAAAATGGGGAAAATCAAGATACGTGAAAAAGTGGACCTTGCGATGGGTATATCTTGGCCAATATCCATTCGATTCTTGAGCGGAATACCTTTAACGATTTGTGGGACGATTCTCTTCAAATCTGCATCAAAACCCTGAAATAAAATTTCGGATCCCATTTTTCCAAATTTTTCTGATGGACCCCCTTCAAAAATGGGGAAAATCAAGATACGTGAAAAAGTGGACCTTGCGATGGGCTTATCTTGGCCAATATCCATTCGATTCTTGAGCGGAATACCTTTAACGATTTGTAGGACGATTCTCTTCAAATCTGCATCAAAACCCTGAAATAAAATTTCGGATCCCATTTTTCCAAATTTTTCTGATGGACCCCCTTCAAAAATGGGGAAAATCAAGATACGTGAAAAAGTGGACCTTGCGATGGGCTTATCTTGGCCAATATCCATTCGATTCTTGAGCGGAATACCTTTAACGATTTGTAGGACGATTCTCTTCAAATCTGCATCAAAACCCTGAAATAAAATTTCGGATCCCATTTTTCCAAATTTTTCTGATGGACCCCCTTCAAAAATGGCCAAAATCAAGATACGTGGAAAAGTGGACCTTGCGATGGGTTTATCTTGGCCAATATCCATCCGATTCTTAAGCGGAATACCTTTAACGATTTGTAGGACGATTCTCTTCAAATCTGCATCAAAACCCTGAAACAAAATTTCGGATCCCATTTTTCCAAATTTTTCTGATGGACCCCCTTTAAAAATGGCCAAAATCAAGATACGTGAAAAAGTGGACCTTGCGATGGCTATATCTTGGCCATATCCATCCGATTCTTGAGCGGAATACCTTTAACGATTTTTTTCATTATTTTTTAATTCTAGAAAATTTATATAATTTTTGTAAACAGATTCCCCAAGACATTGTTTAGAAGACATGGAATTTTCTCAGTTTCTCAGGGACCTTGTTTATTTTGAAAGCTTTCTTTATTATTCCATAGAAGTCATGTATATATCCTCTATATCATCTTCTAGGTCTCGGTGATGTTTTCCCATTGTTATCCAATTCGCAACTGCGAACCTGTCATAAACTTTGACGACTGTATGGTGATAACTTTATATGGGATAAGGTGTAATGATTGTGTTTGCACTTCAATTAACTGCAATTCCCAGCAAACAACAATTGAGGACTATTTGCTTCTCGTTCCCGTTCTGAATTCGTATCTGAATGTTTTCCAATTGTTTTGTTTTGGATTTCCGTATAGCCAGATTATAGCCAGTTCGTTTATCGTGTTATCGCCCTGTTTTCGTCACATACTGGCAATGATCTTGCCAACCTGCTGATTTACGATTGAATTTACGACGGCCCAAAAGGAGAGAAAGAAATACATATATGCAAATCGGATAATGCATATATAGAGAAGGGTATATAGTACATATCTGATAATTTATTCGACAAGGCCGGCGACAACAGACGGAACTTCCTATCAACCAAATGAGATGGGAGGATGGGATGGCATAATTGAATTGATGATAGACCGCCGTCGCCTTGCACTTGGAAATCGGCCAATTGTTGGAAAGAATCGAGTCGAGGCCCGGCTTTATCTATTTATACTTTCATTCTGATGCGTATTTCACCGCGGTCTTAATTGATGTATGTATTTACATAAGAACCTGGCTAACTGGAAGAAAATCTAGTCTACCGTTTATGGTTTTATTGTCTTGACCAACTCTTATCTCTTGAGCAAAATACGACAGTTTTGATGGTTCGTAAATAAAGCGGATAACACCTGTAGACGGGTTGAGTGCAAAATAAAGATAAAACTGGATTACCAGCAGGGTAGAGAAACTACTGGATCACTCACCGTGGCTTTCCCTTGGATGCCTGTGTTTGGGATCGTGTATTTCCAGGAATTCCGGGATCTCTGGCCCCGCATCTGACTTTGAGAGATGACTGTCAGGTGTGGATATTTGCACCTCTGGAGCTTCATCCTCAGTGGCATTTGTACGACCATTTTCCTCAAAGTACTTGGTGGCATTAATGCTGTTTGCGATCTCTTGGGTATATCCTTGGGGTCGATGTTCTTCTATCGTGTGCGATGGATCGAATTGGATCTGTCCCAGATTGAGGCTGTACATTAAATGCTCGAGACCCTGAAAATGAATCATATGATTATATATATACTTTAAAAATTCAACTAATCTATTTTTAAGTAAAGACTTCCTTATAGTTTCTTAGTTCGATGGTATCAGTAGTAAATACTTCTTATCTTCAAAATTGAATAAAAATATTTTTCAGATAATTATTGGGCGAGACAATCAATTATTTCTATACTTAAAGGATTAAATGTAATATTTAAAAAGAAATATTAGAAAATTACGTTATTCAGTTATAGAAAATTGAAAATAAAATGGGATATGATTGTTTTTATATTTTTAACCTTGAAACTTATTATTTAATAATATCTCAAAAACGATAATCCTCAAGAACCATAATATAGACTTGAAAACAACTGACAGCTGTTTTGATTAAGGGTACCCCCAGAAATCCCTCCCATTCAATCAACAACCTACCTTACTATGAGAACTTGAGACTTTTTCCCGCCCACAAATCGCACTTTGGGGTATATATTGTGCTAATTTGTCAGTTTCTCGGATGTTTTGGCTTGGATCTATCAAAGATAATTACTTGATTTACTTGTCAACGTGCCAGGCAATTATATTTACATCTGAATTCATCTGGTTGTTGATTGTTATTGTTGATCTCTTGATGCCTGCCGCATTTTTTTCATTCTACAAACTATAGGGTAGGGAGGGACGACGGGCTTTCTAGGCATCTAATTGCCCCTGACAGCTACCTGTCGCCGGGAATCGAGACATCGGGGCGTGTGTCAAGTGATTTGAAGGAATTCCTTGGCCAAGATCAGGACAGCTCGATTTGCATATCAACAAACATTAAACAAACACGCGCCTCAAGACATAAAGAAACTATTTAATATGGATCTGACGAAGCTCGCCGAATCGCAATTTTACTTTCATTCAGTGAAGAATTGTTTGTGTGCCAAGTATACTATGTAATGGGAATGGGAATATTAGAATGATAATAGATGATATGAGGACGGGGGTGGTGGTGGTTGGGCGGCATGGCCCCCTGTTAGTATGCCGAGTGCGTGAAAAGTGGAAACATTTTAGTAACCTGGCATTTAAATGGACACAGCGTATTGCGTAGTCTATACGCATGAGTAATGTCAATTGGGTCTGGGGACCTGGCCCGTCGTCTGACCATAACTTTGGAGTCCATAAGCATAACGATCGCGTTGCGAAAGTTATAGATGGCGATGTTGGTTAGGTCGATGGATGGGGGATATTTTTCATCATCATCATCCGTCCGAGCGAGCATCTTCCTCATTAGGGGAATACATCTTATCGGGCCTAATCTCCTAATCCCCGATATGGAGAAAGGCGTGCTATCATAATCTAAGGCCGGATCCGTGTGGATGCTCAAGTCTCGGACTTTGTGTGGTTTGTGTGTGTCTGGATTTTGATTAAATTTATGATAATGCCCGTAATAAAGTCAACGCTTCTACATAACATGAGTTTTAAACGAGACGAGTGCCGGCCCCCAACACCACCCCCTCCGTGCCATAAAGTCATTCTGCGCTTATAAAGATTACAGACTTTTAAAGAGTGACGCGATTAAAACTGTTGAAAGTGTTTTGTTTGTTTGTTTGTTGTTTCTCAACATGGCTAGAACAGAATCCACTAAAATATATTTCACTTTCACAATACTTAAATATTTGATCAACTCTAATTGATGTACATATATACATATAGACCTCCATGGCTCAAACTCATTGTTTTTGTTGGTGCCCCCAAAATAAAAAAAAAGTCACTAACTCACTAATTTTTTGCCATAACATTAACCGCAAGAGCTTTGTCCAGCGACCAGCTCCCCTACATTGTTTACCTGTGTTTACCTGCGCTCGAATTACTCTTCTGTGTGTGTTTACAAGGCTAGTTCGATGGTTTATTGGTTATTACCTCAAAGTTGATTGTCCCGCCGTTGCCATATTTTTGGAATATCTGTGCCAGGTAGCGATTATATTCCGTGGAACTCTGCACAGGGCTCAAAATCGTGCCGAGGCATAGGAGGCTGATGAGTAGCACCTGGTTACGGGCCATCCTAATGTGAAACTGAACACTAAAGAGGTAGTTAACTAAATAATAATCGGAAGCGCACTCTACTCGGCCCTCGACATAGCCCGGGGATTTTCGCGGTATTTTCCGAACTCGAGTTTTTTTTTTCACGAAAATCTGTATTATCCGTTATCCAGTTATCCGTACCGTGCCGACCCGTTCAACGGTCTATTGAAATGACAGTTTCGCCCACACACCGCTTTATATATGAACTCTCTCTCTTTCTCTCCCGGGAAGCCATCACTGCGCACTCGCTGAAAACTTAACTATCATCGAGTTGTAAGCTTTTCAAAAAAAGCTCTCCCGTAGCTTTGACGAATAACGGTCGTTTAAGTGGGCAGTTTGAATTCAAGATCTTGGGGTCAAGGATTCAAGCTCATAATTTTTGATTAATATATGGTAAAGAAATATATGATGAAAGATTTCTTTAATATTTCAAGACTATTTGAAGATTTTAGGATCAAAATGTGGTATAATATAAAATATATATAATATAAGATAATATAAAATAATAATTTCAGAAATATTGTAATGCTACTTAAAGATCTCAGAAACATGATAGAAACATAGTATTTTTTAATAACACTATTTAAAGATCTCAGGATCAATATGTAGGACTATAACGTATTATTAAGAATTTCTGTAATCTGTTTGCAAGACTTTTTGAGGATCTTAGGATCAAGATGTGGTATAAAATAAAATAGTAGAGTAGGAACAAGATGTAAAATAAGAAAATAATTTCATAAATATTTTAATGATACTTAAAGATTTCAGAATCAAGATATAAGATTGAAAAAAGGTGAAAAATTTATGCAATTTTGGAAATCTTGGATCTTTTGAAGATCTATTTGAAGAAATTAGGATCAATATTTAGGAACATAATGCAAGATGAATAATTTCTGTACTTTTGCCAGACTTTTTAAAGATCTTAGAATCAAGTTCTAGAAATATAATCCCATAATTTCATTAAAATTAACTATTCTCAGGTCTTTTTGAATAAAATACTCATATATTTTAATTGTAAATGATTTATTCTTTGATTTCTTATATAAAACAAATTCGATTTATACATTTTTCAAAATTGGCTTCAATAATAATTATTATTATTTACTAAATTAGCTGCTAATTAGGTATATATGTATAAAAATTGTACTAAATTAGCTGCTTTATAATATATGTATGTATCAAATTGATTTGAATTTGCATAATAGACATGTTTCAAATATACAATAGCATTTATAAATAGTGATTGAAAAAAAAGTGACCTCCTCTGCGCCAGAATGCATTTGAGTTATTTACAATTAAACGTTTGTAATGTTGTGCGTAGGTCTCACATTTTTCGCATTTCTAATTCCTAATCTTAGTAGTAAATTGAGCCTTATGCTAACTACAAGATATACCCTTCGATAGCTCCACCAGAAGGCACTCGAATCCTCCCTGATCCTCTCTGAGCCCAGCCATCCTAGTCGAACTTTTCCTGATTGGGCATACAGATGAAGAACTTGGAACACCAAAGATTAATCGCCTGCGAGGTGTCCGCCAGCCATTTAACCGGATTGTGAATCGTTAGATAATAGACCGGAATACCGGACAGGATGATGATCGTTCCCACGCCGACTTCAAAGGGTGACTGGAAACAGGAGGAGATCACCAGGAAGAGGCACACGATCAGGTAGATGACGGGGAGTACTAAGCTAACCCGGATGGGTCGCTCCGTCTTGGGTTGTTTGTATCGCAGCCAGAGCAGTCCAGAAACCGAGATGAGCGTGAATAGAGCCTCCACATAGCTCACGTAGTTGATCAGCACATACGTATCCTTGATGAAAAGCAGCAGAACAGTAACCACACCCTGAAAGATGGAAAATATATAATTTTAAAAAGAGGAATGAATGGAGTATTCTAGGTAATACCAACCAGAAAGATCAGAGATGGCACTGGGGTCAGGCAGTTGACGTTGATCAGCGAAATGGCTGCCGGCAAGTGACCGTTCCGAGCGCCGACAAAGAACAGCCGGGAGGAGGCAAAAATGGCTCCATTCAGAGATCCAAAAGTAGAGCAGGCTACGGCAAAGGGCATGATCCAGGCAAAGTAGCCCAGCATCTTGTCTCCAAAGGTCACGGCCACAGCATCCGAAGACAGAATCTCATCCGGCGACAGCACCGAAAAGTATGCTATGTTTGTGATCATATAGATGATCGTCACCACCGGCATGGAGATGCAGATGGCTTTTGGAAGATTGCGGTACGGATCCTTGAGCTCCTCGGTGACAAAGTTAAGATAATTCCATCCGGAATACGAAAAGAGGCCACTGTAGAAGGCCAGGGAAATAAAACCGGGAGAGTGCAGGCCTCCGGAAAATGGTTGCTCCCACAGCTCTGTGTTTCCGCCGAATAGCCACCAGACTCCGGCGCCAACAATCACCAGAAGAGCCACCACCTTGGTTCCCGTGAAAATATCCGTCACACGTGTCACCCACTTGACGTTGTAGCAGTTGATAACCGTCAGCACACCTAGGGGGCAAGAGGCGATCAATTAGTCTCGTTCGGAACTGATTAAGTGCGCCTGCCGGCGGACTATCATCGGATCGCTGCATCTTACATATCATGGCAGCTGCCAGCAGCTGAACAGCTTCGATAGGAGCCTCGCAGGAGGGCCAAAAGGGTTTCAACAGATACTGGGCAAAGGTCAGGGCCGTGATGGCATTTCCCGTGGGCACCAGAATCAGCAGGGCCACCCAGAGATACAAAAAGGCGGGCAGTGGTCCAAAGGCAGCTCCTATGTAAGCATAATCACCTCCAGATTTGGGTATCATTGTGCCTGATAATGATAGTAATTATATATTGATTTAATTCTCAGTGTATTTTTCAGCAAATATTTTTATCATAACTAGATCTTAAATCAAGGTGGAAAAACATTAGATAACTGATAAGCATGACATAGTTCCTTCAAAGTTAAAACAATATTTGAATACTTATAAGAGATTATATTAAATGAAAAATTATGATATTTTAAGTACTCATAAATGGTGCTAAAGACTTAAAATGTCAATAAAGGTTACACCTAATCGAAGGTGCTAACGATAAAGACTTATCAATGGAAATAAAGGTCTAGTTTTTAGGGAGTTTTATGAATGAAAGCCATAAAAAAACTCTATTTTATATCTAGAATCTAGAATGATATATTTACATATTTTGTAAGCCTCAAGCTAATTTTACAAATTCCAATATGCAAAGTGAAGTCCAAAAATATTTATGACGAAAAATTTATGTAAATTTCTGTCTGCCAAAACTTAAATATAATTTAAAAGAAACTCGTTTTCCATAAAAAACAAAATCTTAAAAAAGATGACGCAAAAAAGAGAACTTGTGACGATGAAGTTCTCTTAAAAGATCTTAAAAGAAGACGCAGATCTTTATGGGGTTACTTAAAGATCGAAAGGGGTTGAAAGCATTAAAGTAAAGAAAGGGTGATTGTTTTATTATGGAAATTATGTGATAATTTAGGAATAAAAATTTATTTATTGTCTGGCTCTGCTTTAGTGCAAATAATTAAAATTAAATCTTTGTAAACCTCAAAATTTAGAACCCAGTTCTGATTTGTGTTTAGGTAGACTTCCTCATAAGGGGTCTGGGATGGGGTCATCTTGATGGGGTCCGAGCTAATTTCCATGCCTTTAATGATTCTCCAGGGCAATTGGCTGAAGTACTCGGCTAATCTCAATAGATTCACGGCGGGACAGACAACTCGTATAGGTCGTTGAAAATTTCCGTTCTTTAGTTCCCTTAGATCTGATCCGATTTTAATTGGAACTAAGCTGATTATTCTCGTTTCCCTTACAAAAGTTTCAATTGTGGTTTGATAGAAATGCGTGGCTTTTATTTAAAGAGATTTAGAGACTAAAAACTGATCATTAAATTCCTAATAATATTTTATAAATATAACTTATTTATTTTAATAAGATTTATTTTATGATCTTTATAGGTCGGCAGTTTACACTTGCCTTAACCTCTTTTGAAAGTATTTCCCGACCTCAGCACTTTATTTTTTGTCGAATATACTTGTACTTGTCTTACACCTATGTAAACAATTTTCCCCTCCGGTTTTTTCCGGACCTTTTCCACCTGCACCCAGACCATATGCTGACCCATGAAGTGCTGTCATAAGCCAGAACCAATAACTGCCAGCTCCGCACAACTTTGTTGACTAGGCGTGGGCTTATTATCAAATAGATTCCCAAAAAAAAAACAAAAAAAATTCCAGAAGTGACCCCGTTTACATGGCTCATTACTCACCCAGTTCTGCATAGCATAGTGCTCCCACCATGCTGAGGACTCCGCAGAGGACCCAGACGATAAGGGACTGGCCAATGGAGCCGGAGTACCGAAGCACACCCTTGGGGCTAACGAAGATGCCGGATCCCACGATGACACCCACAATGATGGCCACTCCGTCCAGCAGGCTGATCTGTTTCTTCAGCTTCACCCCGGATCCCTGGCTGCCCGTTTCCGCCGTGGAGTTGTTCGGTTCCGCCGGGGGCACCTCGAACACCTGGCGAGGAATTAACGAATCGCTGGCCTGAATGCGCGCCATTTTTCGCGATTTTTCCCGTACTATATGGTTTCCTTTTTGAATTTACGTACAATATTCTCTATTTTTTATGGTAATTTTCCCGGTTTTGATTGTTTTTTTGTATTTGTTTTTTATGTACACAAGTCCATAGCTTTTATCGGGGGTATTCTTTGGTTTTTGTTTTTTGTTGTCTGATTTTTATCAACGTGCTTGGTGTGCCAGCGTGGAGCTTCGAATAGAGTTCAGTTCGTTTCAGTCCACATGGTTTTTCATTTTTTGTTTTTCTGTTTTGTTTGGCGCTTCACTTTATTTTATTTTTATCTTATTTTTTAGATAAGAACACACGTGGTTTTTGTGGTTTTTTTTTATTTAATATTTTGAGGCACTTGGGTTTTTAGAGGAAAACGTGTCTGAAACCATTTCAAAAGTAAAGAAGTATCACCGTCTGAACTGCTCAACGTACGCTCTGAGTATGATTTTAAGTATGGAAACTAAGTATGATTTTACCCCTCTATATGAGCGCTGTCTGCCGCTCGGTCGACGTCGCTGCCGGCTGCCGAGTCACTTCAAACTTGGGCTTTGCAAATGCTCTGTTTCTTTTTATTTTCTTTTTTTTATTTTTATTTTTATGAGACAGCAGCTGCGCCCGTGGCTCTCTGGCGCTCTTACCTGCCAGAAACCGGCACTTGGTTGTTACCTGTATAAGGCATACGCTTTCTTCGTGCGGCATCCGTTCACTCGTGAGGGGCAGAAGCATGATGCAAGAACCGGCAAACATTTCAGCGCCCGCAGTAGGAAGTTTGAAGATAAATATAAATTTTGGGAGCCGGCAGCACGTGGGGCCGCCGAAGAGAAACTTCGAGCCCCCCATATCGCTCTTAATATGAACCCTTGCTTCTCTCTTATTTCTTAGTCATTGACCTTTCATACACATATATGTAGCAGAAATGTAAAAAAAAAAAAAAGTCTAGCTTTTGCGACACAATTCTTAATTATTTCTGATTTGTCCTACAAGTCCAATGGATGTCAGAAACTATTAACAGTCACTTTCGAAATGATCATGACAGAAAACTTAATGACAGATTTATTAAGATTTATAAAGTTATCTAAATTTAATAAAATTAAAAACCTTATTCTCTGTTGTAACTTAAATATCTGTATCTAAAAATCAGCACCCTACTTCCGGCGATATGAAAGCCACTACTCCTCGGTCTAGGGTCTATAAACTTTGATCGACATATCAGCTAATCAAGTATCAATTAATTTGAACGACCAACGTTTGGATTTAATAAAGTAACCGCAGTTGAACTGATTTTAGGATTTATGATTCCATGCGGTAAGATCGGTCTAGACCACTCCAACTATAAGGTTTCATACGACCCACTTTATAATCTTTTGTAGCTCATTAATGGGGGGTATGGGGCAAAACTTTTGTTAAACACTTGAGCGGATTATCATGGAATATATATGTACTATATGTGTACTGATGTGATGTCCCCATCTAAGAGGTGGGGGCCTTTGGTCAGGCGCGTGCATTTGACATTTCAAACTGTGATAATTCAATTGTGAATCGTGAACTTTTAGTAGCCTGAGTTACTGTATGGATTAGCTGCCACCTATGTACACATCTCCCTCCCGCTTGCCATAAAAAAAATATAATACAAATAATAAACAAAACAAGTGTAGCGCCTCTACACCATTATAGTAGTGGGCTCATCTCAGCGGATCAGTTCATTTTGGGTCCGTGGAGTGAAGCTCCTCTGGTAATCTAATTGTAAAAGATACACACACAGGGTGTTGGAGGTTGTTAGTGGTGTCGGGGGTCGGTCGGTATATCAGTAGCCACAATTACTGCCCGTTCGGGCCCCCGTATTCAGTTGATTAACTGTGATATCGTGTGACTTTTATTATCGGGCTGTGGTGGCGGGATGAATGGCTTTATACCCTGGCACAGGGTATCCTACATTAAAATTTCTTTTAAGATTTAGTTTTTAATATCATCTTCTGAGTATCATATCTCCCTTAATTATATTCCTTGAGGGTATTTGAATTTTAACCAGGGATTACCAAAAATCCCTTCCACTTTTATTAAATTTTTTTTAAAGATTTTAAACAGACACATGTTGCTGTGGAACCAGAAATATGATGGATCACTTCCATATGCAATTTTCGTTAATATTTCGATGTCACTTTCATCACATCATGCCACGAGTCGTGGGTTTTCATGATCACCATTAAACTATAATACAAATCTGACTATATTTCCGTACGGACATTGTAAGTGATTATTTTTAGACTTTAAGAGTTTAATCTTTACAATTTATATTTATAGATAGACTTGGTAGATAGAACATAATTTCAGCACAATGCAAAACATTAGTTAATTACGATTTAAACCATTTTTCAAATTTTTACCCGTTTTACTTGGGAACAACCGCAACCCATTCGCACTGATAACCCGAAACAGACTGATACGGAATTGTTCACCGTTTGCCGTTGTTTGCTCTGACGGGCGAGAATAAAATTCCCAAAAAGCTTTAATAAAATAATATAGAAGGAAAAAAATATGTAAATCCGAAAATTTGTTTTTGTTTTCATGTGACAATTGTTTGTCGCTGTATGAGTGAGGCAAAGCGACAAAGGTCTATCCAAAACATAAACAAGTAAGTGTATTTGTCTCTTTGGAAAGGCTTTCATTACGCATGCCCCCACTTCCTAAGAGTCCGACCATTGAAGAGAGCTATGCAGGTTGCAGTTGGCATGCACTCTGCTGTTGAAACGATACTGTTCATAAAAATAGTACCAATCGTGCATTTCTTACATTTTAAAATGTATTTCTTATTTACATAGACAACACACTTGACAATTTTGTACTTAATTTAATCGCCCAACACAGGCACTTTAAAAACTTTGGCCGTGTTGTCCTCGGACACACTCAGTAGCAGATTATCCTGAGGCTTGTGAGCAAACTCGTAAATGTGGTAGTAGTGTCCTGTAAGCGTGAATTTAAGCGCACCCGTTCGTGCGTCAAAGGCGTTAAGATTGCCCTGGGACGTGGCCGCCAGAATTGTGTTATCATTCAGCCATTTAATTCTACAATAAAAGCAACAAACTCAATTGAAATATGATCTTTTGTGGCAAACAAGTGTACGAACCTCAGGACGCCATCGTTGGGCACTGGGCTCTCGCATATCGTTCGCAAAGTATACTTGGTGTAATCCCAAACGGATATTTGACCGTCCAGCGACCCGCATGCAAACAGTTTGAGTTCCGCCGAAGATGGAGCAAAGGCTATGCATTCAATGCCGTGTTCCGATTGAACCGTACTCACAGGCCCATTATTCGTACAGAATAGAATTTTACCTAAAATATCAAGTTTTTTATTAAAATATAAAAATAATTAAAATATTTGGATATACTACTAACCCGAGCCCTCGGCACAGATGTAAAATGGGGACTCCCGTTCACAGGCTACTACTGCGTGCGTAATCTCTCCAAATCCCATTGGATGCGCCTCGTTGACCTCTATCAGCACCTGGCATGACTTAAGATCCCACAGCTTCACCGAACCATTCAGGTAGACGGCGAACAGCTTTTTTCCGTCGCCACTAAGCTCTCCAGATTCGCAACGAGAACCCTGGCCGGCGAGGATCTTGCAATCACCGCTTGGAATGCGCCACACAAAAACCTCACCACTATCACTGCCGGCTATAAGGACATGTGCACCACGATGCCAGAAGAGCCAGGACATATCGCTCATTGAGTATTCCCAGACTTTGGTCAAAATGGGTCGTTCATCGCGCTGCTCGCTAACTTTAAATACGAACAGCTCGCCCGATAGGTCACCAGTGGCCAGGTACGCGCCATCGTGACTAAAGTGAGCTTCAGTTACGGTGTCTTTGTGGTCCTTAATCTCGTAAAGCAGCTCGCCGGTGCTAACGTCCCACACATAGGCACGGTCATCCTCGCTCCCAGTTACTGCCCAATTGTGCGTTGGATGCAGGCTGCAGGCGAATACAGGAGCTTTGTGGTAGCGAAAGGTGAACTGAGCCTCATCTTTAATAGCGGCTATTCTTTCCCGGTCACGTAGCTCCTCCTCGTCAACCTCCTCGTCGTCGTCATGAATTCCTAAGCGAGCCTCCAATTGCTCCAAAGTCACTTCTTCCATTTCATTGTCATCCTCGTCAAGTGGCTGCTCTCCGTCAAGCTCGATCTCTTCCAGCAACTCGTCATCTCCGTCGTCGAAGTCTGGGCGATGTGGAGGCGTGTTCTCCCGCATCACAGGGCCTGTTTCCTTGCTTATCCAAAAAAAATAAAACAATCGCAGTCGCCACACGTGCTTGTCTAAAAGAGTAGTGTTGGTAAATGGGTTTTGGTTTATTGAGTGTTGGAAATCCAAAGAAGAATTCAAAAAGCGCGCCAAAATAATTAAGTATTAAATCAAAATAAACGTATCGTAAAAGTCCATATCAAAAGTTTAATTCTATTATTTGCCGATACTTAAATAAATCAACTCAACATTTAGTAGTGATAAAGAGTTATTATATTTGTTTCGTGCTTTGGTAAGTTTGCAATGAAAAGTGCTGGTCACATTAAACATTTTTGTAAATGGGGAAATCCCCCATAAAACGATATAAGTATATATAGTATAAATAAATATCGTGTTTTAGAAATAAAAAAATATAAAATACCTAATAAATTACTATTATATTACAAAGTTATACTATTTTTTTTTAGGAAATCTTGCCAAAAACGTCTAGCTTAAGTTTAAACACAACAATTTAATTTCTTACTGATTTATTTTATAATGTAGAAAAGTAGGAACACAAGAGCGGTTTCAATCAAATTTTAAAACTCGTAATTGTGCATATTTTTTATTAATGAAAAATAGTATATTTGTATGTAAGAAGAACTAACCCCTTTCATTCAAAACATTCGCGTCCACCCCTCTTGATTTTATCTCCTATAGAATGTCAAGGCCAAAAGCTATCAATACTATAATTAAATACATACATACATATGTATGTACATATCTGCTCCCTAAACTGAGACACTTTCCATAAGCCGGGTTCACCGGGTGTTTGACGATAAGCCGCAACAACCCATTGAGTAGGCGAAAATAGCGATTTTGTTTATTTGTTTTTGTTTAAAATAAAAGAAAGATTGAAACAGTTTTTTGTCTTTGAATTGAATGAAATTTTGTTTACCCATAAAAATAACACCAATGCATCTGATTTCGTTTGAATTGTCAAAATCCGTAACTCCATGGTGGAGTGAGAAATTTTTGAGGAATTTTCAGGAGTGCCATTGCTGTTTATTTCGCATAGTTCAACAGGCTAGTTTTTAGATTCTAAATTTATTACCGGAAATACCTACCTAACGGCGATGAGCCTTTCTTTATCAAGCTCAAATGATAATAGTTTATATAGAGCCAATATACTTGTACCGATTACCGATTGTATGCCTACAATCTTGTTACTAGCGAAAAGGTAACTGTGCCTTATCTTTAATAGCGGCTATTCTTTCCCGGTCACTGTAGCTCTTCCTCGTCAACCTCCTCGTCGTCCTTTTATTAATTATATAAAATAAAAAAAAACTAAAGAATAAAAGAAATAATTGAAGTTAGCTCCGGGTTCGATAACAAACAATAGCATGTTTAATTCCACACAAACATTTTTCCGCTGACGAAAACTTTTTCAAAGAACAATGGAACAATGTTTTATTAGTGTATACCAATTTTATTTGGGTATTTTTATTAGGTTTTAAGAATATGCGTTACAAGTTACATATATTTGTAACATAGATGGATATATAATGTAGTATAATGTGGATTTGTAATATGGATGTATGTTTGGTATTATTAAAGGCAATTTCATATTAGTTTAAATCAAAAAGTTTCCTCAATTGCCCAGGATTATTTTGATAATTGCGAAGCTTGTAGAGAAGATCTGTGGCGGTAGCCAAACATTTGCTCAGTTCTTGATCATTCATCCGGTCGAAGACGTTATGCCCATTGGCCAAGTAGTAGGGCAGACGACGATTGCGAAGATTCTCCACCAAGCGGCTCCACATCTCTATGAATAAGGATCCAAGGTTCGAGTCCCAGGAGATGTTGTCCATCCTGTGAAGAATGACTGTTTTAAGCATGTAACTGCTTAGATGAGGTAAATCTGGCTTGTGCGCATCCCGTAATGCTTTCATGAGACGCAAAACGTTTTTTAGATTCTGTTTATCTTTCATCATTTCCCGTTCCCACATGGGGGAAATGGCCAAATATGTACGGTCGTCATTTAAGTGTTTCTTCGTTTGGGGTACGGCATACCAAGACCACGGGGGTGCCATATTATTAGGAACTGGGAGATTAAATGAAGGCCACTCGGACCGGGAAAATGAAAAAGCCGGCACCAGATCAAATTCAATAACACGACTGCCACACGTTGCCTTTAGGCTATGGGCACAAGCGTAGCCAGCGAGTGTATAACTAACTTCGTAGCTTCTACCAGATGGACATTTAAGAGACAAATTCGACTTGAAAATCTTTCGAAATGCACCGCGCAACCAATCTTGCAATGCTGCCGTATGAATATAGCCATCCCACGATACAATATTGCAACTATTTCTTCCTATGGGCGCATATAAATACATAAATCCGTTGCTGTACGCCCTTGGGTAGATTGGAAATGGGAATTTTAGTTTCATATGCAGATCAAATTCATCGGGAGTACGCAGCTTGACGCGATCCAAGTAACTTCCTGTATCAGCGGTTAAATATATATATATATTATATATAACATTTTCTAAGTATATCTTACCTCCAAGGCTAAGACCGTCAAAAGCTTTAGCAAATTGCGAATCAACGCTTTTAAGTTCCTCCATAACATAATTTACAATTCCCTGCGCATCTTCCGTATATTCAGAGCGATTTTTGTCGGAAATTAAAAAATTTTCCAAAATCTGTTGCCATATATCACCCATAATTGCTTCTTTTTTCACCAGAAAACTAATAGTGTGACTTTGCTCGATGAGTTCTCAACTCAATATAAATTAATAGGGAGTCCCAGTTTTGAAGAAACCTTCTGTTCTCTTGTGACAGCTTTCAGAGTTGCCAAGTTTTTAGGACACAAAAAAGCTTAAAACGCGTACTTCTGTATTTAGTGTTGAAAAACAGCACAAAGCAGATAAGATACTTAAATGTATCTTTATTAATTTGTGTCGATGTAAAAAAAGTTGTTTTGCATTTTTAGATTTGAAGAAATATATTATCCGGGGGAAGAATATATTATCCGTTCTGCAGAACCCTTTGGTGGTAAGTATACCAGAACCTTTCCTGATACACTGGGGTTCACTAATGCCGTTATCGTTTGAATAATTGTAAATATCGAAAATAAGAAATGATTTGAAAACAATTTTTAATTTTTTTTTACAATTTTTTTGTTTTTATATTTTTTTTTTGTCTCTATTCTATTTCTATTATAATAGCAGTTTGCCATTGTGTTTTTAGTTTTTCCATTTACCGTTTCGTTTAATTTTTCAACAATATAAAATTAGTATTAAAATACTACACCCACTGGTTGACTTTATGTCGTTTTTCAACACCTAAACAGTTCTCGACTCCCACCTCTAACAGCAACCCTACGTGTCAGCTCATGCGTCGGTGTAAATACTGAGGTTTTTTTTTAAATTCACGGCGTACAAACTTGTGCAATTTGGCAGCAGCAACAGCAGGAGCTTACCGCCGGCTCCATAACACATAGCTGATTGTTTGAGGAGATTCCCTGAAAGTGGAGCGGGGAAGCCGCATCAGCTGGAGGCTGCCGGAGGAAAAGTGCAAACTACATAGGATATATATATATAAATAACACATTTAAGATATGGCGGGTCAAAAGTTCCAGTACGATGAGAGCGGTGGAACATTCTACTACTTTGTGTTATCATTCCTGGCTCTCATATTAATACCCACGACGATTTACTATTGGCCACGTAAAAAGAAAGAAGGTTAGTAGTGCCGCTGCCCAGAGCCGCCTTTAATCTCCCTGCTCGGCCCCCTCTTTCTCTCTCTCTTTTTTATACTCATCCACCTGCAGCTGTTGGTGGGTGTGTGTGTGTTTGTGCGTTCAGCTTTCCTCTCCCACCGTGGAAGTGCTCTGTCCACTGCAAATGGACACGTTCCAATAACTTATTCTAACAACGTCAGCTCAGAAATTGGGAATCTCGGAATCTACAGTGTCGTCGTATTGGTGAAAGCTGCGATTACCGCAAAGACGGGTCGAGCATGCGACTCTCTCCGCGCTCTTTGCTCAATTGGGACACTGTCGTCGCTCCAAAAGTTTATGCGTTCGTTAATGTCACGATCGGAGACGAAAGATCGGGGCCATTGTTTTTCCAAGAATTCTATATTTTTCTGAAAATAACTTACTGCTAAATATAAGCCATAATTAACCTTATCAAACCCCTAATCCATTTTAAAACTATTTATTTAAAAAAAAAAACTCATATTGTTTCAAATCTCTTGCCAGATCCTGGAAAATCAAAGGAAGAATGCCAGTGCGCCGACTGCCTGAAGAAGAAAACGATTCTGGCCAACGCAGAGCCATACAGAGCCCTTAAATCCTGGACCATCAAGCTAACCATCGTGCTGGGATGGGCCCTGCTGCTCTTCCTCACATACCGCGTCTCGCAGTTCGACTACGAGATGGCCAGCTTCGATCCATTCGAAATTCTGGGTGTTCCGCCATCCTCCTCCCAGGCCGAGATCAAAAAGGCCTATTACCGGCTATCCAAGGTGCTGCATCCGGACAAAGAGACGGGTGACGAAAAGTCCTTTATGATGCTAAGCAAAGCCTATCAGGCTCTAACGGATGAAGTGGCCAAGGAGAACTACGAAAAGTATGGAAATCCTGATGGCCCGGGCGCCATGTCATTTGGCATTGCCCTGCCCTCTTGGATCGTCGAAAAAGAGAATAGTGTTTGGGTCTTGGGTCTCTATGGTTTGGTGTTTATGGTGGCCATGCCATCGGCGGTGGGTGTGTGGTGGTATCGTTCCATTCGCTTCAGTGGAGACAAAGTGCTGCTCGATACTACACAGATGTACTTCTACTTCATCCACAAAACGCCACACATGCTCTTGAAGCGTGCCCTCATGGTTTTGGCTGCCAGTTTGGAGTTCGATAAGCGCCATAATTCGCAAGTGCAGGAACGGCAGTCGGACAACGATGAAGTGCCCGCGGTAAGTAGTCACACTTGCCATCCAACCTACTGCTTAAGTATTCATCGAATATCTTTCGTTTTCACAGCTAATCCGGCAGCTGCCGAACCTTAATGAAAAGTGCAAGGAGCACCCATTGTGCCGCATGTATTCCATCAAGGCGCGCGCCATTCTTCACGCTCACCTGAGCCGGATTCCGCTCAACCCTGAGACCCTGGAACGCGATCGTCAGTTCGTGGTGAAAAAGTGTCCTTACCTAGTCCAAGAAATGGTTTCCTGTGTACACCAACTGGTGATGATGGCGTATGCACGACGTGTTCCGCGTCTGCCCAGCATTGAAACGATAGAGAACTGCATGAAGATGTCGCCGATGATCATCCAGGGACTGTGGGAGTTTAAATCGCCGCTCCTACAGCTGCCCCACCTAACCGAGGATCACCTGTACTTCATGAACAAGAAGAGGCATGTGAAAAATCTACAGCAATTCGCCCAGCTCAAGCCGGAGGAGAGCCGTACGCTGCTGAAGAATCTGACCGACTTTGAGTACGAGAACACTATGAAGGTGCTGGGCAAGATGCCGTTGATAGATTTCTCCATTCGATGCGAGGTGATTGACGATGAGAACACCAATGTGGTCACCGCGGGAGCCATAGTTACTGTTACTGTTACTCTGGAGCGCAAGGATATGAAGACGTTGTTCGGGGATACAAAGGCCCCCGAGAAGCAGGGTATAAACGATGATGCTAACGAAGAGGCTGCTGGAGATGATGACGATGCGGCTGCTACAGCCGTTCCAGCCAAAAAGACCTCCACTTGGGCCAAGCCACGCAAGGGAGGCAAGGGTAAGGGTGGCAAAAAGCCAGCCCAGAACCAGAAAAACAATCAGAAGAAGGCACCGCCCAAGGCAGCTGCGGCATCCACCGCCGCTTCCGAGGATCAAACGGCGGGCAATTCGGACGCCGAATCGGATGGTGGGGCAGCCGAAAACAGCGATGTTGAATCGGCCGCATGCAGTGGCAGCGAGGATGAGGAGAAGGGCAACAAGAACCACTCCTCGCTGGATGATGACGATGACGAGGAGTGGGAGCGGCTTCAAGCTAAGCTGAATAAGCGCGAGCGTCTGGAGGGCAAGTCGCGGCTCTCGCACACCGTCCACTGTCCGTTCTTCCCCGAGGAGAAGCAGGAGTACTGGTGGACCTACATCTGCGACCGTAAGTCTCGCACCCTGCTCACCGCACCCTACCATGTGACCAATCTGGTCGAAAAGGAGGAGATCCAGCTGAAGTTTACAGCACCCCGTTGGCCCGGTGTCTACACGTTTACTGTGTGCCTGCGATCAGGTAAGTAAATATACAAATCTTTAGTATTGGTTACTAATTTCCATTGTATAGACTCCTATCTGGGCATGGACCAGCAGCAGGAGCTGAAACTGGATGTGCAGAAGGCGCCAGCACCACCGACGGATCATCCCCAGTGGGATCTGAGCGAATCGGAGCCAGAGCACAATGACCAGCAGGAGAACCTAAGCGACTACACCACAGACACGTCCGACGAGGAGGATAGCGACTAGATGGGACGAAAGAAGCCTCTTTGTTTTCCTTTTTAGTAAATGAGTTTTGTGTGACGGAGGGAGGGAGGATCAGTGGAGGAGAAGGAGGAGGCCCTGATGCGAGCGACCTTCCTTCGCATTTTTACTAGTTTTGTAATGGAAAATATCCCGAAAATAGAGCGTAAAATAACTATAAAAACAAAAAACAAAGAAAAAATAACTTCATTTTACCGTGTACTGTACTAAACATAATAATAATGTACTGTATATTTAATTATTTGGATACAAGAACTAAAAGTGAGACACGTAATCATAAGACTATTTATTGGTTTAATGATTAAAATATAACTGAAAAATAATCATCGGGATTTTTTCGGTTTCAGAATTTGTTTTAAAAAAAATTTAATTAACGTTCCACAACAAGCCTAATAATATTATTTCATAAATTTCATAAATCATTGTATGATATTAATGTTTTACTTTAATTTTGCATCTAAATTATATTTTTTCTCGCAAGTTATTATTTTTGTTTAATTTTTCAATCATTAAAAGTTAACTTTTCTTAAAAAAAAAAAAACGACTCTAAAAAACCTATCAAAAACCCGATTAATTAAAAAAAAAATATCAAAATTAAAGCAATGCTGCCGTTCTCTCACTTTCCAATAAGAGAGCTGATTGGGAATCGGATGATGCCTTTACCGGATGATGTTGATCTCCTCTAGAAGATGGTGATGTCTCTGAGGTCGTCACGGCAATCTGTGGTCGTGTTGGGCGGGGGTGGGGGGATAAGAAATATGATTTAATAAGATTTGGTCACATTATGCCCTTAATCTAGGGTTCGTTACCCATCACCATACTCGTTATTAGTGGGTTCTTGTTTCTATTTACAAAACTTTAGATATTATTGGCTAAATGTGCATATTTTTTTGTTTTTTAGAATTGTGCATATGAATGAGTGTTGTTTGTAATGCGATGCCATGGTTTGTGTTTCTCTAGTGGATCGATCGTTCTTTGCAGCTGGTTACCGTTATTCTTCTTTCTCACTTTCTTCCTCCGAAGACTCTTCACTCTCAACTGTCTCTTCCGCTTTACTGCTTTCGGCTTCTTTCGTTTCCTCTTCGGGTGTTTCTTTTGATTCTTCTTTCGGCTTCTTTTCTTCTTCAGTAGATTCTTTTTCGGTAGAATCTTCTTTTGATTCTTCTGGTTTCGTTTCTTCTTCATCTTTTTCGGTAGATTCTTCTTTCTTAGTGGTTTCTTCTTCATCTTTTTCATTAGATTCATCTGGTTTCTTCTCATCTTCTTTCGTGGTTTCTTCTGCATCTTTTTCGCTGTCTTCCTTGTTAGTAGATTCTACTTTAGATTCTTCTGATTTATTTTCCTCTTCTTTAGTGGTTTCTTCCTCATCTTTTTCGTTAGATTCTTTTTCAGAAGTTTCTTCTGTTTTCTTTTCCTCTTCTTCAGTGGTTTCTTCTGACTTTTCTTCAGCATCCTTTTCAGATTCCTTATTCGTTTCTGTATTACTCTCCTCAGGACTTTCTTTAGTTTCACCTTCTTCAGTTTTTTCTTTCTCGTCTTCTTCTTCATCAGAAGACTCTTCATCGTTCTCTTCTTCGGACTTATCATCAGTTACTTTTTTATCCTTCTCGGACTTTTCTTTGGTTTCTTCCTCCTCAGGTTTTTCTTTGGTATCATCCTCTTTAGATTCTTTTTTAGTTTCATCTTTGGTATCATCCTCTTTAGATTCTTCTTTGGTATCATCCTCTTTAGATTCTTCTTTGGTGTCATCCTCTTTAGATTCTTCTTTGGTATCATCCTCTTTAGAATCTTCTTTAGCTTCATCCTCTTTAGATTCTTCTTTGGTATCATCCTCTTTAGATTCTTCTTTGGTATTATCCTCTTTAGATTCTTCTTTGGTTTCAGCCTTCTCTGATTTCTCTAAAGGATCATCATGGTTAAAGCTTAGCTCAGAGTCCTGCGAAATCGTACTGTCTTTACCTGTATCCCCATCTTCTTCCTTCTTTTCTCCGGATTCTTCAGTTTCAGTCTGAGGATTTTTGGGTGGTTGGGTTGTGGTGCGTGCACATGATTGTGGGTGGTTTATAATTATTGGTGGGTGGAAGTGGAAATATATACATATACAAGATCAGAAAATTGGGATCGCTACTAGATATGGATATCTACAGAGCCGAATCATGCGATTATTGGCAAATACAAGCCAGGTTAGGTCTATCCATGCATATCCTGAACAAACCTTTACCTTATCAGTAGTATCCTCTTTTTTGTCGCCGTCTTCTGCTCCTTCGGGCTTCTCGCCGTCCTCGTCCTTGTTCTTTTGAAGAAACTCGCAGACATTAGCAAACAAATATTTTTGTAAAATATAGTTTTAAGATCCAAAACAGGTAAGAGTGGTCGGCACTTCTTGATCTTTTTAGAGTCTCTTTTGAAATCAGATCAGAAGACTGGACAGCCACTCTTAGTTGTTTAGTTTTTAGTGTCTTTAGAGTTTGTTGCGATGTTAGGTGTTGTGTGTGTTAGGTGTTTGGTTAGAAAAACAAGCTTGCTGATGGTTATACTTTTTTTGTTTTTTAGTTAATACAAATATATTTCGTTTTATTACACGGGCAGCGTAGTTTTATGTTTAAGCATTAACATAACGGCTGCACAAAAGTTTCATCTCAATTCTACACTCATCCAACTTGATCCAACTTAGGCTTAAAAGTGCTAATTGGTGTATGGGTGTATAAGATGGTACATACAAAGGTGTTGGATGTAAGTCAATGAATGAATATAAATATAAATATATATATTTTTTTTGATTAAAATTGTCTTTTCCTCAGGGTTAACACAATTGATCGATAGCCCTCGCTTAAATACGTTCGTAAACTTAGATTAAGAACCGCAGTCGTTAAAAATTAAAAACACATTTTGAAAATGTAAGTAACATTATTTCTCATCAAATCCCAGATAATTAGAAAGATTATAAGGGATTATAATGTGAAATAATGTCAATATAAATATAGAGAGAGAGAGAGTTGGTAGTGTCGGTGCTGTTAGATAACATTACGGGTTATTGCTGTTAACTCTTGTTAAGAGCTGTTATAGTTTGCTGTTAATTCTATTGCTGTTGATTGCAGATGCTGCTGTTTGTTGTTGCTTCGTAACAGTTAACGGAATATACGGGCAAATTATGTAGCTGAAGCTCAAACCTCCGCCTTCTCCGCTGTCTCGCCATTGGTGTCGCCCTCTCCACCCTCCGGTTTCTCCGCCTCAGCCTCCTCCTTCTTGGCCTCGCCATTTTCCTGCTTCAGTTCGATCTGGGCAGTGCTAACCGCCGTGGTGTCTGCTGGCGCCAACTTGAGGAACACCTCCAGGGTGTCGATCTCGTTGGCCATGTCGAAGGCATCATAGTCGCCGCAGTACTCCTCATCGTTGAAGATCTGGGGCGGCAGGGGGTGGCGGGGCTCCGGGTCGCTGACAGTGCCTCCGTTGCTCGTCGATTTGTTCTGCATCAGCTCCTTCTCGGACTCCTTGCCGGGCTCCGTGATGTCCACCGTGTCATACTGGATGTTCTTGCTGTCGAGGATCATGAGAACGCGCTGTTGGCGCTTCTTCACCTGTGGAGGGAACCAACAAAAATTAATTACAGTCTTACAGGCAAACCCTAAAAGCTCATGATATGATAAGGAAACCTAATTGAAGTATGTAGGTTGTTCCCCTTCCCCGATAAAGAGTTGTAGTTATTTTCCTTTGATTTTATAGGAATTTTTAATAAAAAGAAAACAAAGACATTGTTGTTGCAAGACACAATGACCGTTATGTTTTGCGAATTTGAGAACAAAGAAGTCAACGGAAAGCCGGTGGAACCGGTGGGTGGACACGATGAATCACGCACGCACACGCACACAAAAATAAGAGAGTGATGGCCCACGCAACTTTGATCAATGGATAATGAATTCTCTTTCTAGCATGTAGGATTTACAGTTTCACAGACAAATAAGCTTATATGGGCAATGAAATGTTTGCGGTCGTTGCGCCTCTTCTTCTTGCCACCACCACCAATACCAACACACACGCACACTGACTCAATCAAAATACCCACTTGCTGTTGTTTTGCTGCCTAGCCTGTCGTTTTGACTGTACAAACATACATACATACATATATCACGCATCAGTGTTGGCACTTGGATTTTACAAAATAATCAAGTGGGTTATATTATTTTTTGGGTAAAATAACAATAAAAAAAGAAGAGTATTTATAATTTATAATAAAAAATAGTAATTAAAAAGACAACGTTCAAAATAGACAATTTGTCAAAACAGCCACACATACAAGTAGACTGCGATGGGTTGAGGAATAAAATAGAATTTGCAATGCATTGTGGCACCCCCACCAGTCCCCCCTTTTATAAGCTTTTTTTTTTATCTTTTGTGTGTTTGCAGCTAATAACAGGGCCAAACATTCCAATAACATGACATGAGACTCGCTTGTAGCCCCGCCCTCCGCCCAGCCTCGCCCATGATGACAAGCACTCACCTCCTTATTGCCGGACATGCCGCTGACGTAGACTTTGAGAACCATCTTTGCAGTTAATAATAATAATAATGTTGATTTCAGGCGCTATTTCAATACACTCGCCCAATCAAATTGGCTGGCTACTTTCACAGCGATTAAGAATATTTTTAGATCCTCTTTCTTTTTTCCTAGTGGCGGCCTCTACGTAATGTTTTCACTTCGCCGAACGTTGATTATATCCCTGCTGTCGATGCGGAAGGATGCAGTCTTTTCTTAAGCGGCCAAGTCGCGGAGTAAAAAAGGCAGTTGTCGCTTACAAAAGTGCTAATAAATTTAATATTTATCAAGTGCGGAGGAAATAATTTCCTACTCTGACGATATATAGCGATATCAAGATATATTTATATCGAACTAGTTAATTTACTAAACATGGTTATCGATATTTAAGAACTAGTTCAATGAATAATTCGAGAGAGAATTAATAAATTCAAAAAATGTTTTAAAAAGCTTTTTTTTATATAAATAACTATTTTAAAACAAATATTTGTATTCATTTAAAGATTTTACATAAAGATTTTTCTTATTTAATTTTGGTCCGCCTCTAAAAAAGTAATCCTAATTTGGAATCATCGATAAACCCAAGGTTTTAAAAACATCGATGACATCGCTGTTTCTCACATCTTTCTTCGTCACGCACGCATCGTCGTCCATTTTTCCAAGAATCGAGACGAGACGAAAATTTGTAAATGAACTAGCACAAACTGTGAAAAAACCTATCAAAAGTGCATTTTAGTGGCCTTTGAAATACTGCTCAAATCTCTGACAAAAGCAAAACGTTACCCCAAGCAATATCAACCTACTACAAAATAGTTTAACGAGAGCTAACTGAAGTTGGAAAAAAAGGAAATAAACGTGAGTGTGAGTGCATACAATAAAAGTAAATAAAGCGCGTGTGAAGTGGTGCAGAAAGCATAGTAGCGAGCGGAAATAGCCAAAAAAAAAAAAATATACCCATTAACGTAAGTGAAATGGTGTGAAGAGGGGAAAAGCGCTGATAATGATATGCGATTCGACCATTTTTAAAATTTCATGAAATCAACATTCCAACTCACTGCTGCGTGAGTGTGAGTACCATCACTCACACTAACGCAAGAACATACGCACACCACCGACACACATACGTATGACAAATAGGATTTATTGGCAGCTGGCAGTAGCCAAGACACGAACCATGAGATATATCGTTTTCCATTTTGTTTTATTTTTCTATCTAAAAAAGCGTACTTTAGTTCAAATTAGTTAATTAATCAGTATGTTTATTTAATTATAAGAAAACAAAGAATATATATATTTTAAAAGCCACAATTTATTGCACAACGCAGATGATACAGAGTCGAGGTTTTCGCCCCGGCTTTTGCGCATTTCGTTTTCTGTGCATACGCTCACGACCCACAACCACTGCGATCGCATTCATAAGCTGTCATTTTGGCTTCTTCAAAACTAATCTCTGGCCCTGGTGTCACGTAAAATGCCTAAAGAATTTCATTTTTCCTCAAAAAAGAAGGTTAAAAATTGAAACAGAACTCATCGCACACTCACACACACACACACGTGTTGCGGAGTAGTAGTTCCTTTGTGTTGGTGTGAAAAAACAGCTGGTACAGCTGCCGCTTGCATCAAAAAACGGGAAGTGGGAGAAGAGGAAGAGCAGCACCAGCTACACGATACAACACGCACTTTATCCTGCGTAGTTTCCTCTTATTCTGGTGTGGACGGTGGTTGTTCCTTTGAGTGTGTCTGCATTGGTATGCATTTGCGTCGTGGTGGTTTCTTTTCTTCTCTTTTCTCCTCTTTTATCCTTTAATTGCGTTTTCTCTTTGCCTTGTTCGGGTTTCGGGTTCAAAAGTGAGTGGAAAGGGTGTTGCCCCCCGTTGCCAGCAGCTGACAGGGAGAGTCTCCTCTGACATTGAAGCATCTATGTAGTTATCTACCTTTTAGAGGCCTAGAGACGATAAGATAGTTGTCGGTTGATAGCCAAATCTTGTGTCTTGGTGGCAAGTGTATCCTGTTTTTCCTTGAAACCAGTTTTACGGCAAGGTGCTCAGTTTACTCATCCATTGTTTGTTTCCCTTTTGCAGCCAACAGACGCAGACGCAGACAGTCTTCCAGCCTCAATCATCACGAGAGCGGGAACGCAAGCTTAACCAGCAAACTCACCCACTAATTAGGCCAGAATCCATTCTCAAGGAAAACAGCAATCATAGCTATGGCCTGCGCAACACTGAAGAGGTCCGTCGACTGGGAGTCTTTGAACCAGCGTCCACCCAAGCGCCGGCGCTGCAATCCATTTGGCCAATCTGGTAGCAGCGCCAGTCCATCATCGTCCCCATCGTCCCGGGATCGCGATGGTCCCAGCACCTCGTCGGGATTGCCGCACACGCCCAGCAATCGCTTCGCTAAGGACAACACTGAGCCTAGTCCCTTCAGCGAGGCCTCCTTGGCCAAAATGTCGCCAGGTAAGTATTATCTTTGGGAGTCTATTGGACTATTGGACTTGAATTTAACTGGATAACCTTCTCCGTTGCAGACAAGATGGCTGAGAACTTGTGCAACGAGATCAAGAGACTGCACAAGCGCAAGCAGTTGCCGATAACGTCAGCGGCACTGGAGCGTATGCAGGATTCGGAGTCAAGCGGCTCGGAAATGGGACCGGAGAGCCCACGTCGCCCGGACAGCCCGCCGAACTTGAGCCTGATGCGCCACGGCGAGAAGGCGCTGTTCACGTTCAAGCAGGTGCAGCTGATCTGTGAGAGCATGTTGAAGGAGCGCGAGAACCAGCTGCGCGAGCTCTACGAGGGTGTGCTGACCACCAAGCTGGCCGAGCAGTACGATGCCTTTGTGAAGTTCACATACGATCAGATACAACGTAGCTACGAGGCAGCGCCTAGCTGTGAGTTACCTTTGGATTTATTTTTTTTTAATATTTTTATTAATTTTTGTAATTTTCTTTTTAGATCTTTCGTAAGGCTGTGTGAAGAGCTCATGAGCCTCACAAAACAGAAATTAATAATTGCACTACGATCTTATGTGACGGTAGAGTCTTACCGCGACAACAACAGCCCTCATTTAAACTAAAAAAACGAAAAAAACATAAAAACAAAACCTTAAAAAAAAAATATTAAAAACATACATTGAGTTATATATATATTTTGAAACAAAAAGAAAAGCTAAACAAAAAAACAAAAAAAGGAAGCAGTTATAGTTTACGCCTAGAATTACAAATAATTGTCATCGGCAGCAGCAGGAGGAGGAGGAGGAGCAGGAGGATCAGAGGATAACTTAACCGCTAGCATCAGAAACAAATAATCTTGTTACATTTATGTTTTTTGCATAACAAAGATTCTAAATAAAATGACAAATATCTATTATTAAAAGCCTATATACACACACAACAGATAAGACACTGCAGAAGAAAGGTGCATCATTTGTAGAGCAGAACCGATTCAATGGAACCTCAATAGTAGCTTCGTGCATAAAAAAACCAGACAGACAGAATTGGTAAAATATTATATATATATATATATATATATGTTAGGAACATATGTGTAGCATGTAAGGTATCATGTAAACGTATCAAACTATATATATATTGTTTTTGGAATAGTAATTTATGAGAGATGCAGATGAGCAATGATGCAGTCCTAAAAAAAAAACAAAACACTACTCATGAAGAACACAATTTTCATAGTTTATTTTTGCAAAAAAAAAAAAAAGAAAACAGAATTAGTTGTACTAAGGCGAGAAACGAACGCTTGAAGCTCTTTGTCTATTTTCTAGAGATTCTTCTAGGTTTGTTAAATTGTTTCTTCCTTTGATATGAATATTAATTATTATATTGCAAAGAAATGAAAACACAACCAAAATAACAACTGAAATGAAATGTTTCCATTTATCTTACCTGTGAGTGTGTGCGGGATATAATATGTTATTCTTTAAGTCTAATTAAACGCTTTCAACAAAAAAAAAAAATAAAAAATAATTAAATATATATATATATATATATATATATACGCTTTAAAAGAAGACGATTCATGTTCATTACAACATATTTTTTTTTTCACACCCTTTGAAGAATATACACAAGAATATGTATACATATATATATATATATATAAATGATATATATATTTTTCAATTACCGCAATCATACATACTTTACATTAGTAATTTAAACTTAAAATTAGTAAAGAAATGCCATTTTTATATTAAAAAACCAATAAAAAAAAAATGAGAAAAAAGAAAGAAAATAAAATGAATTGTAAAAGTAAAGCAAAGCATTATCTTTTCTAGAAATTGGGGCTTTGAGAATTATTCTTCATTTCGATTTTATTTAAATATTTGTGCGTTCAACAAAAACTCTTCTTTTTTTTTTTAAACTTAATGCTAACATGCTTAAAATTACAATAATAATAATAATAATAATAATAATAATGCATTACAAAGTCTTCAATAATAAATACATTTTAGTTCAAAATGTCAACTTGAACGGAATGAGAGGAGGGATACTACTTATATACCATCTAGCCCGTACCAGAGAGCGTCTCCTGGCGAGAATGTGGAGGAGGAGGGGGATTATACACCCGGAAGGCACTACGAATACACTAAAAAAAATAAAAAAGGAAATCTGGGAAATCGAAATAAAAATATCAGTCGGTGTCGTTGATTTTCGGGCATGTTTCAATACAAAAAAAACTGGTGTTGTGGAAGAGCGAATCAGAATCAGAGTAGCTTCTTTTCCTTGGCCAAATCCTGGCCAGCCGCCACTACAGTGGTCCTCGAGAACGGATCCACGCTTACGTCCCGAAAGGTACGTCCAGCATTCTGGTTAGGCTTCGAATTCAGATGCGTTTGACTGTTGTGGCGACTCAGTCCCGTCGTCACCTGGTTGGTCGACTGGTTGGGCGTGAAGAACGCGGCACGGATATCCGAATCGAGGCCAAACATGTTGGATGGTGAGTCCGACGGTCGCTCCTCCGACCAGTCACGCTTGCTGAGCAATATCAACTGATCCTTGACCTTTAGCAGCTGGTTCAGCATCCCAGTTATCAGCGAACCCACCGTATCGAATTCATTGGGCACCATGCCATCCACGCTGCTCTCGAAGTAGCTGAACATGGGAAACCAGACCCGCGTCCGCTTAGAGTCGCCCTGCATCAGAGCCTGTAAAGGAGAGATTGGTTTAGAGACATGGTTTAGATATATATATCTCATCCTACCCGATTATTGGCCAAAGTATGATAGTACAGAAAGAGGCGAGAGGTTATGTAGAACGCCACAAACACATCGATGGAGTAGTGCTCATGGGCGGCCAGAATGAAGAAGATGCCGAACATGTTGAGCAGCCAGGTGAGGGTGTGCAGGAAGTACAAGTTGCGGGGGGTATCTGAAGGTATAAAGATACATTTATTGAATGCCAAGATTAGATATTAAATCCACTTCCAACTCACACTCTGTAATGAAAAAGTTCAGCAGGGTGAGGGCCACCGTATGGCCACTGAACATGTAGTCGCCACAGGTGCGCACTCCCTGGATCGACATGCCCAGACCGCTCCAGATGCGATAGGCTCGCGTCATGCGTATGATTAGTGCCCCCACCAGGTCTATGTTGGGATCATCGATGGCAAAGTCCTTCTGGCTGCACTGCAGATGGGTGCCGGGAACACTCAGCGATGTGATCAGCATGGTGACGCATCGCAGGAGGAAAACCGTACCGGCCAGAGCGAAGAATCGACGGAGGAGCACCGTTCGGTACTTGTGGAAGATGAGGACAACCAGCCAGATGGTGAACAACAGGGAGCCGGTGATTTCGCACATGTTGAAGGCCCAGGGTATGTGAGGGACGTTGTCCAGGAATATGTCCGGCAGAGGGGGATAGCGCTTCATGTCCGGCACGCGTTCGTGTACGATTACCATGACGAACGACGTTATCCAGGTGACCACGAAAGAGTAGCCTGCCGATCGGAAAGAAAGTCGGTTACTAAGCGTGTCTAACTGTGTCTAATATTAAAAGTAAACTATATTTAAAGTTAGTATACAAATTAAAAATTAAAATGAAACAGTATTTAGAAAGAAAGCCTAGCATGTCAAGTCGTATTAATTATGACTGAGTGTTATATTACCTTTTTAATAAAAATGTATATATACATATATGTTGGGTATATAATATAGTACAATATACTCCACCTGGGCTACCTATTGTCTGCTTGTATCTCTAAACAAAGGCTTATCTCTTCAAAGAGCCACGATAAAAAACCCCCAAAACAAAACTCAGCCTACGGGTTATCGAGTATATTGGACTGATAATGACAGCTGATAAGTGAGGAGAGTTCATTTTAATATTTTAATAATATTCGGGTTGGCGGAAAATTAGGGAAAGAGGCATTTAAGATCCTTCATAACATGTCTAATCTAAAATCAATTCCAATAAGGTGTTCCGCTGAGAAATCGGATAAAAATTTGCCAAGATATGACCATCCATTATTTTCGAAGGGGACACCCTAGAATATTGGACAAAAAATCGAAAAAATATTTTGTTTTTAGATTTTGATGCAGATTTGTGGAGAATCGATCTAGAATTCGTTTGAGGTATTCCGCTCAAGAATCCGATAAAAATTGGCCAAGATATGGCCATCCCTGTGGGCTATACTGTCCTTCCAAGGCACAATCAGCATTTTCGAAGGGGACACCCCAGAAAATTGGACAAAAAATCGAAAAAATATTTCCTTCCTAGATTTTAATGCAGATTTGTGGAGAATCGATCTAGAATTCGTTTGAGGTACATCGCTTGAGAATCGGATAAAAATTGGCCAATATATGACCATCACCGTAGGCCATACTATCCTCCCCAGGCACTATCAGCATTTTCGAGGGGACACCCCAGAAAATTGGACAAAAAATCGAAAAAATATTTCCTTTCTAGATTTTGATGCAGTTTTGTGGGGAATCGATCTAGAATTCGTTTGAGGTATTCCGCTCACGAATCCGATAAAAATTGGCCAAGATATGGCCATCCCTGTGGGCTATACTGTCCTACCCAGGCACTATCAGCATTTTCGAAGAGGACACCCCAGAAAATTGGACAAAAAATTGAAAAAATATTTCCTTTCTAGATTTTGATGCAGATTTGTGGAGAATCGATCTAGAATGAGTTTGAGGTATTCTTCTTAAGAATCGGATGGAAATTAGCCAAGATATACCATAAAGATATACCAAGATATACCATATACCATAAAATTAGAAGTCATAATAAAGAATAGCACCTGAAAGTGTTTGTGGATTGGAAATTCTGATTATGAAAGCAATTATTTGTTTATTTAGGCAACCAATAGGGCCAACAGATACTTCCTCAACTGGAAACAATAAACAACACATTTCTAGTACCAGAAGGCAAGCACTTTATTATTTTAGCTCAGCGAATGTCAACCGTGACTATGTTTTCCTTAGCGGCTTCCCAGTAAAGTGAAGCAGCCGTTCGAAGGGTATCATGAACGAATTGGAATTTGAAATTTAATGCACGCAAAGTTACAAAAAACCCGACCGACCCAGTGGGTTGGTCGCCAGAATGAGGGGCGAGGGGACCCAGAGTACGTCCGTAAATAAATGCGAGTGGCGTCTACACACATAACCTCCAAAAAGACTCAAAAATAAATAACAGTAAAGCGTCACTAGGCCACTAAAACTATAATTATAATTAGAGTGACGTAGTTAGGCTGCTAAATATAGTGAGAGTGGCATTGAACTTCAGAAATAGGTTAGAAATAGGAAATAGGCTTTATTATTGGGTGTAAGCGGTAGAATAATAAACCCCCAAGATCTGGGAATATGAATCAGCATATAGTTTTCTTGTTTACTTTAAGATCTTTGAAATATTTCCTCTTTTGATCTCATTCCCATTCGTCCATAAATGAGGTTCTTTCGAGCGAATACGAATATATATTTTTGAAAATCTCCACATGCTCTTTGAACTTTGTTTCAAAACAAACGGGGAATATCTTTTGCAATACAAGCTATCAACAAGTGTTTTTTTTATATTCAGACCTCTCGTGATAAGAATAATATTCATTTTTATACAAATTCTTGATAGAATTGGGTTTGGAACTTTATAAAAAAAAAGGCTTAAGTAGATGGGATTTATGCATAGTTATAGTTTCTAGATCTGGCAAGTCTTAAATACTACACAATCTTTTTGAATAATCTTTATTTTTAAAAGAAAAACCCTACACAATCTCAGTATATTAGACATTGAACTACAACTCTTTTCATTTTCCGGACTATCACACATAGGAAGCTTCCCCATTGGGAAACTGGGTCTGAATCAGTTGCGATATGGTGGCCATATATAAGTGGCACACGACCGATAAGCATACAATCAGCGCAAACAATTGACCTTCGCAATTAAAAGGGGAAGTGCGAGGGCTGGGGGACTCACCTAAACTCATGGCGGTTTTGAAGTATTCGGGCGCAATATACCGCCCGCCCGTCCTCAGGTACGTATCGCAGTCGGACACATAGCTGGGACAGTCCGGCTGGGGGCACGGGCAGGTGGAGGACGGTGGACCGACCACGGATCCGGCCACTGGCATATAGTTCATAGAATGTCCCACATGACTCTCGATGCCCAGCATCACGGAATCCACGGCGCTGTTTTTAATTAATAGTTGAAGCTTCAATACCGCCAACCAGAACTTTTTAAGCTCCCCGAAGGTCAGTTTGTAGCCAAGTTTATATCTAAATTCCCGGATATCGTCTTCGGTGAGGGAGAGCAGCACCTCACCGTCGATGGCCTCGGTGCGCAGGCATTCCAGTAGATTCCGTGACAGGTGCTCTGTTTGGGTGGCCCACTGGATGACATCTTTCAACAGCCAATGTGCCGCCTTGAGGGGATCCACTGGCGCCAAGTCGATCGAAGGATGTAGCGTGACGGATGGACCATTCTTGTCTATCCGCACCTGTTCCTCAGCTCCGCCCTCGGATCGCGAAGTGGTGGTCTGAGTCACTGGCTCGCAAATTTCACCGTCGCACATCGCGGCGCTTTCTTTTTTTTTCCTCGCTGTTCCGATTTTTTGTGGTTCTTTTCTTTATTATAATTTTTTGTATCAACAGTACAGGTTGGCCGCTTTTGTTCTTTCTAAATCCGAGTGCTAACGGAGTGCATCATTTTTTAAGCCGTGAAATGAGTCGTTCGGCTGTCACTGGCGTCGCATAATTTTCACGTCTTACTTATTGCGCGTCCAGCGTTTGTTGATGTAAAAGCACATTTAATTTTTTTGGTTTTGCTTACTTGTAATTTTCAGCGACTACTCAGTTCCGCTCGTGAGAGCGACTCCCCCAACAGCTGATTGGGTGTCATGGTTATCGAAAGATAAATGAACTATCGATAACCCGCCACCCACTCACGAGCCGTCGCGAGGCAAAGTTATCGGGACGCAGCGTCGGGCGGTAAATGCTTGGATTCCTTGTGGATTCTTAATGAGACAAAACGCCACTTCTCACATAATATGAAGAAGTCCAAGCCGGTGCTGCATGACCACCTGATATCGAATCGCGTTAGAAAGGTAAGGCAGCCATTTTCGATCGGATTTTGGAATCGAGGCGGTATTGCAAAAACGGCGTGCAACCGGCGAAAATGGTGCGAGGAGAAAAACCCTTGCCCTTTCCGTTGATGCAAAGAAAGAAAAAAAAACAAGGTTAGGGCGCAGGCTGTCGCAGCGGATACTGATTTTCTTTTTAACCAACACTTCAGTACCTGGAGGATCATATTGGCGAGACATATTTGGATGTGAAACAGATGACCAGGGAGTTGATGCAAAAGTATCCAGAGTACTCGCGTCGCAAATTCGGTCCCTTCAAGCAGTTGGTTCATCAAGGTAAATAAACTGTTGAAATGGCATATCCAATTACTTGATAAATAAATATTTACCGTCCTGTCGGTGCCAGCATTCGCCGTTATATCGGAAAGTTACAACTTGGACAAGCCCAGCAGTTCGGACGAAGAATCAGACAGTGACGAGTTGGAGGCACCCACCTCTAACAGCGTGATGAACATGATGAACAGCCTGTACAGCCAGCCTCCGAGGAAGCCGCTCCTGGACAAGCCCATCAGCGAGCCCATTGACATATCCAGTGGCGACGATACCGATGATGACTCAAATACCAAGTCCACGAATGGAAAGTCACCCAATTCGGCACCGGCACCGGCTCCGACACCGGCACCGACCCCAGCTCCGGCTCCCGTATCTGCACCCAGCCATACCAGCGCTCTGAAACGCTTGATGTCCGATAATTACGAACTTGGATCTGTTGCCAAGAAACGTAAGTTGGACTTATGGTTTATGGAAAATTACTTATTTTGATTCTTAGTAGTGAAACCCAATGCTCATGTTTCCGGACCAGAGGGACCACATAAGAGTAAGTTGAGATCTTCCAATCAAGGGAGTGGCTATAAAAGCAAATATCCGATTGCATCGATAGCTTACCAAGATTCGTCAGTTTGTTTATAGAATTCTCTACCTTTTCCAGACCATGGAAGCTCGGCGAAGAACCACAACGATGGATCTGCTCCTCGGCGTGACCAACGGAATGCGACCCTCATTTATCAGCAGCAGCATCATCACTATTCACGTGATCCACATACCCCAAAACGAAAGGACAAAAAGATGCCGGAATTACGGCAAATTACTGAGAGTTTCCGCGACCTTGGCGGTATGGATAGTACGCTGAAGGAGTTGTGCGAGAAGCTGATTCACATCAAGGCGCCAGAGTTCTATTTTCATCTGGGATTATTGCCTTCTAGGGGGATTTTGCTGCATGGCCCGTCTGGGTGTGGAAAAACGTTCCTAGCCCGTGCTATCAGTGGAGTTAGTTTATAAACCAAGCTCTAAAGATTCGTCTTCTGATTTCATGTTTTTCTTGCAGCAACTGAAGATGCCGCTCCTGGAAGTGCCAGCCACGGAATTGATTGGCGGAATATCTGGCGAATCGGAGGAAAGAATTCGCGACATTTTCGAGCACGCTATCATGTCATCGCCATGCGTCTTGTTCATTGACGAAATCGATGCTATTGGCGGCAATCGTCAGTATGCCTCCAAGGACATGGAGCGTCGCATCGTGTCCCAGTTGATCACTTGCCTGGACAGCATGAAGGGCAATGAGTTTGCCCAATCGGTAGTGGTGATTGCGGCCACCACTCGTCCCGATGTCTTGGATCCGGGTCTGCGACGTTTCGGTCGGTTTGATCACGAGATTGCTATACACATACCAACGCGCAAGGAGCGACGCGAGATCTTGCGCATTCAATGCGATACACTGAATATTGATCCGAAGCTCAACTTTGATAAAATAGCTGAGCTTACGCCGGGCTATGTGGGTGCCGATTTGATGGCACTCGTTGGCTGCGCTGCCTCCATAGCCGTGAAGCGTAGATCCCTGAAAAAATTCCGCGAGCTTCACGCAGCCAGCGAACAAAATATGACCACAGTGACTTTGGATGACGATGAACCTAATGAGCCACCACAGGAGAAATCTGAGGAGAAGAAAACCGAAAACGCTGATCCCAAAGATCAGGAGGATAAGGAGAAGAGCTATAAGAAAGAGGAGAATTCCAAAGAGAAAAAGGTGAATTCCGAAGAGAAAGAGGAAAATGCCGAGAAGAAAGAGGAGAATTCCGAAAAGAAAGAAAAAAATGCTGAGAAGAAACAGGAAAAGGACGAAAAGAAAGAGGCGAAGTCTGAACAAAAGACTGATGAAGAAAAGTCTTCAGAAAAACCAGGCCATACCGAGAACGTTCCCATGGACGTTGATCCAGTAAAGAAAGAAGTTGATGAGCCAGAGGACGATTTCTACGAGCCCACCCTGGCCGAGCTCACAAACTTCCTGGACAATCCTCCAGAGGAGTTTTCCGACCCGAACTTTTGCCTCACCCTCGTCGACTTTGTGGAGGCCATTAAGGTAATGCAACCATCGGCCAAGCGCGAAGGCTTCGTAACCGTACCGGATACCACATGGGATGACATTGGCGCCCTGCAGGACATCCGTGATGAGCTTAAGCTGGCGGTTCTGGCGCCCGTCAAGTACCCTGAGAAGCTGGAGCGTCTGGGGTTGACCGCTCCGTCTGGTGTTCTTCTTTGCGGGCCTCCGGGTTGTGGCAAGACACTGTTGGCCAAGGCCATTGCCAATGAGGCTGGAATCAATTTTATATCCGTAAAGGGACCCGAGCTTATGAATATGGTGAGTACTCTTTAGGGTGTTCCTATTTTCCGAATTCTTATTCATGAACGTCAATTTTCAGTACGTCGGTGAGAGTGAGCGTGCTGTGCGTGCCTGCTTCCAACGTGCCAGGAACTCGGCACCCTGTGTCATATTCTTCGACGAGTTCGACTCACTCTGTCCCAAGAGATCCGATGGCGGAGATGGCAACAACTCGGGAACCCGCATCGTTAACCAGCTGCTGACGGAAATGGATGGCGTGGAGGAGCGCAAGGGGGTGTACATTCTAGCTGCCACTAACCGACCGGACATCATAGATCCGGCGATCCTGCGACCTGGTCGTTTGGATACAATTTTGTATGTGGGTCTGCCAGAGCAAAGCGAGCGAGCTGAAATTCTGAAGGCTACCACCAAGGTGGGCACATTGAATATTATTTTTTGTAAACCAACTACTAATTATTATTTCTTGCAGAATGGAAAGCGCCCGGTTCTGGCTGATGATGTGGATCTGGAGGAGATTGCTGCCAAAACTGAAGGCTATACGGGTGCCGATTTGGCTGGCTTGGTCAAGCAGGCCTCCATGTATGCTCTGCGCCAATCCCTGAACTCCGGTGACTCGAATCTCGAGGATCTGTGTGTCGGCAATCAGCACTTCAAAGAAGCATTGCAGAGCCTTCGTCCCTCAGTTGGTGAAAAGGTGGGTTATTTTTTTTTAATAATTATAGTAGTAACTCTACTAAAACTGATATATTTTCCAGGACCGTAAGGTATACGAAAAGTTGCGACAAAAATACGCTGCACCGCGAGTGCCAGCCTTTGACGAAAAGTGAACCTCAACAAGTATTTGTTTGTTGTGATAGTACATAGGCACACATAATCGATTAGTATGTGAATGGCAAAAGTTTTCTTTCATTTTTATTTCCTTTATAAACCGAACTAAGAATATTTTTTAAGTTATGGTTGAATTTTTTTTTTAACGAAATGAAGTTAAAAAAATTATAAGTTTTGCGAAACAACTAAGAAAAAAGTTAGAACGACGTAATAAAGCGTATATTTAGAAATAATAGTATATGTTATTTTAATATTTAAAATTAGAATAGATAGAAATATAAAACAGAGCACCTTCTGCAGAGACCATAACCTCCCTCCCCTAAGGTTAAGATGACACATACTTAGTATTCCCTAGCTCTGAGGCACTCACATTTAATTTAATACCGACAACTTTGAATCAAACATGGACGGAACAAAAATCGCGATTCGCTCAGAGAAACACTCCTATCGGCATTGTGGAGGCGACTGGTGGCTTGCCCCGACTGGAGAGAATGACACCATCCCCGCCGCCCCGTCGGTCACGGGTCAGTCCTGGCCTTAGTGGCGGCGCGGAACTGGCCATTTGCCGGGGAAACATTCCAGCGGGAAAGGGTTGTGGTCCTTGCTTCGAGCTCTCTTGCATCTTGAGGATGGCTTCGTGATGTGACAGCATCGTGCGCTTCACTCGCTTCTTTTTAGTCGTTGCCTTGCTATCGCCGCCGGCTGTGTGCTCCACTGGGATGGGAGTACCGTTCTCATGGACCGTGCCATTGATATTGGTGTCCTCCGGAATAAAACGTGTTGGACGCGGCAGCTGCGGCTCGTTGTTCCGGTTGATCTGGTTTCTCAGATCGAAGGATCGCTTGCACATCTCCCTAATGCCATACCAGCTCTCGTGCCCGATCTGGCTGACCATTTCGACGGGTGGCTGGAAGCCGAGGTCCCTTGCTGGCAGCTCCATGACCAGAGCCATCGGAACCTTGAGAACTCCATAAACGTAATCCACCACGGAACCGGCAATGGTGCGCTTTGTCAGGCAACTAATACTACCGGTGCGGTACTCCCGTCCGTTGTATGACTTGATGGCACTCTTACCCGAATTGGCCAGGGAGCTCAGTTCCCGCCAGTAGAAGGCAGCATCGCGACAGTAGCCCCAGGGGTACATGATGCTCTGGCCGTAGGAGTGCAGCGAGAGGAAGAACAGCAGGTTGGGACTCAGGCGTTCCAGCATGTTGCGCATGGCGCGGGTTTCCGGCTCCGAGAAGGGACGGTCGCCCTTGAAGGTGTTGCGGTTGGTCTTGCTGGATCCACTGGCCCAGAAAATGTCATAGTTCCGGTTGCAATCGGTGCCCACAAACTTGGACGACTTCTGGGGGCGACGATTCTTTCGCCAGTTGGCATTCTAGAAGGGAGGAGGATTAGGCATGGCTCTCTGGTCTTGGTAAGTGACCCACCTTAGTACGAGAGTACTCATAGCCATCGGGATTCACCAGCGGCACAATGATGAACCGCAACTTTCGCAAAACATCAACATTCCGGGTGTAGCGCTCCGTCAGCTGGTAGATGCAGTTCAGGGCCGTGGTGATGCTGATCCATTCCCGGGCATGGGTTCCCGCCTCAATGAACACCGTGTTCCGGCAGTTTTCGCCCACATGCACCACCGGGGCATTGTTCCTGCCATTCGTGGCGGCCACAAAGGGTGGGGGCGACATTTCACGCATCTGGATCGATAGCTCCACATTCTCGGAGTTCATCCAGTTGATCTCGAGGGCACGCACTTCGCGCTTCTCATGCGTCAGCCCCAAAGTGTACATCTGAACGAAGTGGGGATAACGATTGGCCAGATACTCCAGATACTGATTGATCTGCTTGTACTCCAGATAGTTGTGCAGGACATCCGGCCGTGGGATGACCATCCGACGGAGTGGGGTAACGGGCGCATCCCGGACTCGGGCCTTCGACGTCTTTGTGGTACGTTTCGATTTGGCATTAAACATGTTTACACAATTTTTAAAATCGAAAACAATGTTTCAATATATAATTTTAAAAATTAATAAAAGACAAAAAAAAAAGGAATCGGATATTACACTGGGGAATTTTCGGTAGGTTTTGGACTGTCGGGTGTGATGGACTCAAATGAAATGGTATTCGGATTTATACTGACATTCGGATCAGTTCTAAGCCAGGCCTGCTACGATTCTACGATTTCTAATCTCACCTGGCACTTGATGTTCAGGTGCAGTCGCTCCACCACGAGCAGAGCCAGACATGTGCGCTGCTTGGGATTGTCTTCCATTGTGCGGGCCTTAACCATTGGCGGCCGGAGTTTTGTTCCCTTAAATGGCCCAAAAAACCGTACTCCCACTCAAAACTCCAACCCCCTTATTAGGGTGGTCCTCTAGCTCCACTTGAACAAAAAGGGTAGCTATAGTTTGGTTCAAAAATCGATTATTATGAAAGTTATATTAACATTTTTCTTAAAAAAAATTAAAAGATTTTCTAAAAAGTTTTTTTAATATTATTAAAAATATTTTTTACCTAACTTTTCAAGTGCATAGTTCGCAGTGGGTAACTGGAACAGCGACAACGTTTAATAAGTTGGGCACGGTAGCATGTAATGCGGAATTGGATTTGGATTCCGACTCGGAGTCGTAGTCTGAGTCGGCATCAGAATCGGGAATCGGAATCCCCTAGCCTGGCAGCAGCTGCCACAAAACGCAAATATGCTAAATGTCAGACGGGGGCAAGGTAACATGACTGGTGGAGCAGTGGGCGTGGGGCAGGCAAATGAGCAGGATTCGAGCAGGAGCACCAGCCAGTTCAGGAGCTTGAGCAGCAGCAGGAGCGTAGGCGTTTAAAAGCCCAGGCCCAAAGCCCTTCCAATGCAAATAAACAAGGATTCCTGGAGCTGGCGTGCACCCTGGGAAACGTGGCAGGACCTTTAGGTCCTAGTTGTGTTCCCATTAAGCATTCTACAGCCGAAGTTCATTTGAGGATCTCGACTTCCGGTTAACACTAAGCGGCTAGAAATGTGTTTTACTTTGAAAAATAAAAATTAAATAAAGTAAGATAGATTTTCTTCTCTATTAAGAGTTTTTTTCGTAAAAATAGCTTGAAATAAACTCTTTTAAAACCTTTATTTCTTTAATATTTTAGACCTTTATTTTCGTAAGAAAACCTTAGTTTTCTAGGGCTTAAGTTTCTCCTATATTTGTTGTCCAGTGTAGTATATTTTTTATTGCCTGGCAAATGTCATGTCAACGCAAAAGTCAAAAGTGCGCGGCAGTTCGGTGTAGAACACTCACATCCAAACAAATGTCTGGCCCTGTATCCTTAACTGAGTCCATATAAATTGGTATAAATATCTATGGCATATAGCGGGAGCAACGCAACCAGTTGATTTATACAGGAACCATGTTCGTGTTGATTTTCATTTAACGGTCTTTTAGTCAACTTCCTGACACAGCGACTGCCATATATTTACGTCCTGGCTATGTCTACATAATTCTTTGTTATTTCTTTCCCTATACGATATACCCTTTTCCAATAAAACTAAAAAATAATAGATATATTACCTCAATATAGTCTTGAAATTTAATTGAAAAAAAAGCGACATTTTTGCTTCATGTTTGTATATTTTATTTAAAAGATATTTTCCTTAAAAAAGGATATCCCAAAGTCTTCTAATAGGCCTTATTTCAAACACATTTCTCTGGATTTTTTATTTTTTTAACATTACATGGCCCAGACACGCAAAGTTCCGCATTAGGGGAACCAAGGGTGGAGCAAGTGAAGCCTTTCCCAGTCAGTAAGTCAGTCGGTTGGTTGGTCGCCCTTTTTGTGGGGAAAGGGTTTCCAGTGAGGGGGACCACCCTTTTTGAAGTATGCACATTATGTCATTAGCATGTTGGCAAATATAAAGGGCCAAAAACTTTGTTGAATTCTGGGCTTATACTTATATTTTTTGTATTTTTTTCCAGACCCCCTGCCTGATGGCTGTCTCTTGTTGCGATGACGAAATGTAATGTAGCATAAAACTGTTTACAAATTAACAAAATTCCGAACAATTATGGCCAAACAAATTCGGATTGCCGGATGGCTGGGAAACACGGCCTGGACCTGCCTCAATCCCAATGAGCCGGATTTTGTCATGTGGCAGGGCAATTTAAGTTTATGGAATAGTTTCTGAGGCAATATTCTGATTATTTTGATTGCTTTGTAACAATATGGCACACTCTGCAGGCCAATAAGCACTTTATTATTACAATACACTCCATTCGAAGTTAAGGAACTGATATAGTTCTTGAATAATGCTATCTAATAATGCTAAAATAAATATAAACAAAAATATGTTTGCAAGTCCAGTTCCGATCCAAAACAAAAGACATATTAAAGATTTCATGTTCATGGTTAAGGCCAAAGCGCATCGTCATTGTCGCCAAAGGTCTTTCAGATGCAAATACCCATATGCCTTGAGTGGAACAATAGAAACCCGTAATAGATCTTTCCTTATGCGAGTATATATATAAGACTTAAAGCTAATGCGATCGTTGAGCCAAGATAGCGAATAAATTTGATTTGCGAGTGGCCGCGTGCGGAAAAAGTTGAATGCCCTTTTGGCCAACTGGTGTCTGGAACTGGCTAATAAATATATACCAAGATGATTTAGAACTCGGCTAGAGAGCTGCCACTAAACCTGCGCCAGAAGCATTAAGCTAAAAACAGTCACAAACAAATTTTAAATGTAAATTATTTCAACCAAACTAGTTCTGCCTTTGTCCACCGGAAATATCCGACGAGGCGGCTCATTTGTTCATCTGCCGCAGATTCGATCAATATATCTTGTAGATACATCCATGAAATCGATTCTCCTACCGAAAAAAAATGCAACTCCAAGCGATCCGATCCGATCCGATCCGATCGGATTTGAGGCGGAAGTGCCCAAAGCTATAGCCGCCAAGTGTCATAATTACACACAAAAGCGTTCCGAAAGCAAAGTCAAGCGATCAAATATAAATATCAGAGCTATGAGAGGTGAAGATGTTGAATGACCTGGCTTCTGTTGATCGTCAAAATAATGATGTAGATCTCTTTTGAGCTCTTCACGAATTAATGAACTCGATAAATGCGTCTTTAGATGATGGCTATGACTGGTAACTGGTAACTGTAATGAGCCAACGATCCGTTCCCAGCGATCCAAAACATTTGCTTCCGGCTATTTGGATGGGCCCGTGACCTTGCCTCTTTTTGGCCAAATTCGAAAGTTCACTGCTCCAAAGTCTAGGGAATCCAAAAAATTAAGAAAAAAACCACGAGCACATCTTGAACTTTCAAATCGATTCAAACAGAACATCATCGTCGAATCGACATCATGACATTAGGAAGCCCGTCTATATGCTTTTAAGTTAAAACTCCACAGATACGAGTTCCTCTATAAAAACCTGAAAATAAACAAGCAACGGCTTCAGAATCGATTCATAAACCGCCACATGCGGATGCAAAATCCACAAATAGCCAGAACGAAAGAGAACAATTTGTTATTGCGGTGATCGAATTTTATTCAAACATACCACCAAAAAAAATAAACAAGTTTTCGAAATTAAAAAAAAGAACCTATCAAACGCACGCAATTAAATAAAAGAAAAAGTTCAAATTAAAGGGAATTAGCCCGTTGAATAAATTATGCAAAAATAATAATCAAATTCTAATCGAAAGAAAAAAGATAAATGTATTGATGAGTATATAGACGCGTGCCGCGATCGATTAAAATAAAGGCTTCCCGTAACTTGTCTCGTGACGCGTTTGCGGCATTTAATATTATTTTTATTTTGTGGCTCGTAACTCGAAAACTGGTCGACAAGTCCGACCTTGACACTCACTTTTCTAAACAATAACCGCTGATCCGAGACCATTTTTTCGGTCTCTTTTTTGGCCAGTATCGTCTTCTTTCTCGGCTGGCTGTTGGTCTGGCTTTTAGTCTTCCGCCGGACCGGAGATGGAGCGCACGGAACGCGTCTGAGCTTTAACTAAATATTGTGATATCCAAAGTGAAAAAAAACTAACTAAATAAGCTAATCATTCCCACTAAGCTCTCGAATCGGTTGCATAATAATTTCAAGTGCAACGTGCAAACAATTAAACAAACCGACTACACAAAAAGTGCATAAAAAAAGGCAAATATTAAAAGAAAAAAACAAAAAAAAAAAACGTGTGCTGGTCCATGCAACTGCATATTTTAAAACATAATTGGCCAGTTGAGTGAACAAAGAGCTAGTGGATTGCAAAAAAAAAATGTGGCAGGGAATCGTGTGTAGCTTGACTTTATGTCTCATCGGCCTGGCGGATCTTGGCCTCGCCAACAACCTGGCCGGCTACGAAGGGTAATCACATTAATTATAATTTACATCGAAAGTCAGACAAAAAAATCATGTTTAAAATGGACAAGACATCAAGCGGGCTGTTCTTCTTTAGGGCATCATCCTGGTTTCCTTCATAAATCCCATGGCTCCGATAAAAACAGCGACATACATTATAACGCTGTCGGCGACAGTAACGTCCTTCTGCCTGACCCGAAGTGACAGATATGGAGATGCCAAAATAGTTGCCACCCAGATATAGGGAAACATTATCCAAAATAATTTCGAAATAATTTTAAGAAATTTCCACATTTTAGTATAAATAGTTTGTAGGGGCTTTTAGAAATGATTTATATTGAAACAAGTTTCTGAAAATACTATGTTTCTGAATAGTTACTTAAAAACTAAAGGCTAATTAAAGATGAATAGTGTTATCTTAAAGTAATTGTTACTAAGATGAGCCCTTAGAGTGTTCATGGTTAGCAGCCCTTACCACAAACCATCTTAATAAGCATCTCTAGCTTTAAACGTTTTGTCGTTTTGGCCAAGTAAAAAACCCACCAGCTGTACAAACAATAATTCCGTTGCTAATTTTCGCGATTTGTAATTGCCCAGTGCGATCGCAATGCGAATTGTTGGCCAAATATGCCACTCCCCGCCTCGGTTCCGGCCACCTCGTTTGTCACTCGGGGGGTGCCGGGCGTATGTGGCGTATGAGTGATGGATGAGCGTGCGGTGGTCGCGGGGGGCAGAGTTCCTGACCCACTGTCTGGAATTCCGTTTGTCAATAGCAAATTCCAATTGTCAGCTTCCTTCCGCTTAGATTTCCGAGAGAGCCATCAAGACTTGGATATATTTTTTAAATGAAATAAAGGGCTTGAAAGGGAATCTTTAAAATTTTCCAAATTTTAGTAAAAAAATCAAAGGATCTCCTAACAGAATGTTATTTTTAAAATGAATAAGGTAAAATGAATACTTAGAACTTGCTTTTTTTTATGTTAAAAATTTTAAAATAAAGTTTAATATACATACATAGTTCTACCATAATGCTCAGAAGATGTCTATTTTTAACATTTTTTAAAGCTTGAATTGCAAGAAAAGCTACTATAGCTTTAAAAAAATATTAATTTAGGATTTCTTTAAAAAACCTTTATATTTTATAGACCTTTTAAAACAAGTATTCAACTTTTAAGAATTAAAAACACACACTGAAACTATGGCTTATAATTTTCCTAATACGATTTCCACATCAAACATTTTCAAGTTCGAAAATATAAACTTAAAAATGCAGAGATTTTGGATATTTTCACAAGGCCAGCATCATTCGGCCGACAATGGGCACTGATTTGCCTAAAAATGTTTTGGGAAAACTTAAAAATTCATACATTTAAACCGTTTCTTTATGCAGAGAGATGAAAAATGAGCTCCGACGGGGGGCGCTTAATTAAATTATCATTGAATACCACTGGCTGCCACACGTGATTAGCTATTTGCTGGGGTCTTTGTTTGTTGTCTTATTGTCTATAATAAACACGCCCCCTCCGCCCACCAGCCCCCGTAATGCAATGCATATATATGCATGGACTTAAAAACGATATTTGTTGGCATCTGTATGTTTGGCTTTATGTCTTCATGTTGCTACACAATTTCTTGTATCTTGCGGTTATTCCGTTGTGGAATTTTACGAGATGATAAATTGGCCACCGATTCGTGCGCTACGAGGTGGCAAAGAGCCAAAACAAAAAGATAAAAAAAAAATAGTGGATGTCTATAGAAACACTTTGCATAAATTTATGAATAAACAACTCATTTTGACGCCAGGCGGCAAAGGAGAAGGCGATGCGATGGCGAGGGCGAGACATAAATTAATTTGTTGTCCAATTAGTTTGAGACATGTGGAGCAATCATCGGGATTTCCCGCTGTCGACCGAGGATCTGCTTAATAATATTAATTATTATTATCTGTCGGGTTATCGGCTTATAATTCGCGGCTAATAAGCATATCACAAAACAAATTCCAACGCAAAAATAACTTATTAAAGGGACAAGCCAGACTGTCAAAATGTTTATGCCATTAGATTAATTAAATGCTTGTCAGTTGGCTGAAAAAAAATGTATTTGTTTTAGCATCACGTTCCATTAATTATCACCTATCTCACGAGTCTATAGATTCCCTGACCCTGACATACTGACTTGAAATTGTGGCTTGAAATGTGTTAATTTCCTTCTATGTTAGTAAAATATATTTTAATTTGAAAGTACCTTTTTATAAGACTTCTAAATTGAAATGTTTTTAATAAATCTTAATTATTTTAGTTACACCAAATACACAGTCCAGCATGGCGGGGAAGATGCCTTCCGCTACATGGTGGATCTGCAGACTAATGACGCTGATCTGGACTTCTGGCTCCTGACCAGGAACTCCTCAGTCCTGACAGTCAGTCCTCGCAAGAAGAACCAGTTCGAGGCGCGTCTGTCCAGCCTGGGAGTTAGTTTCCAAATGCAGCCCCTTATGGAACTGATGGCTGCCCTAAAGGCGAACAGTTCCTATGCTGAGGAGGACTATGATGGAGAGTACGAAGAGTGCCAGCAGGACGATTGCGGGGATTCCCAGCGTCCTCGACGGCGATCTCGCCGCCAGGCTAGAGGCTTCTTCTCCCACTACCCACGATACAATGAGATCCTGAGCTTTATGAGTGGACTGGCCGCCAGATATCCTCAATACTGCCGCTACGAGTCCCTGGGTCGCTCCAACGAGGGTCGTCACATAGCAGCCCTGTCCATTTCCCTGAACAGCCGGGTGCGTCACCGACGAGTGGCCTACATCCAGGCAGCCACCCACGGCAGAGAGTGGATCACCACCCAGACTGTTCTCTACTTGGCCTACGAACTACTCAGCAACCTGCGCGCCTTCCAGCGAGTCCTCCAGGATGTGGAGGTCTTCCTGGTGCCGCTCGTCAATCCCGATGGCTATGAATACACACATACCTCAGTAAGTCATATAGATGTTGGATCTTTTAACTAATTGAAGACAAAAGCTAAAGTGAAACATAAATTTTGAAAACAAAGTCTTAAGATATATGTGTGTACATGTGTTGTGCTTTTCGTTGTCTCTAAAAATCTCATTATTCATTTATACATATAATATTTCATTTAAATGGCCATTTAAAACACTTAAAGTGTTTTTATTTCATCTTTTAAAATGAAAGAAAAATGTATTTAAAGCTATAAATAGGTTTTTAGTGACGTATTCTATTCATGGAATAGCAAGCGAGTATAATACGTTTAGTTTTTTATTAAAATTATTTAGTTATTACTGAATTGGTTCTCTTTAGATAGGGATCTATAATAATCTTCAATAATATTATATATAAATATTGGTGACGAAAAAAGGCTTTTTGTATTATTTTATCCTGCAACTAAAATAATTATTTTATTTATAGGATCGCTTCTGGCGCAAGAACCGTCATCGTTATGCTGGACATGCCTGCTCCGGCGTGGACATCAACAGGAACTTTGGAAACCATTGGAACTATCAGGGTGCTAGCCAGAACGTAAGTCAATGCCCACCTGTTTGACCCCGACATTGACCTTCGCCATTGACCCTGCGTTTTTAACCCTTGAAATGTTTTTTTTTTGGTTTTTTTTTGCAATCCAAAATAACGACAGCTCTGCTCAGAGGTTTATTCCGGAACGTCGCCCAACTCCGAACCGGAAACATCGGCCGTAGTGCGATATCTGGAATTCAATCGGCATCGTGTGAAACTCAGCCTGGATGTGCACTCATTTGGCAAATTCATTTTTTATCCCTACGGCTATGCGAAGTGAGTACTGAGGGACGGGACACTCTCCGTTTTTATTTTCATTTCCATGTCCGATGTCGAAAATCCGTGGCTCGTGGCTCGGCCAGCGGGGTGGCCCGGAAAGAAATTCAATTTACTTTTCAATTATTTGCTAAAAGCAATTAAACCCGAATATTTCTGCTACTGAATTCATTTTGTTGGATGTAGAGAAAAATATATTAAAGTTACATTTTAAAGAAAATATTTTATTAAATGTTTTACATAAAGAATATATTAAATTTAAGTTAGTAAATGTTAATAGAAAAGATAGTGTTAAAATTAATTAAAATAAAATGTTTCTTCTTGTGCAGAAATACCGTACCCCCCACTGTGGGAACACTCCGTTCTGTGGCTCTGAGGGCGGCCAACCAGATCGCCAAGTACCGCGGCACCCACTACACCACCGGCACCTCCGCCTCCATTTTGTACGAGGCCTCCGGCAGTTTGGACGACTATGCCTACGGCAACCTGGGCATCCCACTTTCCTACACGATCGAGTTGCCCGGCGATGAGTTCCATGTGCCGGCCCACGATATCATACACGTTTGCAAGGAGACGTTCGCCGGTTTCGTGGAGTTCATCCGCCATGTCAGCCTATATTAAACACAAACTCTCGTATTTCCACTCTGTTTAAGGAATTGAATTTATTGTTTGTTAAAATTAAACTAATTAGTGAACTTGTTGTTAAGCATTAAAGACACGAATATTGAAACAAAATGAAATTGAAGTTCTCTATTTAATTCCTTTCAGCAATTCACTGTAAAGGTTCTATCTCTGGCTTGTGAAAATTAATAAAATTAATTCGAAAGATTTTTCCATTGAATATTTTATTTATTTTATTGCCCGAAGCCATGCTTAATGGAAGACAGAATTCCATTAGTTTGTGATTATCACAATTTATTTTTTGTATTCCATTCAAACTGAATTTCATTAGTGGAACAAAGACATTCATTAACAATTTGTTTGTTTTGGGGCTTGGTTTTTAAAAGAGTGTTCAGTTTGATATTTAAATTGGAACATTTTATAGACAATTAATCCATACTTAATAGTACCATTTTTTTAAAAGTCTTCTTTCCCAGCCCTGCTTTTAAGAAAGGGGAACTACATGTTTACCTTCTGCCATAAACGGAAGCATATAAATTGGTGTCATAACCAGGTCGGCAATGTCTCCAATAAAGTGATAATACGATAATATTTCTTTCTGATAATAAGATTAGCCGAAACACCTGTATTTTAGCCAGTTTATATCAGACTATCAAAGGAGAATGACCTCAAAATTTGTGGGACTTTTAGTTTGTTTAATTCTTCAGCCTATGGTCCTTTTGGCCTGGCAGGATTATAAGGATTTTAAGGTGTTCGAGTTAAAGCTTCAAAGGAGTGATGAAGAACATCTTTTAAATAAGTTTGCCAGGGAAAATCCTCTTTTGGATTTTCTGGGTCCACAACGTGCTAACAATGAAAGCAGTTATAGAGTGATGGTGCCTCCGGAAAAGCGCGATCATTTGATTAAGTTTTTCCAAGAAAATCACCTGGACCATCGAGTGCTAGTAGAGGACTTGTCTCCCTATGTTCAAGCCCAACGAGAGGAAAATCTACGAAATAAGAAACATCTCCAGCTTCCTCATTTGGATGTCCTTGGAGCCTTTTACACCCACTCGGAAATTAATGATTACCTGGACAGTTTACCTTCCCGGTTCCCTAAGAGGGCTTTCGTCAAACAGTTCGGTTGGAGTTACGAGAGGCGTCCCCTGAAAGTCCTAACCATAACCAATGGCGATGGAAGGAGGGACAAGCCAGTGATCCTGATTGATGGAACTGTCCATGCCAGGGAGTGGTTATCCCCGTCGATGGCTTTGTATATCATTCAACAGTTGTTGGACAACTATTCGGAGAATCAGGAACTCTTGCAGGACTACGACTGGGTGATAATGCCTGTGGTGAATGCAGATGGGTATGAGTACACTCATACGGATTCCCGCTACTTCCGAAAAACTCGTATGCCCACAAACGATCCGGATTGTGTGGGCACGGATATTAATCGGAACTTTGGCCACGAATGGGGCCACGATGAGGGCTCATCGGGGGATCCCTGTGAGAATATTTATCGCGGAGAAACACCCTTTGATCAGCCCGAAACCCAGGTCCTGCGGGATCTAATGCTTCATCATAAAGGAAGACTTATCTTTTATCTATCGCTGCATTCTTATGGAAATTATTTACTTCTTCCATGGGGACACACAAGGTTAGTTATTAAATTGTACTTTTCAGATATTGTTTTAATTTTCTAAAAACCTATAAATTGCTATAATGTTGGATAGTACTTGATGACACTTTCTGCCATGGCGCGCACACCAATCCATGTTTCTTCAACCAACTCCCTTATTAAATGTTTGGGTGGATAAAATAGAAATTCATAATTTTCATTTTCCTTTGGTAGCTCCCAAGTAAATGACAAGGGAAATCCGAGGTTGTAGGCATAGTCAGATGAGACGCCACCGGCAACGTACATATCAGAGCCGGGCCTTGATATGTATTTGGAAGGTCGTTTCGTCTTTCTCATGGCTTGAATTGCTCTTTTGGCAATTTTTAAATGTTCCCTATAGTTGTGTCCATTTTCTCTGCAATTTAAATGCGATTAAAAGGATAAAAGACGTAAATATTGTTAACTTACTTAACATTGCTCCACGGATAGAGAATCTCTCCTGCGGCAGAGTGAATAGTAACATATAGTTTTCCACGTTTACTGGTCGACAATTCGAGAAGAACTTTTTGAATCGCCTGAGCTTCTGGCTCGGAAAATGGGGCTTCACCTCGATATGTATAAAAGTTGCATGGGTCGTCTGAGGCGTCTCCAGTACCCCAACCGGCCTCAAAATTTCTATTCAGATCAGTGCCAATGCAGCCGTTCGTACTTGGTTTTCGATTTTTTCGCCATTTCTTTCGCCAGTTTGCTGAGCGTGAATATGTGTATCCATCGGGGTTGACAAGTGGCAAGATAATCCATTCATAGTCCTCTAGCAAGTCCTTGTTATGTTCATAGTTTACCACTAGCTCGTTGATAATATTTAAGGCGGTTGTGTGGGTCAACCATTCTCTGGCATGGATGCCGGCATCCATAAAGATCACATTCTTTCCCGGCCGGCCGTCTCCATTACTGATAGTTATGGTTCTCAGAGTCCTGTTCTCATAGGATTTGCCGACTTCCTTTAGCTCCACTCGGTTACCATAGCTCCTGGCTAGACCGTCTAGGTAATCCTGTATTTCCTCATGGGTATAGTAATCATTGGTGTGATAGGTTGGTCCTAAAAGTGCTGGGATGGCAAAGGATCCACCCAGAAACACTGTGATCACGACTAGAAGTAGAGACATTTTGTTGGCTTTACAAGACTGGAACCCTCTTTATATACAAAATTTCTTATAGAATTTAAGCGTATTTTATTTTTATTTAGTTATTTAAATCAAAGAATGCAGCTCGTGGTTAAAGGAATGTGCGCTTTAAAAAGATAATTAGATTTGCGAAAAATTTGTAATTTCACTTTTAGATAATTATTATCTCTTTAAATTCCAGTGACTTTCCCGAACACTACCAAGACATGATGTCAGTGGCGGATGCCGGAGCCAAGGCTATCGTTTTCGACTCCAATGGGATCTATACCTATGGAAGCACCTACTACGTCCTGTATCCCACCTCCGGGGATTCGGCAGACTATGCCCTGGGCATAGTCAATGCGACTGTGGCCATCACCATGGAGCTACCGGCCGGTGGCTTTTTGGGCTTCGATCCCTGGGTTTCCCAAATCGAGAGATTGGTCACGGAAAGTTGGGTGGGTATCCGTGCGATGGCCGTGGAGGTGATAAGACGCTATCCGGCGTAATCGGGTCATAAATAAAGACACATGCAATGGAATTGCGCCAACTTTGATTTAGTTAATAGTATTATTTATGGCAACTAATGGGAGATTAGATATGTCGCTTTGGGTGACTGTTGTCTGGGTATTTAAGGGCCTCCCCAGAGCCACGCGGTTGCTTAGTTTTGTCGGAAAATGAAGTTTTCTCTAGGATTGCTGCTGCTCCTTGTTTGTGGCGCTACCCTTGTGGTTGCCGATCAGGACTACGATGGGTAAGGATTTTATTTTAAAAATGGCATATTTTTTATACCCTTGCGGAGGGTAGTGAAGGTGACATCTCCGACCCTATAAAGTCTATATATTCTTCATCAGGATCACCTTCTGAGTTGATATAAGCATGTCCGTCTGCATATCCGAACTAGCCTTTAGTCTTCTTTCCTTTCGACTCATTTCAAGGTAGGATCACAAAAAATGGACAAAAAAAAAATAAAAAATAAAAAATATTTTGTCTCAGGATTTTTATGCAGAATGGTAGCATAAATCGTTTAAGGTACTCCGCTTGAGAATCGGATGAGAATTGGGAAAGATATAGCCTTCACTGTGAACCCTATAAGGGAAAACCCCATTTTCAAGGGATCTCCACGAAAAATGGTCAAAAAATCTAAAAAATATTTTGTCTCAGGATTTTGATGCAGAATGGTTGCAAATCGATCCAGAAATCATTTAAGGTACTCCGCTTGAGAATCGGATGAGAATTGGGGAAGATATAGCCATCACTGTGAACCCTATAGGGGAAAATCCCATTTTCAAGGGATCTCCACGAAAAATGGTCAAAAAATCTAAAAAATATTTTGTCTCAGGATTTTTATGCAGAATGGTAACAAATCGATCCAGAAATCGTTTAAGGTACTCCGCTTGAGAATCGGATGAGAATTGGGGAAGATATAGCCATCACTGTGGGCCACATAGGGAAAAATGGACAAAAAATAAAAAAAATATTTTGTCTCAGGATTTGTCTCTCAATCTTAACCCCAAGGGTCTATCAACTTTGGCTCCGCCCGAAGTTAGATTTCCTTTGTTGTTTTATATTAAACTAAAAATTTTTGAATAGTTATCGAATTTACGAGGTGACTCCTTCAAATGCTGAACAGGCTAGTATTTTGCACCAACTGAGTTTCGAGGGTTTTGACTTCATTGGCCAGAGCCGCCTTTTGGGGCAACCTTCGCGGGTGATTGTGAGCCCTGGTCAGCTGGAGAAGTTTTTGAAGCTCCTCAAGGACCACGAGATGACCCACAGTCTCTTCAATTCCAATCTGGGAGCATCCATTTCCGAGGAGTTTGTCCAGATGCAGATGCAGCGACTTTTGAACCCAATCACTGGCAAAGGCCGTCTGAGCACCGAAAGGTATTACAGCCACGAGGAGATCATCAACTATATTGACGACCTGGCCCAGCGTTATCCCAAGAGGGTCTACGTGAAGACCGTCGGCTGGTCCTATGAGAAACGAGTCTTGAAAACCATCACCATCACCAATGGCGGTGGAAAAGCCGGAAAAAAACTGATCTTCATGGATGGTGGCTTCCATGCCAGAGAGTGGATATCCCCGGCAGCTGTTCTCTATGTTATTGATCAGCTGGTGGAGAACTTCCAGGAAAATGCTTATCTTCTGGAGGACTACGATTGGGTGATCCTGCCTTTGGTCAATGCCGATGGCTATGAACATACCCAGACCGGAACCCTGGCCCGAATGTGGCGCAAAACCCGCCAGCCGTACAAATACCTGGGACAAACGTGCTATGGAGCCGATCCCAACAGGAACTTTGAATTCCATTGGAATGAGGAGGGTGCCTCGTCGAACCCCTGCTCGGATACCTATGCCGGTCCCAATGCCTTCTCCGAACCCGAAGCCGTAGTGGTCAGGGATCTGATGCATTCGCTTTCGGATCGCGGTATCATGTACCTCACGATCCATTCTTATGGAAACTACCTGCTCTATCCTTGGGGCTGGACATCGTAAGATATATTCTAAAATTTTTATTGGGAGTCTTTATCAAAATAATACCATTTCAGGGACCTTCCTGATAACTGGGAGGATCTGGATGCAGTGGCTTCTACTGGAGCCGAGGCTATCAAGAATGCCACCGGCACAGTCTATACCTACGGATCCTCTACCAATGTCCTTTACATTGCCGCTGGTGCCAGTGATGATTATGGCTATTATGCTGGTTTTAATGTGTCCATTACCATGGAGCTGCCTGGAGCTGGAAGCATCGGGTTCAATCCCCCCGTAACTCGCATCGATGAGTTTGTTACTGAGACCTGGATCGGCATTCGGGCCATGGCCGAAAAGCTCATCGAAATGTATTAGAAGAAACTTCAGAGGTCTCAATGAACGCTCGATAATATTTCAAAGTAGTATTTGAGAACTTTTACACTTGTAATGCTTTTTCTTAAGTACCACTTCATTCTGATTACATTTTTTAATAAATGACAACTTTTTTTCTAAGATTAGATAAAGGTTTTATTGTAAAGGTTTTGTTGAGTGCTGAATAGTGATTTAACAACGGATTTTCTTATAAAGGCAATCTAAAAAACCTTGTTAGATTTTTCATTTTGGTTATATCTGTATGAGTATAAAAATCTTATAAACCCCATTTTCTTTTATCCATAATTCCCTTTTTGTTGAAAAGTCATGGCGAAATCGTAAGTGAGAACCACCATTTGATAAAAGCTTTTTATTATTACTGTAGGCAATCATAGGCCCGATCGATTATTCTCTGTTTTACAACCCATTCCGAACATATTTCGATTTATTGATAACGATTCGAGATTGCTGCCTGAGAGGTTTCTTTTCCCGTTCGTAGAAATTCATTTTTCAAAGAGTTTGCAACGTGGAAAGATGGATATTTTTTGGGCTCTGGTGGCCCTGAGTTGCCTGACCTTGGCGGCTGGTCTGCAGAAAACCAATGCATATGAAGGGTAAGCTTTTTTAAATAATATAGAATATTTTCTTTACAATATCCGTTCTTAGATACAAGGTCTATGAAGTTTTCTCGAAAGCCAGATCGGCGAGCAACGAACTATTCCTCTCGGAGTTGGCCAATAATCAGACGTACTATGAAGTGCTTTCAGGATCCAAAGGACGAGCATCCGCCAGGGTGATGGTTCATCCAGAGGAGCAGTTAAATTTCGTTCAGCTGATGGCCCATCATAGTGTGAGCTATGAGGTTGTAAGCCAGAATTTGGGTCTCACATTGCGTCGTCAGTTTGAAAAAAATCGCATGTTGCGACAATTGTATCCCTACAATGGAAGATTGGGCACGGAGAGGTTCTACACCCACGCTGAGATCAACCAGTTTATCGAGGATTTGGCCAAGGAGAACCCTCGGAGGGCCTTTATCAAAACCGTGGGCAAAAGCTACGAAGGTCGTCTTATAAAAACCATAACCATTACTAATGGTGATTCCAGACGCAATAAGAACGTTATCCTCGTGGATGGTGGTTTTCATGCCCGGGAATGGATATCTCCAGCTACGGTTGTATATCTAATCAACCAGTTGGTGTATAATCTGGAAGAGAATGCGGATTTGTTGGAGGATTTTGACTGGGTTATCCTGCCCGTTGTAAATCCCGATGGGTATGAGTACACTCAAATATCAGAAGATACGCGAGATTGGCGAAAAACCAGGAAACCGAGTAGTTCTGAATGTGTTGGTACCGACCCCAATAGGAACTTTGACTTCCATTGGAAGGAGAGCGGTGCCTCCGACGATCCTTGCAATAATACCTATGCCGGAGCAAACCCCTTCTCTGAGCCGGAAGCTCTGATTGTCAGCGACTTGATTCGAACTTATTCGGACCGAGGACAATTTTATTTGACTTTGCACTCCTATGGTCCTATGATCCTTTATCCTTGGGGTTATATAGAGTGAGTTCCTAATTTTTAGAGCCCTACTTTAATATAAATAAATACTTTTGTTTTGTTTTTATAAACAGTGAAGTCCCCGAAACTGTTGATGATCTGCACGAGGTGGCCAAAGCTGGATATGAAGCCATTTTGGAAGCCACTGGCACCGTCTATAAGTACGGACCCTCTACTACTACAATAGGTTACGCAGCCGCTGGGGCTAGTGATGATTATGCCTTTAACGAAGGATTCCCCATATCGTTTACCATGGAACTTCCCCCAGGAGGTGTCACTGGCTTCGACCCCCCAGCCTCGGATATCGATCGATTGGTGAAGGAGTCGTGGATCGGTATTTCGGCCATGGCACGGAAAGTGGTCACAAAATACCCGCTTGCATAAATGCCTGAAGTACTATTAACCAATTTGTCAATTACTTTCAGGTAATAAAACGAGTCACTAAAATTCCCCTCAATGCTTTGGTCAATTGCTTAATCAATGTGATTATTAGCTATTTAGATAATGAGTTGTATTTTCACTTTTTTTTTTGATAGGCATAGAGCTCTTTAAATATTATTTAACTTGTATGTTTTTTGTGTATTTCAACGATAGTAAAAAATGATATTTATTTATTTAAATAACAAATAAATAGAAAGGGAATTCCAGAATGCTTAATCTACTCCTTAAGAGCGCTCTTAGATAATTAAAAACAACAACTAGTTGGCTTTCGAACTTAATTGTTGGCCGCCTTTTATATAAATTTTAAAAACATTTTTTAATGGATTTTGATATGTTTTTATTTGTACAGAAGGCACTAAATTAAACAACTTCCAAAAATCCAACAGTTATAAACATATTCTTGATGCTAATCGTGTTTTTTTTTTGCAAAAAATTCTGGGAAATAATTCCCTTGAATTCTTTGACCTTTTCTAAAATACATACTCGCAATAAGCAATCACTGCATAAACCCTGTTTCTGATAAGAAATTCCTATAAAAATCCGAAGCCAGTATTATTGAAGCATCAGTTGATATTTTTCTGTTAGCTCTTAAGCCGGCAAGTTTCATTGAAAGAATAATTAAAAAATGATTCTATCGGTAGTGTTCCTGCTGTTGATCTCAACTTCCTTGGGATCAGACGAAGAGGTAATATTGATAAGAGAGAACATATTTGAAAAGTTAAGGATACTTATTCCACATTCTGCAGTATTGCTCTGATTCGAATGAGAGGGAAGAGGAGTGTGGAACCATTTTCTATCCGATTGTGAAACCCCTACTCAGATACTTTGAGATTTGCCAGCAGAAAGATGTCAAGAGCTCCCACTGGCATGATAAGTATACAGAGGCGCTGGAAAAATACTCGGATTTGCAAACAAGACATTCGAGTTTGCAAACAAAATATTCGGATTTGCAAACAAAATATTCGAATTTGCATGATGAGTTACAAGAAAAGTGGAGTGACAAATTCTCGGAATTGCAAACAAGCAATAAAAAGAAAGATCTCGAAATTGACGATCTTAAATCTCAAATCAATCAATTAAATAATCAAATCGATTTTCTGCAAAAAACAAGTGAGCTGGAAAAACTAACAAGTCAAGTTAGCAAAGACATTGAAAAGGACTCTAACAATTTTAAAACCAGGACACAATTGCCAGATCGATGTCCAAACAGCCAAAAATACCGCATGGTCATCCAGGAAATACAATTACCAGGATCGGATCCTTTTAAAGTATCTTGCTATTCGGATGTAAATGAAGGATCCGGTTGGATGCTGGTTGCACAAAAAAAAAGCTATTCAAATGTATTTAATCGTACACATGAAGAATTCAAAAACGGTTTCCACCACTCCAACCAAGATTCATTTATCGGATTAGAAAGATTGCATATGATAACCAGCAGAAGGCCTCATCAGATAATGTACTTTGAGCAGTATATTAATAGTGATGATTCTTATTTTATGAAATGCGACCACTTTATTTTGGGTATCGAAAACGAAGGATACAATCTGAAAGAAATTGATGGGTGTACTGGAGATACCTATCTCTTAGATGAGGGAGCCAAGTTTTCATCATTTGATCGGAATTTTGAAGGAATGCTGGGTCGTAACTTTGCAAAGGAACATGCCATTGGCTGGTGGTTTAATTTTAGGTATATATTCTACACAAGCTGATATAAAATCATATTATTAATTCGTTTTTTAATTTGGTAGATATCCACGTGGTAGTATTTTTGACTTTCAAACACGTTTGATGCACATGTTTATCCGAAGGAAAGACTAAAGGAACCGGTCAGCCTTTGGAAACTTTGGGAAATTAAATATAACGATGAAATATAACAAGACATTTTCTAGTCAATTTAACTAGAAAACTGACAAAAAATGTTTAAGTATTTTTAAGTCATTCTACCCCCGAAACTACCTTTTGAAAGTGTAAAATAATGGGTATTTTAGCTATTTCCCGGTAAGAACGATTATCTAGACCACCCTCTTGAAATCCAAGCACTTAATGGTCCCAATTACTGAGCCCCCGATAAGACGTAACAGGTCGGAGCACCTCGAACAATGTGGCCCAGTGTGTCAATGCCGACGCTCGGAGGAGACCCACCCAGAGCTCTACTAATTGGAACGAAGACACAGCGATTATAAAATATCCCTCTGCTTTATTGCTCCCGTTCAGTACTTCTCCACGACTTTCTGGGCCATGGCCTTGATGCCCACCCAGGTTTCGGAGACCATGGAATTGATCTGGCTGGTACTTGGGTTGAAGCCAGTACCTCCGGCTGGCAGTTCCATGGTGATGGAGATGGGGAAGTTGGCCACTGCGAAGGCGTAATCATCGCTGCCACCGGCGGCGGCATAGAGGACGTTCGTGGAACTGCCCACGGTGTACTTGGTGCCAGTGGCACTCTTGATGGCATCGGCTCCGGCTTGGGCAACCTCGTTGATGTTCTTCCAGGTGCTGGGAAGGGATCTAGGGGAGGATAATAATATATTATATGTGACTTTATGAAACTATTGACTACTTACGAGGTCCATCCATACGGGTAAAGCAGGTAGTTTCCATAGGAGTGTAGGGTCAGATAGAATACTCCATTTTTAGTGTTCAGGAGAAGATCCCTGAGAACCTGGGTCTCCGGCTCAGAGAAGGCCGTCTCGCCCTTGAAAGTGTCTGAGCAGGACGAGCTGGAGGCACCAACCTCTCCCCAGTGGTAGTCAAAGTTTCGGTTGGCATCGGTTCCGTAACAGGAGCTGGTCACCGGCTTGCGGGTCTTGCGCCACATCCTGGTGCTTGTGTGGGTGTACTCATAGCCGTCGGGGTTAACCACTGGCAGGATGACCCAGTCATAGTCCTTCAGCAGATCCGAGTTGGCGGCAAAGTTCTCCACCAGCTGGTGGATAACATACAGGGCTCCAGCGTGGGCGATCCACTCGCGGGCATGGATGCCGGCATCCAGGAAGATCACATTCTTGCCAGTGCGTCCATCGCCGTTGGTAATGGTGATGGTCTTGATGTTGCGGTTCTCGTAGGACTTGCCGACCACCTGGACGGTCACGCGGCTGGGATAGGCGGCGGCCAGTTCATCCAGATAGGCGTTGATCTCGTCGAATCGGTGGAAGGCCGTGAAGCTGATGCTGCGTCCGGCGGACCTCAGATTCATCAATCGCTGGCTCTGGTTCTCAGCCTCGTCCTGGCGCAGTGAGGCACCCAAATCCTCCGCAACAACAGAGTACTCCAAGTTGTACTTCTCCAGCAGTAGCTCGAATCCCTCCTGATCTTTCGGCTGCACCATCACACGGCTGGGAGCGTCCACAGAGCGGGGCAAGTCAAAGAAGTCGTAGTCCTCGTTGTTGGAGAGGCGCAATAGCACCTGTTTCTCAAAGGCATTTCGTGATTTGACGTCGTAGACCTTGAATCTGTTTAGGATAGAATATTATCCTATAAGAATTGTATCGTCTAATATGTATTCCGGGGGATAACTCACCCATCGTAGCTATCGGCGGCCAAGGCCATACCGATCAGCAGCAGCACCAGCGCGATTTGTTTAAGCATTTTGTAGTCCGCTCCGTTCCGTATTGTTCCGGCTCAGGGCTTCTAATGAGGCCCACATTCAACGGTGCTAGCTTATATAGCCAAACACCCACTCATTGCCCGATCAACCCAAACCACCCGCCCATTCGCCGCCGATAGCCGAAGCTTCGTCCTCCTAACAGTAAAGTTAAGGGTGACGTTGACGTTCTGTCGAAGAATTTGATCGGGAAACGGTTATCGGTAGTATCAGTTCTATCCCAGAAGCGATGAGGGGTGATGTCTCGAGGGGCTTTGGGCTTTGGAGCTCCACTTGCTTCGATTTGTGGTTGGGGCTCCGACAGGTGATGAGGCAAGTATGGAGAAAATCTCACAATATTTACAGCCTTTGACAAAAGAATGACAGTCGGGTTTTCGAGTAATTTAATGATAGTATTTTAAGAAATCGTTTAATTTTAGCCAGTCATTAGATTATAATTTAAAATTCACATTCTATGGCTGTTTTATAATAGATAAAATACCTTTAAATAAATATATTATTTATAGTCAGTACTGTAAAAGCTGCACGAGTGCAGAAAAACCCATAACATTGTGACTGCGATTCACTAACCTCAATAGTCAGGTTTAAATCAAAATTGTCGTTGGCCTAAAGATACCATTTATTCTTGGCTCGTAAATCTGGTCTTCTGACTAACCAACTTTACGCAATCAGCGTTTGATTTATGTGGTTCTTTTAACCTTAGACTTTGTCAATTCTTGGAGCACGCCAGTCTATATCTCAATATATACCACTGGGTTCGGGCCTGGGACTGTTTTGCGGAACGTGGCTTTATCAGTTCATGTGGTGCACTGCACCAAGAAAAAACTTCCAAGTTTTAAACAATACTACCTAACAAAAAAACTGCGCAGAAAACCGACAATCCAAATATGACAAAAACACAAAAACTAAAAACTCATCTGCCGCGCACACAAAATATATTTGAAAATTTATTGCATTTCATGAGTTTTTCCATATTTGTCTGCATTTGTAGGCAGACTTTTGGTCACAAAACTTTTGGCTGCTGCAAATACAACAACAAAAACATAGAAAAGAGTCAACAATTGACAACAACAACCATGGTGGCTAGTACAACAAGGAAGTTGCTTACTTAAAACTGACAATAAGCGCATGGAAATGACAAAAAACACTCCGGAAACTGTTGGCTCGTAATTTTGAATGGGCCATTGGCAGCGACAGGCCTACGAAACTGCCAACCCACCGACACCTCACTCTAACCCTCAGGTTTTTGGCCAGGAGATTTCACTACAAAGGAGAGGGTTTTATTGATAAAGTATGTGGGTTATTTAGTGGCAATTATTATCATTTTTAAAGTTGTTGCTAAATAGCTTAATATTTCCTTATAAACTATATCTGTAAATATTTCTTTTATTAAAGAATAGGG